TCGCACCTCAAAAAAAATCGAAAAGCAAGAGAAAGTAAAGAAATTCTTCAATTTGGGGTTTTTGTTACGAATGGGGTACGTGAAATCTTTTTTTGACCGATTTCTTGAACCAATTTTTCGGACCTGATCCAGTAAAAAAACGTGCCATTTTTCTTCCGGGAAGTATCAAAAAATGTGGCAAAATGCCTCCCTCTCCAACTATTATAAAAGACCCTGTTTTGAAGAGCTCCCTTTCCCTCACAAAAAGATGGTATTTTGTTGCTTTTGCGATACTTCCTGTGTACAAAATGATACGTGTTTTTCTACTGGATCAGGTCAGCCACTTACAGGGGAAGCACTCCAAGTGCGACGCTCAGATTTTCTTTAAATCTTGCACACACATTAGGTGTGGACTAAATATCAATTCCTGAAGGTCTTAGCTCGCGCTTTGCGGGCGCCGCCGGGATATTGAACGATTTTTGCCGCCGAGAGAGCACGCTAAACGTGGAGAGCGGTCAGAGAGAAAAACGCTTTTTGGCCATAGCTTTGGCAGTTTCGTGCGGAAAAATTTGATTTTTTGCAGAAACATTATCCTTTACGGTTGAAATAGGCATGACACTTTTCGTGCCGAAATTCGGCAAAAAGTCTTAAATTTTCGCCGACTTTCGATCTAAAAATCTCGGTTGTTTCTGCAAAGCGCGAGCTAGGATTCTCGCATATATCTTAGAAAAAATTGTTCTAAATTTGTGCCAAGTTTCATCAAAATCTGGGCGTCGCACTTGGAATGCTTCCCCTGTTAGAGGGAAAATTTCAAAATAACTTTTTCATAAAAAAAGTTATTGGAACGAAAAGCCAAGCTGGAGAGCTCCATTCTCCATAAAACTTTAGACATTTGGTATTGCTTCCGACACTTTTTTTGAACTCTAGAAAACGTTTTCTACGAACCACTGAAGTCCGCCGTTACAGAGTTCCTGTTTAGTATTTGGCGACGCCGCCCGCACCGTGCGAAAAAGCCCGTCTAGTACATCAAGTGACGGTTGAACCCGCTCTTTGTTTCATCTCTTTATTGGATCATTTTCGTATGCGCAGCAGAGTAGGCGGCGGACTTTTTGCAGTAAGAAGCCATTCAGTTGATTAGACAAAGTGCAATTGAAGGCAATGAAGCGAAGAGCTCCCAGTGGGGCACTTCGCCTTTAGGCTGTTTTATTACGAGCCAGAATATGACTTTATTATCAGTCCGTTCGCAAGCGGGCTTGCTCTTGAAATCGGGGTTTTTTCACTCCGAGGGGGAGGCATTTTGCCACATTTTTTGATACTTCCCGGATGCAAAATAGTACGTTTTTTGCCACTGGGTCAGGTCCCTCACTGTACGTGAAAGAGCTCAAAACCCATTTTTTGAGCCCTCTTGTTTACTACTGTATATGCACTTTATGAACTGAAACGATTTTTTTTTCTATTTTACCCTCGTAAATTATCAGACTTTCTTCGGTCTGATTGAAAGTTGTGTTATCCGCAAAGTGTTACAACTTTACTACGGAGACGTCCCAAGACGCCGGCGTTGTTCTTTCGCTCCGTTTTGGATGAGTCCCATGAGGAATATCCCGAGGGAAACGCGGCCTGTAAAACAACATTCTATGAATTTTTTTTTGCTTTTATGGCATTTCCATGGTATTAGTTATGCCCAATGTTTTCGGAGGAGGAGGATTAAGTTATGAGGGGGTTTTGAGGACGTTCATTTGAAGGGAATGGATTAAGTTATGATTTGTGGGTGACTAGATCAATTTTTTGAAGGATTCTCGGCATTTTTGGTGGGGTTAACGCCAGAAAAAAAGCTTAATACTGCTGATGATGTTGTCGGATTTTATTGACATCTTGTGTGTGTGATGTAAAAAGGATTTAGCTTGTCAGGATTGATTGAACCCGAAATATTCGTTGTCATCTCATTTAAAGTCCGAATTTCCTTCTTATTATGCCCAAATAAGAATTGTTTTTCCGTTGCAACGCCCGTGTTTTTGGCAGTTGCCACAGGGAAATAGTGAAATAAACTTCTATAATTTTTTTGAGGAAGTATTTTTTTTCATTGAAGCCCGGAAACAATAGTTATTAGTACAGTCACGGACCTGATCCAGTAAAAAAACGTGCCATTTTGCCGAGAAGTATCAAAAAATGTGGCAAAATACCTCCCTTTCCAACTAAAAAACCCCGTTTTGAAGAGCTCCCTTTCCCTCACAAAAAGATGTTATTTCGCTGCTTTTTCGATACTTCCCGGATTCAAAATGGTACGTGTTTTTCTACAACTATTTTGTATCCAGGAATGACAAATCAATCCCTGAAAGTTTTTGTTAACGTTTTTCAGGGGGAGCCCAGATATTCAGCCATCTTTGGGGCCGAGAGAGTACAATGGGGGACCTGATTCAGTGGCAAAAAACGTACCATTTTGCACCCCGGAAGTCTCAAAAAACGTAACGAAATGCCTCAACGCGAAAAAAACTCCCATTTCAAAAGTGCGCCCACTCTTTTTTTGGGGGTTTTTTCACTTGGAAAGGGAAGCATTTTGCCAGATTTTTGATACTTTCCGGTTACAAAATGGTATGTGTTTTTCTACTAGATCAGGTCAGCCACTGTAGTATAGACTAAAATGAATACCCTCAAAACTATTCGTACTGGTTTTATCACTTATTTCATCGGTCATTTTGAGAAGAAAGGGCGACGAAACTGACAGAAAGTTGACAACTTAACAACCCCTAAAAATTACTGTAGCAGAAAAAATTTAAGCTTCTCACATAACATGTCGTTTTTTACTCTCCAATTTTTTACAGTGTATTTCTTTACATTTAATTTATGTTTGCAATTCACATGCCCTTCAAAAACCCCAACTCCCCAACGTATTCAACAAAGTTTCAAAAACACAAAAACAAGTTTATAACCACTCCCCCAAACCCAATTACACGCCTCCGGCCAAGCATTTTACCGCCGGTTCGTCGGCGGTTGTCACATTTTTTTGTTTTGAAAAAATTATATCCGCACTTTTACACCCTTCCCCATGGGATCTTCAACGCAAAACTTTGGAGAAACTTTTTCAAATTTTTGCTTTCTTTTCAAACATTTTTTTGAGTGGCATTTGTTTGTCATATATCATTTGATGTAAACGTCATAGAGGAAACGGTCAAAATGTCAAAAAAAATTTATGTGTAGGGCTTATCTGATTGAACTAGAGCGAGAGTCTGAGATTTTTTCCTTTCTTGCTCGCTTTTCATTGTGTTAGGTTGGTATTTTTATACATATCCTGGGAGATTCGACGATAGAGGCTATCGAGATTCTTGGCTTCAACGTGGCTATAAAAAGCGGCCTAGAAACTATATTTTCGAAGAAGATGGCTGCATGGAAACAAGAGGTGCTCCGAGCAAATTAAAATGTTTTTTCTATGCCGCTCGATCGCCAGTTTCGCCCAAAGAATTTTCTTCGTTCTGCACTGCACAGGGTCCACAATAGGCCAAAAATTTTGCGAGATGTGAATGATTTTTTCACTGTATCGTTCAGACCAAGTTTTGTCCTGTCTTGGGCTACAAATTGCAGGGAAAAATTCGCTCTCAAAAGACTCATGGTCCGTCATACGCGAAAAAAATTGATATTAAAATCGATTTTTTTTCGCTCGGAACCCCTCATATCGGTCTGTCGGGAAAATAACGGCGGATCGTCGCGCCTCGGAATCGCCCATCATCGCTCTGCGACTGCAAGCCGCGACTTGGGATTTGGTGCGCGATAGCAGCGAGGCGAGACATTTTGATGCGACGATCCGCCGTTATTTTCCCGACAGAATGATAAATGCAGCTACCAAAAAGATGCGTCCAATACAGCCAAACCTCTACTCAACGAAAGCTCACTATAACAAACAATTTCTGAGACAGAAAGGATCAATTTCTTTTCACAATGGGGCCAAAGCAAGTGTCTATACAACTAAATTTTTATGTAATCAATTAGTTTCTCGGCGATTTGACTCGCCGGGCTCCCATTTTTATTCTAAATATGTCGGGAAAATAATGAGCTCTCTGTCGGATCGAAAATCGCATCGCTGCCGAGAAAATGAATTGTGTTGCGGCAAAATCAAATCGCTTTTCACTTCAGCGACGCAATTGTCGCAGCGACTTATTCTCATTATTTGCCCGACAAACTGATATATACAGTTCTCACATGGGAAGTACTCCAAGTGCGACGCTCAGATTTTGATGAAACTTGGCAGAGATTTAGAATAATTTTTTCTAAGATATATGCGAGAATCCTAACTCGCGCTTTGCAGAAACAACCGAGATTTTTAGATCGAAAGTCGGCCAAAATTTAGGACTTTTTGTTGAATTTCGGCACGAAAAGTTTCATGCCTATTTCTATCGTAAAGGATAGTGTTTCTGCAAAAAATCAAATTTTTCCGCACAAAACTGCCAAACTTATGACCAAAAAGCGCTTTTCTGTCTGACCGCTCTCCACGTTTAGCGTGCTCTCTCGGCGGCAAAAATCGTTCGATATCTCGGCGGCGCCCGCAAAGCGCGAGCTAAAACTTTCAGGAATTGATATTTGGTCCATACCCGACGTGTGTGCAAAATTTAAAGAAAATCTGAGCGTCGCACTTGGAGTACTTTCCCTGTCAACTCAAAAAACGGGTCATCAAGTCCATGAAGAGCCTTTCCGCCAATTACAGCGTTTTCAAGATTCCTCGATTGTGTTGCCATTTAGTTCCTTTGTTCTTCGCCCTTTCTTTTTCTTATGCTGACGTCCGACTTGACCCCTTGCATTTCCGAAATTTTGAACTCTTAAGCCCGCAAAAAGTAGCCGCTCCTTCCGTCCTCTCAGTTTATTCCGAAGGTTCCTGCCTTCCAAAGAAAGGATATAAAGGTTCAAGAAAGTTCATTTTTTGGCATCAACTTTCTCCACCATTCATCCGTTTGTTTTCCGAGCTTGTTTACGTTCTCATTGTATCTTGTTGTCGCTATAGGATTTAACCATTTCATAACCGAGATTCAGCTTGGATGAGTCGGACAATTCATTCGTTCACCGCTGATTATCAGACCCACAACCAGGAATGTATGGGGATCCTGCCCGACAACCGATGTCGGAGCAAGATTGCTGCGTCTTCGAATCAGATTGAAATGCCTTGTAGGGTAAGTATGCGGAGTAAAGATGGGTATCAGCCTGTCGGGAAAATAATATGGATTTGTAGTTTAAAGATAGGTTTCAGTCTGTCGGGAAAATAATGTGGATTTTTAGTTTAAAGATGGGTAGCAGTCTGTCGGGAAAATAATGTGGATTTGTAGAGTAAAGATGGGTAGCAGTCTGTCGGGAAAATAATGTGGATTTGTAGAGTAAAGATGGGTATCAGTCTGTCGGGAAAATAATGTGGATTTTTAGAGTAAAGATAGGTTTCAATCTGTCGGGAAAATAATGTGGATTTGTAGAGTAAAGATGGGTAGCAGTCTGTCGGGAAAATAATGTGGATTTGTAGAGTAAAGATGGGTATCAGTCTGTCGGGAAAATAATGTGGATTTTTAGAGTAAAGATAGGTTTCAATCTGTCGGGAAAATAATGTGGATTTGTAGAGTAAAGATGGGTAGCAGTCTGTCGGGAAAATAATGTGGATTTGTAGAGTAAAGATGGGTAGCAGTCTGTCGGGAAAATAATGTGGATTTGTAGAGTAAAGAAGGGTAGCAGTCTGTCGGGAAAATAATGTGGATTTGTAGAGTAAAGATGGGTAGCAGTCTGTCGGGAAAATAATGTGGATTTGTAGAGTAAAGATAGGTTTCAATCTGTCGGGAAAATAATGTGGATTTATAGAGTAAAGAAGGGTATCAGTCTGTCGGGAAAATAATGTGGATTTATAGAGTAAGGATGGGTATCAGTCTGTCGGGAAAATAATGTGGATTTGTAGTTTAAAGATAGGTTTCAATCAGTCGGGAAAATAATACGGATTTGTCGCAACAAAATTTCTCGTCAGAGGAAAAAACATTATACTTTTTCGGAATTTTTAAAAATTGAAAAATCGAAATTTTTTTTTCTTTTTCCATCAGGTCCATGCACTTTATGGAAATATAAACAATATCTTGGAATCTCTAATTTCTCTGTTTTCAGGTCCAAACCAAGGAAAAGCCGGTAGTTTTGATGATCGCGCCTCAAACCATCCTCACCGACGCCGACTCCGAGGAAGCGCGGAAGGAGATGGCTCGATTGAGAGCCAACTAAGTTCGTTTTCGAATCTCAACCCACACCCCACGATCTCTCATCAACCCCATGTGCATTACACACTTGTATATCGGCCCGTCGGGAAAATAATGGGCACTCTGTCGCAGCGAAAATCGCATCGCTGTTGAGAAAATGAATTGGCAAAATCAAATTTTTTTTTTTCGCTTCAGCACCACGATTAGCGCAGCGAAATTGTGTTCATTATTTTCCCGACAGACTTGATAGTATTATTTTCATAAAGTGCGTAGACTTTTTTTTACTTGATGCATGGTGCGAAAACGTGCAAAAAAAATGTTTTTTGCTAATCAGCAAAAGTCTACGCACTTTATAAATGTACTATTAGTCTGTCGGGAAAATAATGAGCAAAATTTCGTTGCGTCGATGGTGTCGCTGAAGTGAAAAAAACAATTTGATTTTGTCGCAAAGACACTTAATTTTCTCAGCGGCGATCCCTATTTTCGTTGCGACAGAGTGCTCATTATTTTCCCGACATACTGATACTTGAAAAAATAAACCAAAACTGACGATATTTCAAACTTTGTTTGCCATTTTTTACATTTTTTATCCTTTTCAAAAGTGTAATTTTCACTACGGCGACGAATGCAAACTCCCAGCCGAGCTCTGGCTGTACGTTGCCACAGCGGTTGTCCGTTTCCCACACAGCAGGCGCGACAAATAACCGCGGTACGCTTCGATGCAAAAGATCCCGGTGAATGGGTTCACCAGCGGCGTCAATGTCATCAAAATATTCACAATGTAGTGGTATTTGTCGTCCTCGAATTGGAACACATACATTGCCCACATCAACGTCAACGCTGGTGTGGAAATTGCCAGCGGCACGCACATCTAAAGAATTCCGGAAAAGTTGTGAAATGATGATAAAATTGAGAGTGGAAGTAGCGCAAGTGCGACGCTCAGATTTTGATGGGACTTGGCGCAAATTTAAAATAACTTTAATACCTTACCTGAATCACCATGACTTTGGCGATCTGCTTGTTGACATCATGCCATTTGGAGCGCTCATTCCGCACGCGGAATGTGGCTATGACTTTATGCAGAAAAGTTGCGGTTGTGATGTAGGATAAGAGGATTGTGGTCATCCCGAAAGTGATGGATAGGCCGGCTTCCACGTGACTCTGAAAGGTGTTTATAGCTAGTTCATTTCACTAGGGAAGAGTCGGTTATGAGCCGCTCAGAAAAAAAAGAGTTTATGGCAAAAAACGCAACATTATGCATCCGGGAAGCATCAAAAACGCGGCAAAATCCTTCACTCTCCAAGTGAAAAACTTGGTTTTAAAGGGCGCCCTTCCCCTCAAAAAAAGAGCGGTTTTGAAATCGGAGTTTTTTCACTTGGAGAGGGAAGCATTTTGCCACATTTTTGATACTTCCCGGATGCAAAATCGTACGTTTTTTGCCACTGGATCAGGCCGTCATTATAATCGTCCCGAACCCACATTTGCATTCCGATAAAAACCTTACATTAATACTCAACGCCGCAATCTTTGAGCCATCAAACAACTTGGACGTCGAATTGGCCACCATTGTCTTATACACGGCCAATTTTTCCTCATCCGGATACACGGACCACCAGTTTGTGAGGAAATTAAGAAAGGGTATAAGATCTGCCAAGACGGCGAGGATGAAAAAGTTCAACGGCGGGATTATATGAGCTCTGAAGGAGTTGCCAACCGGGAACTTGATCTTACCGACAAACTGCTTCATATCGATAATAGCAACTCAAGGGGACCACCATGAACAGTTGGTAGAACACAAAAACAAACGTATCGTAAAGAATGAAGTCATAGAGACTTGAAGGCGTGTTGAACAGCTTCTGTGCCATCATGAACATTTCGCCTTCGTAGATTACGAAGAACTGAAAGAAAAGGATTCCGATCAAAACCTTTTCTTAATTGTTTTCCCGTCAACAGTGACGCGCTTGATCCAGTGGCAGAAAACGTACCATTTTGCATCCGGGAAGTATCAAAAAATGTGGCAAAATACCTCCTTCTACAAGTGGAAAAAACTCCGTTTCGAAGAGCGCGCTCTTTACTTCACCAAAAGAGCGGGCGCGCTTTTGAAATCGGAGTTTTTTTCACTTGGAGAGGGAGGTATTTTGCTGCATTTTTGATACTTCCCGGAAGAAAATGGTACGTTTTCTGCCATTGGATATAGTGGTCCGCCACTGTAAGATCCAGAAGAGAACGCTCTGGTTATTGAAATATTCAGTTTGTCGGGAAAATAATGAGCATTCTGTCGCATCGAAAGCCTTTATCTCTCCGTCAATAAGTACCAATTCTTGGACAGTGACAGCAACTGCTTACCGGCTTGCAGAAGAAGGACGAAACCGTCAAAACCACATCGGAATAACAGTTATAAATTAGCACAATCTTATAAACTTCCATTTCCTGATCTGTTTTGAAGATGATCAAGAAAAATAGCGTCACATTTCCAATCATCGCCACGCAAAATGCAGTCGCTTCAATTGAATTATAGACCGCCGGGCCCATCTGGAACAGCGAGAATAGCGAGTAAATCGAGTGGGCTCCCATTGCAGCACTATTATTAGTATTTTCATAAAGTGCGTAGAGTTTTTTCGGCCTTTTTTCGCACAGAACACTACATGTTACGGCGATCCTTTTCAAAATTTTTGCACTGTGCAATTTCTTTTCGCATTCCCAAAATTCGCGCCGGTTCAGTAGAGAAAAGCTAGCATCGCAGCGATATTGGACTTGCACGGTGCAAAAGGTCAACTGCACGGTGCAAAAATCGGTGATTTTTTGGCACGGTGCGGGGTGCGACGAAAAGTCTACGCACTTTTGAAAAATAGTGATACTGTAATAGTATTTTCATAAAGTGCGTAGACTTTTTGTCGCACCCCGCAACGTGCACAAAAAACACCGATTTTTGCACTATGCATTTTACTTTTTTTGTTTTTCGCACTGTGCATCGAAATATCGCCGCGACGTAAGCTCTTTCCAACCACGTCGCTGCGGGTTTGCCGAACCATTCGCACTGTGCAAACGGCTTCTTCAAGTCTGCATTGTGCGAAAAACAGCAAAATGCACAGTGCGTAAGCGACAAACAGGGAAAAAAGGCAAAATGCACTGTGCATTTTCGATAAAAGGTGAAAAAAGTCTACGCACTTTATGAAAATGGTAATTGTACTTTCTTAAAGTGCGTAGACTTTTTTCACCTTTTATCGAAAATGCACAGTGCATTCTGCCTTTTCTCCCATGTTTGTCGCTCACGCACAGTGCATTTTGTTGCTTTTCGCAATGCAAACTTGAAAAAGCGGTTTCTGCTGTGCGAATGGCTCGGCAAAACCGCAGCGACGTCGCTGGAAAAAGCTTACGTCTAGGTGAGATTTTGATGCACAGTGCAAAAACTAAAAGTGCACGGTGAAAATTTTGGTTTGCACCGAGCCTCGCGACGAAAAGTCTACGCACTTTATGAAACTACTAGTGCAGTAAATCGGTAGTATCGAAATTATATACGAAAAACTAATGGAATGGTAACACTGTTTTAGTCTTTCACCTTTAATTTAGTAATATGTTGACAGGAAACCGACACAACATGGTTATTAGACAATTTTCAACCCGATAATTAACTGGAGAAGCTAATAATCGTGCGTAGCACAGCAGGCAACAGTATTTAAAATGTTAGACCCTGCATTATAGGGTAAACTACAGAAATGGGTGAAACTATACATGTTGAAAATCGAAATTTGCCATTTTATACCAAATCCCGACAGACCGAGGTGTTACCATCAGTCTGTCGGGAAAATAATGAGCACTCGGTCGCAACGAAAATCGCATCGCCGCCGAGAAAATGAATGTGTCGCGGCAAAATCAAATTGCTTTTCACTTCAGCGACGCGATCGGCACAGCGATATCGTGCTCATTATTTTAACGACAGACTGATACTCGGCGCAAAAAGTCCTGAGAGCAGCGACACGCCACAACAAAACGGGCAAACCCAGCTCTGTTTCAATTCTCAGGACTTTTTGCGCCGACTAGTATCAGTCTGTCGGGAAAATAATGAGCAAAAATGTCGCTGCGCTGATCACGTCGCCAAAGTGAAAAGCAATTTGATTTTCCCGCGACACAATTCATTTTCTCGGCGGCGGTGCAACTTTCGATGCAACAAAGTGTTCATTATTTTTTACCGACTGAACGTATGTGATATTTAGCTTCCAGACATCAGCCAGGAGGCAAAAACCCGGGTTCAACAATTACGCTAATGACTTCCGGGACAATAACGTGGGAACCGGCATGTTAACATGAAATAATTTAGAGACATTTGAACCAAAATTTCTTGACTCAGCTGTGCCCGAAACAAACATAATTGATAAGCATAAGTGTCAATGACGGTAATTTAATCAAGATATTAAATATTGGGCGAGCGTGTACTCTGTGTTGGCAAACATGAGTCGCGACACAGGACTTCATCGTATTTAATCCGAAGACGAAATATTCGCGGCTTTTACCGCGAAAATGTGCCGCATTTAACATTACAAAGTTCTTTCGTGAAAAGTAAAACAAGGTTTCATTGTTTAAATTTTGACCCTAAGGAAAGCCGTAGCCAGATTTTGGCGAATGGCGTGACAAAGAGGAATGATGTCTGTACCTCACAACAAGTGCGAATTATGTCATTAAAACTTTTACGAGAATACCATGAAAATTTGAGATCACGGAGGCTGATTTTACAAAAACTAAATGTTGTCTTAACTTTGTTTTTTGTCACCTTTTCAACCATTTTATACGATAAAACATGATCGAACAACTTTCATCGTATAAAATGGTCTAAAAATGTGTTTGATCATTCCAAGAAAAGTGAATATCACATACAGACTACGCACAACTCAGTTTTAATTTTTTTGCGTAAGGGTCCACTAGACCGCCATTTTATACGATGAAAGGCCTCCGGAGAACTTTCATCGTATAAAATGATCTACATGGTGTCAAAAAAATTTTTTTGGTAATAAAACACATCAAGTAGACCATACGGCCTTACATCTTCTATATTTTACGTGATGCAATGTTTTACTACCATTTTATACGATAAAATATACCCTGACATCTTTCATCGTATAAAATGGTACAAGCCATTTCTGATAAATTCAACCAAGAATAAATCCAAAATGGACACCACAACCAATCCAATTTTGCATTTTTGACCTAATAACGCATTTGCTCCCATGTTATACGACGAAAAGTTTCTGGGACCTTTCATCGTATAACATGGTCCGACCGTTACGCAAGCCGCTGCCGTGGCCAAAAATGATGACTATTGGCCATAATCAATGAATTACAATCTACATTTTCATACTTTACTTTCTATTTTCCTGCATTTTGAGACGCCGGAATATTCGCGGTTTTTTGGAATTCCTTATTTCCACCGATCAAATTCTCATAAATCGTTCGTCCCATGGGTTTGGTGGCGTCATAAAGCAGGATACTCAAGTAGTTATGGAGCTTTTGGAAAGACGGTCTTTCCTAAATCATCAATTTCATTATCTCATCAAAACTTGCCTTTTCAGCCTTATTCATGCAGATTTCAATCAATTTTTTGAGATAATACGGTATTTTCCGCTGTTTTTCTGATCCAAACTTCATCATTTTGCCATTCTTGATCTTTTCCAATACATCCACAGGAGTTTTCACATCATTATCATAGCTCCACGGCTCTTTTCCCCATGTCAAAATCTGAAAACTTGTGCAACCAAATGCCCAGACGTCGGAAATGATATCAAACTGCGATTTCTCCAGACTTTCTGGAGCCATCCAGCGCCAATGCAAGGTAATGTAGTCGCTTGGCTTCTTTGATACGGTCTAAAATACCATAATCTTTGAAGAAATCCTCCACTCTCCCCTAAGAACAAAAAAAAATCAAAAATTTCCAACCTACCACCAAAAAGCTGTATGGCAACAAAAAATCGGTCACAACAACTCTCCAACTAAATTCTCCCGCCTCTTTTACAATCACATTCGACGCCTTGAGGGCTCTATGACACAATCCATTCTGTTCCAGATGCATCATAGCGGCCGCAACCTAAAAATAACAAAAATTTATATTACACTTGCTACCTGATGGACAATTTCGATTTTTCCTCGCCAATAAAGAAGTTTCCCTTCATCACCCCACAATTTCATGACCTCTGGGACCGAGTACAATCCCGCATGAGAGAATGCAATCCACTTTTTGGCCGATACAATATCAAATCCAGTGACTTTGGCTAGAAAATTGAGGCCTGTTGGGATATAAATGTGATCTCCTGGTCTGAATTGAAAAAATTATTATCAAAAAATAAAGAAAATGAGATAAAAAGAGCTTCTAAAAGCTCACTTCACAAATCCCTGACGAGTTCGAGTGCTTGAATAAAGTTTCATCAGGTCTTTGAGGAACTGCTCATGGTTAATATAGTCATCCTTCAAGTATTTGAAGACCGATTTGAAAGACTTTCGTCCCGCTTGAACCTTTCCAAAGAAGCTTTCGCCCAGTGGCGAAGTGACTCCAATTTTCCTCGCCTGCTTTGCAGTATAAACAAAAGTATAAACCGAAGCATTAGACTGGTATGGTACAACATTCAACGGTCCATTGCTCCCCAAATCCGCCTTCTTCTCCTTCCACAATGGAGCTGGAGAATTGACAAGACCTATGCAACGCATAGTCGGCCGGACAGGGGCTGGGACGGGCAATCCGATCGGTGGTATACCGATTTGTTCTCGTTCATGATACCTGACGGGCTCTCCCAAAATCACCGGAAAATTGGTGTCCAACGGCAACGAATGACCTGTATACGCGTTCAGTAGATGGTAAATACTTGGAAACGTCTCTTCATGCGGCTTGAACAAATAAAACCGACCCGTTCTAAAAGTTATAAGCAATAATATTAAACACGACTTACTCGGTCCTCTTGATCCGGAGGAAAATTACAGGTGGTGGAGGATCGAGAGTGGCTGGTAAAGAGTCGGTAATCAGCTTCTTGATTGAGTTTACAGTATTCTTTATGACATTTGGCTCAATACTTTTCGGGCCGGCAGGATTTTCATTTGTCGTAATAGAGTTTAGGGGAGTTGCGGCCGGATTTTGCGCAGATTTATTCACGTCCTTGCCGGCTTGGACCTAAAACATTGCTTCTATAGCATCTACAACAAATTTCAACCATAATTACACTGCTTTTTATCAAAAATTATATTACTTTATCAGAGCTTCCTTCCATTTTTTTCTCATCCGTTCCAGCAGATTTTCTGGCGTTAGTGCTGGGGTTCGGAGCTTTTCCAGGTGTCGAAAGGGTCTTGTTGGCCACTAAAAATCAATAAAAACTAGGTATCTGAACCTTTGTATTACAATTTCTGATCAAAATCTCAAATTGGCATCTTCATAATAAACAATGTCGAGAAAACTATGTGAAATTAGACTAGAATTGACGTAAAATTGCGATAAACTGATAGTCCATCAACTAGTTACGCAATTTCTTTCAATTCCCAGCAGAAATAACCCAGGTTTCATTGTTTTCTTAAAGTTTCTTATCTAAACCATGAACAACAAAGCAAAAACTCACATTTCACGAGTCTACCCAAAGGCAGAGTCTTGCCCTCAACACCGTCTAAATCTCCGTCCTTCTGCGCATCTCTTGAGACCAAAGGCGCTGTACGAGAAGCATTCCTAGCTACGCTCCGTCCATCTTTTTCTCGCTTCAGGTAGTTGTCAATTAGATCCACCAAAAACTCCTGTTTTTCATTGCCCGATTCCATTGCCGACTGCTTCCATAGCTCTTCTAACCCATACTCCTTCTCTTCCTTATGATTTCCATCCGTTTCATCCTTGTCTTTAGCCGTCTCCTTCAAGAATTTCAATTTCCGCGGCTCCAACGAACATTTTTCCGCAATTTTTCGATTCCATTTCCGCGAATTCTCAAAAATCTCGATCGTTCGTTGCGGATGACCATCGTAGGTCTTTATTGCGAGCCAATACTCGGCCCATCGGTTGGAAATTGGCTCAGTTTCCTGGGGATTGCACACTAACCATGATCCAGCTTCGATCACATTTTCGGCGAAGTAAATTGAGACCTCAGCGAATGATACACGCGGTAAAAACCATCTGAAAAGCCGACTTTACTACAAAAACCGACTGGTAATAACAAGAAAGCTCGATTTCCGAAGCTCCTAAACACTCGAACAGCTTCCATCGTATAAAATGCCTCGCGCAGTCTGCAGCTGATAAAAATCGCTAATTAGGCGGGGAAAATGCAGAAAAAGTCCTATGGTAAGAAAATCGGTCTTATTTACTTACCTGGCTTCAATAATCTCTTTTCTGGGCGAACATTGATCAATAACTGCACCTAGAGCACCAAAAGGGCGTCCAATTTTGTTGAATAGCTGCAAAAAGATAACCGGAATCAGGCCTTTCCGCTTATTATTGCCAAAGACGTAGACCAAATCTTCAAGTACTCGTGTTTCCTTGGTTTGGTGGGATGTATAGTGGACTCTGAAACATTTTTTTTTGGTTTTGATATCAAGAGTAATATAATTTTAGCCATAATTTTCCACAATTGCGCGGATCTTGGTCCCAAATTATAGAATAGCCTTAGAATCGAATTTAAAGTAGTCTAGACATACTTGGGATGGAATCTGAAGGCAGTAACGACAGTTCCAGCGGGACCTTGAAAGAATGCACTGTGCGTTGGGAAAAAATCCCAACGTGTTATATAGGTATCGTAGACATCATCAGCATGTTTTCGCTGTATTTGGGAAGTTTTCGACCCCATTTTAGGTTTTCAAAATGTAAAATGAACGATTTTTTTTGAAAAAATCCAATTTTTACTAAATTTGGCGCTTCGACTTTTCGGTTCAACGCAAAATCGATCGATAGGGGGCATTTGGCAGGTGGATACCCAAAAAAAAGGTTGCAGTAAGTGCCTACGAGGTCTGGCAAAGCCGTTGGATGGTCGGCACAGGCTCGGCGGAGACTTGGCGAAGACTTGCAATATGCCCACCTTTCCTAATTTTAGCTATTACTAACGTTAGTTTTCTTTACCCTGAGTTATTGTAACATATAAAAGACCAAAATTTGCGACAAAAAACGAAGATCCGTAACTTTTATCTAGATATTATTGATGCGAGTACATGTAATACCTCAAAATTGGTGATAGGCTATCCTAGAACCCGATCAATCTTATTATTTCTGCTAACTAGGCCTTCTCTTGCCCTCCCACAGCGACGAACCGAAGGCTTGGTTAGTACAAATAATAAGATTGATCAGGTCCTAGGATAGCCTTCACCTATTTTGAGGTAGTTTACATGTACTCACATCAATAATATCTAAAGAAAAGTTACGGATCTTCGTTTTTTGCCGCAAATTTTGGCCTTTAATATGTTACAATAAGTCGGGGTAAAGAAAAGTAAAGTTAGTATAATACTAGCTAAAATTAGAAAAAGTGGGCATATTGCAAGTCTGCGCCAAGTCTCCGCCGAGCCTTCGCCGAGCGTCTGGCGGCCATCCAACGGCTTTGCCAAGCCTCGTAGGCACTTCTTAAAAACTTTCTTTGTGTATCCACTTACCTACGCCCCGTATCGATCAATTTTGTGTTGAACCCGAACTGCCCTTGTTAGATAATTACAAGGGCAGTTAGGGTTTATTATGTAATTTTTTGCTATGTTCTGATGTTTTCTACTGCTCTTTTATTTTTTTATCTCCGCACCTTTTCTCCAAAAATCCTGTGAAAACGAAGGCTATCCCATTTCGTGATCATTAACCTTTTTTATTCCAAAATCACGCTCCATAAAGTGTCTTCAACTCATAAGCTGTTGTCAGGGTTTTGTAAACCTCTAAAATGAGTCACTCCTTCGTCGAAAAATAATCTTTTCGCGTCTCGGCTTTTCTTATCAGCCCGGGGCGAGGCTTTGCATTTGGAGAATGCGCCTTGAAAGCGGGTGTTGCATTCGAACTTGATGCCTGCCGCTAAAATCGGGGTGTTTGACGAGGCGTTTGTGGGCCGAGTTCACGTTCACAAGCCGGTCCTGCACCTGTGGACGCCGATTTTCCCACTTTTGTCGGCATTTTTTGGGATCCTCGCGTTTGTCGCGGGATACATTATTAGTGTTGCTAACGATCATCAAGAGGCTTGGTTTTCGTTCATAAGGTAGGAAATCTGACACAAAGATGTTTTGTATCAGTCTGTCGGGAAAATAATAAGCACAATGTCGCTCATTCCTATCGTGTCGCTGAAGTGAAAGGAAGTTTGATTTTATATTCATTTTCACTTCAGCGAAGCGATCGGCACAGCGACATTATGCTCATTATTTTCCCTACAGACTGATATTGTTATCTTTACAGCGATGGTGGATCTCTGGCTCCGGAAAGTTGCATATTTGGAATTCTTCTGAACTTCTCGTCGTTCTTTTGTATGTTTTTTGTTTGTTTGTGTATCTCGCTTCCCGAGGCATTGCGGTCGTCTCGAAACGTTTTCACGGGGCTAAAATAGGTCAAGTAATTTTGATTCTTTAAGGTCCTGTAGTGTGAGTTTTGTGCAAATGATAAATTAATTTTTTGCGTTATGTGTTATCAGAAGGCGCTGATGGAGCCAGTAAAAATTAATTGACGGAACATTTTTTATGGCAGTTTTAGAACATAGGGCGTAGGTCGAAAAATCTCTGCATCCGGGAGGCATTCCGACTGCCGCCAAATTCTTATCTCTCTGACAAAAAATAGCTCTGCTTTGAACAGAGGTAGACATTTGGCGGTATTCGGAATGCTTCCTGTAAGTAATAGGAAGCCATTTAAAACACTGAAGTATCAAAAACTCAGCAAAATACCTCCCTCTCCAAGTCAAAAGACTCCGATGTCAAAATCGAGCCCGCTCTTTTTGTGAGGGAAAGGGCTCTTCAAAACTGAGACTTTTTTAGTTGGAGAGGGAGGTATTTTGCTACATTTTTTATGCTTCCCGGATGCAAAATGGTACGTTTTTTGCTACTGAATCAGGTCCGTCACTGTACCCTCAAATGTCTCCCTCTCTGACAAAAAATAGCGCTGGTTCGTGGAGAGGTAGACATTTGGCGGTATTCGTAATGCTTCCTGGAAGCCATGAGAAGCCCTTTGAAATACTGGAAATCGTCCTGAATTGTAAGGTGGCGGACCTGATTCAGTGGCACAAAACGTAGCATTCCGCATTAAATGTTTCTTGGTAATCGGTAGTAAAGAGTAGTTTGCAATCATCCTCAAGTTTCAAACCACCGGACATAGGCACGTCAAACTGAGGAGTCCGGTGACCGGAATAGACTCTTCGCTATCGGTTTTTTACACTTCGTCTTGATTTCGCAGAGAAAGAGAGAAAAAAGACCCGCAAAAGCGTACTCTCGCGCCCCAAAAATTCCCCATTTCTTCCCCGACAAAACGTTTTTTCGCGTCTTTTTTGGCAAATTGCCAATTCCTTCACCGGACTGCTTTAGCTTATCTCAGTTTGACGTGATAGGCCCTCGCGATATTTCAAACCTGAAATTTCAGGGTTTCTCACTTGTTTCGCTCGGCATTACCAGCTGATCCAATATGTCCACTTTCATCGTGGGCCTCAAACCAAATTCCGTGCAGTTGTCTGGTTCATGTTGGTTGTGGGCATGATTTCCGGCGTCGGCACGGCAGTTGTCGCCAACTTCCAGCTCAGCACGGTGCCCATCGCTCACGGCCTTGGGGCGACTATTGCCTTTCTGTGCGGCATGATATATGTCTGGTGTTATGTGGTGGTGTCGGTGGTGATGCGACCGAAATTCTCGCCAAAGGCGCTGACAGTTTTCAGAATTCTGTTGGCGTTGATTGTCACAGCGTCGCTGACATTGCGTACGGATTTTTTGTGTTTTTTAAAATACGAATTTCCTTGAAGTTTTGTAATAAGGTTGTTTTAGATGAAATGGCGTTGTATGAAAGACCTTTTGTCAGAAAATTATCCGACGGAACAAAGCCAAAAGCACCGGAATTCCCAAAAGACACCGGGATCTTCCGCTACAAGCCGGATCATTATGTAAGCCCGCTTGGTTCATGGAACGCCCGGATACAGTGGCGGACCTGATCCAGTGGCAAAGAACGAACAGTTTTGCATTCGGGAATTATCAAAAAATGTGGCAAAATACCTCCTTCTACAAGTGAAAAAACTCCGTTTCGAAGAGCGCGCTCTTTCCCTCACAAAAAGAGCGGGCGTGCTTTTGAAATTGCAGTTTTTTTCACTTGGAGAGGGAGGTATTTTGCAACATTTTTTGACACTTCCCGGATGCAAAAAAGTACGTTTTTTGCCACTGAATCAGGTCCCCCACTGTATGAGAAAACTCTCTTTTCCAGGAGTACCTCAACCACATTGTTGCGGCATTGGCCGAATGGGTCCTTGCTGTTGGGTTCTTTGTGATCATAGCGTCTTTGTGCTACGAATTGAGCACCTTCGAAATCAACACTCTCACAAAGGATCAGCAACGATATTTGGTGGAGGAGAACCGAAGGCCAGTGCTGGTTTCCATCAAGCACAGCGAATTATTGAATGGAAATTTAGAAACTCAGAAACGTGATTAAAGTATAAATTATTGAAAGGAGAGGTGGAAATAAATGTAATATCAGCCTGTCGGGAAAATAATGAGCACTCTGTCGCATCGAAAATCGCATCGCCGCCGAGAAAATTAATGGTGTCGCGACAAACTGCTTTTTGCGTGACCGGCGCAGCGACATTGTGCTCATTATTTTCCCGACAGACTGATTTTAGTGGCAAAGTAAAATACAATGATAAAAAGTCCTTGGAGTTTTTTGCGACTCTGCACTGTGCATCTCAATGCAAGTTCGTTCCCATCTTTCCGAGCGATGATTCAAAGCGACGCACGACGTCGTAGTCTTTGCTTTTGACTTAAAACACGATTTTTGAGTCACTGCGTCAGCCAGCAGTGGGGCCCGGTCTTAGGAAAAAATCGATTTTGAGATTTTTGGCTTAAAATAGTCGGTAGCACTTGTGGAAGAAAAGCTAAAAATATTTTTGCCCAATTATGCCCGGAAGGCATATTTTTTACAAAATACGTTTTTATACTTCGAAGCCTCTGGAGGCCGATGTGATCCGACAACAGAGATCAAACCTGGCATACAGGGGTTTTTGACACCCAGGAATCTGAAAATCGTAGCCTTTTTACCGTCAGATTACTGTAACATGGTCATACTGTAATCCGGTCGGTAAAAATCGACCATAACTTCTTTAGATCAAAAATGCCACAGGATTTTATTGCAGATTCGGAATCAGCATAAGATTCTACTTCGGATACATGTAAAATATGTTCAAAATTCCGTGGCCCAACCTCTATAGTATAGTGGTTGTGCGCCAGGATTATCAATCTGGCGACCCAGGTTCGATTCCCGGTGGCTGCAAATGGCAGAAAATGGACTGTAAAAGGGCGGAAACTTGGAAAAAAGGGAAAATAAATTACAGAAAATTAATTTTATGCTACTTAGGACCATTTTGAAAGTTTTTGCAAGAATTCCGCATAAATTACGGTTTTTATGGAAAACGTCTTATAGCTTGCCGGAAAGTGGAGAAATCTGGTTAAAATTTACAGAAGAGGTTACTGAGGCTTCCTACTACGAAATAAGTCCATTTCTGCTTATTTCGTTAAATTTTTGGGATAGCCTGGGCTTTCTTTCAAATTCGGGATTTTAAGAAGGCGAGCTGCGGCCGAGGTTTATCGAACGGAACAATATTTGACCAAAAAGTCATATAAGATTCACAAAAAGTCATATAAGATTCCCTAACAGCACCGGGACCACACAGCTTGCAAAACTTAGGCCGTCTTGCGTATCCCACAAAAAACGGAGCGCGTGGACGCTCTAATGATAAATCTACATGAAGACTCAATTCATAAGGAACAGAGGCTAAATTACGGGACTGTAACATGCGTGCTTCCATCTGAAAACCAAATAATTGTTTTATTTTGTTTTGTATTACATTCCTCGGCGGATATGATGAATATTGCATAGCACGCGTTATGTACATTCACCACAACCCTTTAGTTGCCATTTTAGGCGATCTTACGAATGCTGTGAGGCGTTTTCCATAAAAACCGTAATTTATGCGGAATTCCTGCAAAAACTTTTAAACTGGTCCTAAGTAGCATAAAATTAATTTTCTGTAATTTATTTTCCCTTTTTTCCAAGTTTCCGCCCTTTTACAGTCCATTTTCTGCCATTTGCAGCCACCGGGAATCGAACCTGGGTCGCCAGATTGATAATCCTGGCGTACAACCACTATACTATAGAGGTTGGGCCACGGAATTTTGAACATATTTTACATGTATCCGAAGCAGAATTTTATGCTGATTCCGAATCTGCAATAAAATCCTGTGGCATTTTTGATCTAAAGAAGTTATGGTCGATTTTTACCGACCGGATAACAGTATGACCATGTTACAGTAATCTGACGGTAAAAAGGCTACGATTTTCAGATTCCTGGGTGTCAAAAACCCCTGTATGCCAGGTTTGATCTCTGTTGTCGGATCACATCGGCCTCCAGAGGCTTCGAAGTATAAAAACGTATTTTGTAAAAAAATATGCCTTCCGGGCATAATTGGGCAAAAATATTTTTAGCTTTTCTTCCACAGGTGCTACCAACCATTTTAAGCCAAAAATCTCAAAATCGATTTTTTCCTAACAAGGGAAGTCGTTCAGATCGCAAATAAACTATGACATGAGACCTGTGTGGTTTTATAGTCACATACTCTACTATATCGAATATAAAGGCATTTTTGCGTCTGGGCCCCCGCGGCCGAGAAAATCGACTATAAAGTTTCGCAAGAAGAGAGCGCCGAAAAAGTCCTCTCTCCGAAAGCAAACCCAAGCAGCTGCCCAGTTGGCCGAGTGGAAAGAGCGCTCGTCTAACGAATCTTCTTTTGGGTCGGGGGGCTGGGTTCGATTCCTTTCACCTGCAATGTAAAGGGTAAGACTACTGTGTACACTACAGTATGCGTAAAAAAAAAATTTTTTTTGTGTTTTTCCAAATTTTATGTAGATTTGGGCCTTTTCTTGAGACAAAAACAAACAAATTTAGTCGACTTTTCTCCAGACTGTTAAAAATGGCATGACTTGGAATGATAATCGGAGAGCTTCCTGCGGCTACGCCGCAAGGCTATCGGAAAGTTGTCGAAAGGAAGTAAAGTGATTTTTTATCACTCTTTGATTTTGTTTGGACATGGGATTGGCGCCTAAAAATGTTGTGGCTCTCCTCTTGGCCGAGTTCGGAACCGGGAACTCCGAAGACGCGACTTACGAGGAGATTCGGATGGCAACCCGACTGAAGATTCTGCTGTCTCAAGCGGCGGAAGACGCGAATATTGAGGTTCAAACGGACGATGAGATTATGGACAACAATAGCAGTGGACTGAACGTCCGGAAGGACGTTCAGTCGATGTGAAAACTATTCCCACCCGCTGTACCTCCTTGATTCAGCCACTTGACCTATTCTTTTTCCGTATCTTCAAAGGATTTGTGAGGCGAATCCATAGTCACGTCCTCGCCAACGATCTAAAATTCCCTTTGTACAAAAGGGAAAACATTTTAATTGTTTTAAATGTTGTCTACTCTCAATTTAAAAATCCAGTCTTTGATAACTCCAGGAAGTATTCGTTTTTCAAAGGAGGTTATCTTGACAATAGGCCTCCTTCCTTCAAGACTCCAGTGGAGTATTGTTTCCCCCATGATGTCCACACAGCTTGTTCTGCTTCTAGTTGTGACATCTTGTCTTTTGTTTTGTGCTCGTACTGTAATCAAAAACTTTGTTTTCATCATTTTGTTGAATGTGTTCACGACTGTTGTTAAATGATAGTTAAAAAGTTAAATAAAAAAATTAGTAATTTTGTTTGTTTTTGTCTCAAGAAAAGGCACAAATCTACATAAAATTTGGAAAAACACAAAAAAAATTTTTTTTTACGCATACTGTAGTGTACACAGTAGTCTTACCCTTTACATTGCAGGTGAAAGGAATCGAAACCAGCCCCCCGACCCAAAAGAAGATTCGTTAGACGAGCGCTCTTTCCACTCGGCCAACTGGGCAGCTGTTTGGGTTTGCTTTCGGAGAGAGGACTTTTTCGGCGCTCTCTTCTTGCGAAACTTTATAGTCGATTTTCTCGGCCGCGGGGGCCCAGACGCAAAAATGCCTTTATATTCGATATAGTAGAGTATGTGACTATAAAACCACACAGGTCTCATTTCATAGTTCATTTGCGATCTGAACGACTTCCCTTGTAAGACCACCGCTGGTGCCCTGACTCAAAAATCGTGTTTTAAGCGACGCAATATCTGTGACATTGTGCTCATTATTTTCCCGACAGACTGGTATTGCCATGAGTAATCATTATAAGCTCTACCTTAGATTAACCTTGAAAATAATCTTCTTCTGTACAACTTGTGGCAGCTTAGACTGCACCTACAAGTTGTTTTCCAAATCCTATTGGGACAAGACATACTCCAGTTTTGGTTACTGTAGGTTACAGCTTGTGACGATTGCTCATGGCGATATCAGCAAGTCGGGAACATAATGAGCCCAATGTCGATGTGCCAATCGACTCGTTGAAGTGAAAATTTGATTTTGCGATGCGACAGAGTGCTCGTTATTTTCCCGACGGACTGATATCAATATTTTCATAAAGTGCATGGACATTTGTCGCGCAACGCTAAAAAGCCATGCCGGGTAAACGATAAATTGCACTTTTGGTTTTTTAGCAAGATCCACAAAAATTCTCCAAAAAATTTCAATTTGACGGTCAAAATGAGAGAACAATTTTACATGACGAAGATGACGGCAATTTGACAACATGACTGAAGCGTCAAGTTAGACAAACCCCCTTTTTAATAACCTCTCTTTCCCGAAGCAGACTCTCTGTAGTCACAGGCTTCTCTACTTTTTTTACCGTCCGATTTCCCTTGACCACCCGCATGATTTCTCATTGCGCAGCCGATTTTTACAGGGCTCTCGCAACGGCGAGGTGGTCTTTCGTGCGGGTGGCCCGTTAAATCAGGGAAAACGAGAAAGTAAAAAATTTACGGTGTTGTCTTTTCGGGGTTTATGTAACGAAAATCGGAGAAATTGGATTCAAAATCAAACAAGAGGCGTTTGAATTGCAACGCTCACATTTTTTTAGAATTTTACGCATGCTTCGGGCATAGGTGATAAAACAAGTCCTGAAAGTTTTGGTTCACGCTTTCCAGGGGGAGCCGATATATCCAGCCGTATTTGCGGCCGAGAGAGTACAATTGGGGACCTGATCCAGTGACAAAAAGTGGTACCATTTTGCATCCGGGAAGTGTCAAAAAATGTAGCAAAATACCTCCCTCTCCAAGTGAAAAAAATCCGGCTTCAAAAGCGCGTCCGCTCTTTTTGTGAGGGCGCCCTTCAAAACGAAGTTTTCTTCACTTGGAGAGGGAGGCATTTTGCCACATTTTTTGATACTTCCCGGATGCAAAATTATGCGTTTTTTGCCACTGGATCAGGTCCGTCACTGTACGCGAAACGCCGAGACTTGCTAAACATTGTCTTTTTTGGGATTTCGGATCTTATGAAATCCCAAAAAGAGGTAATGGCCCAAAATCTTGTTTTTGGTCATTACACACGTTTCCGACCACTGGGAGTTCAATCTGCCGAATTTTTATAACTTTCTCAGGCTGTAAGACGATTATATATAATTTATATTATGAACTGGTCGATTAAAAAATCGACCGTAACTTTTTGTGGTCCAGTACCGGCTGACGCAATGAGCAAAAGTTGTATGTTAAACCCATCAATTGCAAGTGGCGCTCCTTTTTTTACGTCATTAGTGATACGGATTAGAATACAAGTTTTGATGAGTTTATCAAATAAAATTCCAGCGCTTTTAAGCGTGTTTTTTTCCTTTCCCTTTTTATTAGTCAAAAACAAACGATAATTATGTCTAATAAGGTTGGAATTATTTGCGAAGGGAGGCAGCGAAATGTGCACTGCCATAAACCAGTGGTCTACCTTTATACCCCAGTATTTCCGGTCCTATGTGCCGGCTTGGGGATCCTGGCGTTCGTTTCGGGGTAAGTGATGGCTGTATCTTTGCCCGTTATTACAAGGGAAGTAGTCCAAGTCCCGTCGCCCAGATTTTCTTTGAATTTTGCACATATTTCGGGCATAGGCCACGTATCAATTAGTGAAAAATTTAGCTCGCGCTTTGCAGGCGCAGCCGAGATATTCAACGATCTTTGCGGCCGAGAGAGTACGGAAAACGCGGAGAGCGGTCAGAGAGAAAAACACTTTTGGCCGTATCACTGTTAGTTTCGTCTCGAAGAAAATTGATTTTTTTGTGCAAATATTACACTCTGAGGTGGAAATAGTCATCACTTTTCATCCCTAATATCTCAAAAAACAAATTTTTTACCAAGTTTTGACCTTAAAATGTCAGTCGTTTCTGCAAAGCGCGGGCTAATAGTAAAAGCCTGTTTTTTCAGCTATGTAATTGCTGTCCTCAATGACCACGAGGAAGCATGGTTTTCGATGATCAGTGATGGAGGAACGTTACCGCCGGAGAGCTGCATTTTCGGGCTTCTCCTCAGTTTCTCCAACTTTTTCTGTAAGTGTAGCCCACCTACAGCGGCGGACTTGATCCAGTGGCAAAAAACGTGCTGTTTTGCATCCGGGAAGTATCAAAAAAATGCGGCAAAATACCTCCATCTCCAAGTTTAAAAACTTCGATTTCTTAACACGCCCTTCAAAAAACAGTTTTTTTTTGAGTTGAAGAGGGAGGCATTTTGCCACATTTTTTGATACTTCCCTGATGCAAAATGGTACATGTTTTGCCACTGGATCAGGTCCATCACTGTAGTCGTCCCGAAACCAAATTTTTATCCCCATTACCAACCCCGTTTCCAGGGTATCTGACCTGTTTCGCGCGGCATTGCCAGCTCATTCAGTACGTGCACTATCATCGCGGTCCTGAGACGAAGTTCCGCGGCGTCATCTGGTTCATGCTGATCACAGGGCTTGCGTCGGGCACAGGGACCGCGATTGTCGCCTGCTTCCAAGAAGGCGGTACGCCAACCGCCCACGGCCTCGGCGCGTTGCTCTCGTTCTTCGCTGGCATGATCTATATCTGGTGTTATGTGGCCATATCCGTGGTGATTCGTCCGTCGTTCGCGCCGAAGTGGCTGACGATCGCGAGGATTGTTGTGACGACGGCCGTGACTTCAGCGCTAATTATGCGTAAGCATCGGGGCCAAGTTGCGGATATAAAAGGGGCTACGACTTTTCGGGTCAACGACAGTTCGGGTCGATGAAACTTTGGGTTGCATTCGTCGGTGCGTGCTATTTTTTGTGCAAACGCGCCAAGAAATGGACAGATATAGGTTTAGGACTGCGCACTAGGTTAATTATACCGTGAAAATAGGACTAATTTTAAGGAATAGCAGCTTGACCGAAGGGCCAAGTACGTGAAGCAAGTCGAACGGGGGAGCCTGCTCTTGGTAAAAATTCCCTTTTTGGACAAATTCCATCTTCATTCAGAAATTATACCTTGAACATTGGCGAATTAGAAAAAGCGGACATATTGCAAGCCTTCGACAAGTCTCCGCCGACAATCCAACGGCTTTTGCCTATAAGTCTTCGCCGAGCGTCCGCGGAACATCTAACGGCTTTGCCGGGACTCGTAGGTACCTCCGACGACATTTTCGCGGGCGTCTGTCTGTCCTACCCCTCGGATCGATTGATTTTGTCTTGACCCGAGCTGTCGTCGGCCCGAAAAATCGGGGCGCGATGTATTTCGACAGTGCTTCAGATCAAATTTGCATGTTCATCGAACCATTTGTCGAGAAGTTGCCCGACGGCTCCAAACCGCCACATCCGGAGGCCATGGACGGGGGTATTTACAGGATGAAGCCGGGAGAGCCCGTAAGTGCGCTATAAATATGATATTTGTCTGTCGGGAAAATTATGAGCGCAATGTGGCTGGCGGCCCTCGTCGAATTGAAAAGAAATTTGATTTTTTCGGTTTGTTTTCTCGGCGGCGATACTACTCTCGATGCAACGAGAGTAGTATCGTCGAGAATGCTCATCATTTTCCCGACAGACTGATAACTCCTTCTAGTACTACCTGAACCATCTGATCGCCTGCATTTCCGAATGGATTCTCGGAATCGGCTTTTTCGTTATCATTGGATCGCTTTGCTACGAGCTGAACACATTCGAACTCAACACGTTGACAAAAGAGGACGAGAAATATTTGTTTGAAGAGAATAGAACTCCAGTTTTGGTATCACACAACCTAAAACATTAGTTGAAATGAGCAGTAAATAAAAGTGTTTCGTATAAAATTTTATTGACTTCTAGCTGTCACATAGGTAATACTGAGGTCTTCCAAAGATGAATCCTCCATATTTTGACTCGAAATTAGCGTGTGGAGCTCGAAATTCCCCAATTCAATGGACAGCGACGCAATGACGATGAAATATCCAACTGCCAGAAGCCACTCGGAAACACACGCAATAATGTAGTTGTCATAGTACTGAAATGGAGGTTTGAAAACAGCTGATAGTGAAAAGTCAGTCTGTCGGGGAAATAATGAGCACAATGTCGCTGCAGGTTTCGATTTTTTGGTTGAACCTGAACTCTCCCCTGTTTTTTGATTTTCACCAAAAAGCCTGAACTTTCCCCTTTTTTGAACACTCACCCATTTTGAAAAATGAAAAAACGAGGTGTGACATGTTATACGATGGAAATTTTTTTCAAATTGAGAAAAATAAGGTGTGACATCTTATTCTTTTCAATTTGGAAACAATTTTTTATCGTATAAGATGTCACACATCATTTCTCTGAATTTGAAAAAAATTTTCATCGTATAAATAAGACGATACACCTCATTTTTCTGAATTTGAAAAAAAGTTTCACCGCATAACATGTCACACCTCATTTTTCTGAATTTGAAAAACGCGAAAGAGTGCTCATCTTCCCGACAGACTGGCATAAAAAAGTTAGACGTGGCCAAAAATTTCGATATCCCTTTCTGATGCCTTATCTTACCGGATGGCACGGCTGGAGTCTTATGATTCCAGTGGCTGGCCTCTCCGGCTTCTGTGCTCTTGTTCCATCCGGCCATTTCTTCGCGAAGATCGAGAATTGGAAGCATAGGATGTCTGAAAATGAGGGATCCAAAAGAAACTTCTTTATATCAGTCTGTCGGGAAATTAATGGGCACTCTGTCGCATCGAAAACTACGGCTGGGAAAATGAATTGTCTTTGCGGCAAAATCAAATTGCTTTGAATTGCGACGCGAGTGGCGCAGCGACATTTTACTCATTATTTTCCCGACATAGTCCTAACAAATTTTTCAAATCTCAACTTACACATGACAACGCACACCGTCACGAAGACAACAACAATTATCCTGAGGATAATCAGCCATTTCGGGACCCACTGGATGCCCAGCTTTACACAGACGACCGCGTAACACCAACAATACAGTAATCCGGCCAAAAACGCGACCATTGCTCCGTTGTTGTGGACAATTCGCAGATTGCTGAGCTGGAAGTCGGCGACAACGGCGATGCCAAGTCCGGATAAGATCCCAATGAAGAGCATGAAGTAAAAAAGGAAACGTAGCTTCGACCTGCTCCCGCAATGCCAATACAGATGGTCGAGAAGATGATAATGCAGGGAAAAGCAGGTTACTAGCCCTGAATTTGAAGGGAAATGAAGATTGTAGCATTGTTATTGAACTTACAGAAGAACGCAGCGAAATTGAGGAGAATCCCGAAAATACAACTCTCCGGAGGCAACGAACCGCCCTCACTGATCATCGAGAACCAAGCCTCTTCGTGGTTGTTGAGGACAGCAATTACGTAGCTGAAAGATAGTGTGTTACTTTGCAAAAATAGACGAGATTTTTGGCACGAAAGTTAGTGGAAATTACAGTGAGGGACCGGATCCAATGGCAAAAAACGTCTCATTTTGAATCCCGGAAGGGACCAAAATGTCTCCAAACCTTTACCTTCTCTAAGCGAAAAAACCCCGCTTTGAATAGCCCGCCTTGAAGGAAAGGGCGCGCTTTTCAAAGCGGAGTTTTTTAACTTAGAGAAGGGAATGGTTTGGAGTCATTTTGATCCCTTCCGGGATGCAAAAGGAGACGTTTTATGCCATTGGATCAGGTCCATTCACTGTATACGTAGCTAAAGGAGGAGAGGGGGCAGTACCTATGGCCGGAGTCAAGGGAAAAAATGGTAATGAAAAGTACCAAGCGAATAACTTTTTACATGGTGATCCGAGAGCCATGTCACACTTGTACAGAGGTCCTATGACGCAGTGTTTTCATAAAATGCGTGGACATCGTATCTCTTTTATTTTCTATATTTCGTAAGTACATTTTGAACTTTTCCCATTCGCTAGCGGGGTTTCCTCTTTCCGCACAGCGTAAAAATAAAAAAATGCCAGTCTGTCGGGAAAATAATGAGTGCAATGTCGCTACGCCGATCGCTATGAAAACTTATGAAAATACTACACCTTACAGTGGCAAAAAACGTACCATCCGGAAAGTATCAAGAACGCAGCAAAATGCCTCCCTCTCCAACATTTTGGTTTTTTTTTGAAATACCAGTCTGTCGGAAAAGTAATGAGTGAAATGTCGCTACACTGATCACGTCGCGGGAGTGAAAAGCAATTCGATTTTGTCGAGAAGACTATTCATTTCCATGCGACAGAGTGGTCATTATTTTCCCGACAGACTGATAGTAAAATCATAAACAACGGAGGATATGTCCTAGATCATCGTCTTACCCGGTAACCAACGACATCAATCCAAAAACACAACACAGAATCGGGAATAGCTGAGAATAGATGAAGAACGCGGTGCTGTGCGCATTTCCGCTTCCTGCAGGGTACGTTATCGGTTTTACATGCAGAGTAACCATCCAGAAAAACGCTAATTAGAGTTTGACTGTTCGTACTTCCTCCATGTTCCGAATTTATTTTCCCTGAGGCAGTCATTGAGACAGTTCGCTTTTCACTTCCTTTTCAAAGGGCTTTAGATTCGTTTTCGAGACGTTTGTCGGTGCGAATTATAAAGCGGTTCGTATGTTGCATTATAATATTACAGATTACGAACGGAGGAAGGGAAAAATGAGGGGTTCTAAAGTGGCTCGACCTGACGCTCGAAACCCGGTGCAAATTTACAAGAGAAATACCGCAAGTGCGACGCTCAGATTTTCTTCAAGTTTGGCACAGGCATTGGCCACATTTCAAATTTTCCGTCGGCCCGGCCCGGCCCGTTTTAAATTTGCTTCGGCCCGGCCCGGGCCGGCCCATTGAAACGAAAGTCTCCCCAAGTCTAACTCCTTATGACCAAATTTTTTTCTATCGTCATGTTAATGGATAAATACTGTGTTCCACAGCTATCTAAAAACAAAAATACCTTTAAAAAACCAATTGTGTCTTGACACTGCTTTATTTTCATTATCAAACCCAATTTTCACTTCGAGATTCTGGATTTTAAATATTCCGAGCCGGCCCGGCCGATCTGAAATCGGGCCAACGGGCCGAAATTTCGGCCCGGCCCACGGCCCGGCCCAGGCCGGCCCGGCCCGGGAGCCATGTCTAGGCCACATCAACTCATAAAAATTTTAGCTGTGCCTCCATCACTGACCATGGAAAACCACGCTGCTTCGTGGTCATTGAGGACATCAGTTACATATCTGAAAAAACGGAGAAACTTCTGTAAGAATTCTCGTACTACAGTGGGGGATCTGATCCAGTGGCAAAAAACGTACCATTTTGCATCCCGGAAAGCATTAAAAAATGTGGCAAAATGCTTCCCTCTCCAAGTGAAAAAAACTCGGATTTCAAAAGCGCGCCCGCTCTTTTTGTGAGAGCGGGCGCCTTCAATGCTTCCCGGAAGCAAATTTTTACCACCAGATCAGGTCCCTCACTGCAGCTGCGCGATGAATTCTGTTGCGGCGGACGTGGCCTTGAGCAAGATTTGAGAAACCGGGAGGAAGGTCCCGTGAAGTTCCTAAGCAATGATAAGAAGAAAGATGACTTCGCTAAGAAACTCTGAATTAAAATCTTCGTATTTGCCAAGATTTTTTTTAATAAAAAACGTTCCTCTTTTGTGCTTCCTTTAACTAGCCTTCTCCTACAGTGAGGGACCAAATCCAATGGCAAAAAACGTCTCATTTTGCATCCCAGAAGGGACCAAAATGTCTCCAAACCCTTCTCTTCTCTAAGCTATAAAAAACCACGCTTTGAAGAGCCCGCCTTGAAGGAAAGAGCGCGCTTTTCAAAGCGGAGTTTTTCAGCTTAGAGAAGGGAAGGGTTTGGAGTAATTTTGGTCCCTTCCAGGATGCAAAATGAGACGTTTTTTGCCATTGGATCCGGTCCCTCACCGTAAAAGAAGTACCTCTTTTGTGTTTCTTTAAACCAGCCTTCTCCTAGTCTTCCCCATGCATAAAACAACAAATCGGGGCAACTCAAGGAATCGTCGACCTGTCGCTGACCCAAAAAGTTGTTGCGCCAATTAATCGTGACCCAACATTGGAACGGTATGCATAACGTTGCCGCGGTATGATTACTGACATTATGTCTTTTTTAAAACCTTCTGAACCCGCCATGAATCGGATTTGTCACGCTCTAAATTGGTTTTTTTTCACTCGAAAATTGTGAATCCCCAAAAAAATGAAGTAAAATGATTTCGTTTTTATTTTCGAAGCTTTTTGAAAAAAACTCTATTTTCCTTCCAAACTGCTTTTCTCTCGCCACTCGGGCGTCTCCGACGCGATCTTCCATGTCAAAGGTTCGAGATGTTGGAAGTAATGGCAACAAAGGATCTACTGAAGGGATTGAGGAGGGCTCGATTCGCTTATGGACCCCGATTTTCCCTGTTTTGTGTTGTGTTTGTGGACTGATTGCAATGTTTGCTGGGTAAGCTTTTGGATCAATAAATTTTTGGTGGGTTTTTCTCAAAAAAGGCGCTGAAACTTGAAAAAAAAATTTTGAAATGGAAAAAATATTATTTTCACTTATACAGAAAATAACAAAATTTTTTCGGGACAAAATGAAAATAATTTTTTTTATGTTTTTTAGATACTTGACTGCAGTTCTGAACCATCATATTGACGCATGGTTGCCATTGATCAGTGAAGGAGGAGTATTTTTCCCGGAGAGTGGGATCTTCGCATCGTTCTTCAATCTGACTGCCTTTTTCTGTGAGTTTCCAGCGGATTTTTTAACCTTTTTCCGAACTGCGCTCTAACCTGAGATTATTTACATTTCTTTTTAACTTTTTTATTTTTGTTTTTTTATAATTTTTTAAATTAAATTTTATTTTCCAAACTGCGCCCTGAACTGATGTTTTTATTTTTTATTATATTTTTTAATTAAAACTTTTTTTATGATTTTTTTGGTAATTTTTTTCCCGAACTGCGCCCTAAATTGCGGTTTTTTTTATTTTTTTTTATTATTTTGTAATTTTTTGGTCAAAATTTTTTTCCGAACTGCGCCCTAAACTAAATTTTTTATTTATAATTTTTTCGATATTTTTTTTTCTTTTATTTTTATATATTTTTAAACGGTTTTTTGATTAAATTTTTTCCCGAACTGCGCCCTAAATTGCGGGTTTTCTTATTTTGCTTCTTTTTTATTATTTTTTAACAATTTTTTGGTCAAAATTTTTTCCCGAACTGCGCCCTAAACTAAAATTTTTTTTTTTAATTTTTTGACCTAAATTTTTTTATTTATTATTTTTTCGATAATTTTTTTTTCTTTCATTTTTGTATTTTTTTAAATGGTTTTTTGATCAGATTTTTCCCGAACTGCGCCCTAAACTAAATTTTTTTGAATTTTTTGACCTAAATTTTTTTATTTGTTATTTTTTCGATAATTGTTTTTTCTTTTTCAGGGTGGATAACCTCCTTCCTGATCTGCCTCCAACTCCACCAACACATCCGTGTCCACCGCGGCGCCCACTCCAAACTACGCTTTGTCGTCTACTTTATGCTGGCGACTGGCTTGATCTCCGGCGTGGGGCTTGTTTTGCTAGCAAATTTTCGACTGAATTCTCCCGGCTCGGTGCATGGGAAAGGAGCGTTGGCGCTGTTCTTTGGCGGAATGGCCTTTTCTTGGTGCTATATTGTCATGATGGCTGTATTGAAGCAACAACCGAAGTGGGTGTGGATTGGCAAAGTGGTTTTGATATCCATAGTGTCGGCTTGTGTGATTTTGCGTAAGTTTTGAGGATTTTTTTCTGGGTAAATTTTTTTGGCGATTTTTGAAAAATTTGAGGTTTTTCGAGAATTTTTGCAATTTTTTGGCGAAATTTTTTTATTTTCAAGATAAAAATTTTGGGCAAAATTTGAGATTTTTTGAATTTTGATTTTAAAAAAATTTTTTATGAAAAAAGTACAGACGAAACCGAAAGGCCTATTCCATATTTGTTTTGCGGATTTTTTGGGGAGAAATTCGATTTTTTTGGCAATTTTTTAACGAATCTTGAGGTTTTTTGCGGTATTTTTTGGATTTTTTAACACTTTTTTAACTTTAAGATTCAAAAAATTTTTTGGGCAAAAAAAAGTTTATTTCGTGCTTAAAATTTTTCGAATTTCGATTTTTTTTTAATTTTTGAATTTTGAAAATAAAAAAAAAATAAAATTTTGATCTCTAAAAAAATAAAAATTTTTTTCAGACGAAACCGGAAAGCGTGTGCCATTTTTGGTCACACCTTTTCCAAATGGCACCTATCCCGCCTGGCCCCAACACATCAATGGAGTCTTCAGAGTTGATTCGGACAATCCGGTAAGAGTGGTCACAGAGAAAAACACTTTTTGGCCGTATCTTTGTCAGTCTTGTGCGGAGAAAATTTACTTTTTGTGGAAACATTAACTTCGACAAAAATTGGTTTTTTCGAAAAAAAATTCATTTTTAAAATTTTTAAATTATCCTCTAAAACCCCTAAAAATCCAAAAATCAAAAATTTCCACTTTTTCAAAAAGTCATTTTTACTATGTATTTTTACAGTTCTTCACTCATCGTGTTGTCACCAACGCCGCTGAATGGGCTTTGGCGATCGGGTATTTCCTTATCGTCGCCTCTTCCGCCTATGATCTCACATTTCTCAGGTTGCAGTTCGAAGTGAAGCAAAGGGTCTCGATGATCGAGAATTTGGATCCAGGGACGATGGTTGGAGTCCCAACCATTTCCAGATACAATAGGAAGATTGAAATCAGTGACGTTGCAGACTAATTTTAGGGAATTAAAGTTCCAGAGAGTATAATAAAAAGACTGATTTTTAATTTGCATCTACTCGTTTGACGGAAGGATAAGCATGGCTGCGGTCGGCCCCGGCCCGGTTTCGGACGTCGTAGATTTGCCGGAAAGTGACCGGGTCGAGCTTTTGTGAAGCCGGGCTTGGGGCTCCATAGTTCGCTCGGGCTGGGCCAGGCTTTCAATTTTTCAAAAAGCCTGTAAAGCTGTACTATATCGGCTCAACGGCAGTTTGGGTCAAATGAGACTCCACAGACCACAGCCTGGGCCTACGATACGCTGGCTATGGCAGAACACGGACTTTTGCTGGCTTTATTCCTCCGCTTGGGCAACGGGCGTCAAAAGCCCGACATGGCAAGCCTTTGCCGAGACTCCCTGCGCCGATTTACAGTGAAAAGCAATGTACAGTGAGGAACTGGATCCAATGGCAAAAAACGTCTCATTTTGCATCCCGGAAGGGACCAAAATGACTCCAAACCCTTCCCTTCTCTAATCTAAAAAACTCCGCTTCGAAAAGCGCGCCCTTTCCTTCAAGGCGGGCTCTTCAAATCGAGGTTTTCCAGCTTAGAGAAGGGAAGGATTTGGAGACATTTTGGTCCCTTCCGGGATGCAAAATGAGACGTTTTTTGCCATTGGATCCGGTCCCTCACTGTATAATAATTTTTCCGCGATAGAAGTCAATTTCTCGGCGGCGATGTGATTTTCGGCGCGACAGAGCGCTCACTATTTTCCCAGCGGGCTGATACCACTTTTCCACCTCCCATTGGGCTCTCTTTTTCGGATAAAAAAAACCAATTGAATGCGATCTGATTTCTTCCGGCGTTATTCATAAGAACGTTGGCCTTTTCGGAATAACACGGTGTTCTTTTGAATGTACGCCTTGCTAATGTCTCCGGACTTTATCAATGTAATATTCTTCCGACAACAAATGTCAACTTATGATACATAAAGCGCAAAATGCGAACGATCGATTGTGTAGAAGAAACAGCTTCCAATGTGGCTTCAATTAGCGGGACTGGCTCTCCTCAGCGTTCTTGGGACGTCCTTAGTTCCTCCCAGATTCTTCAAGCCCGACGATGAAGGAGAGATTTACGCAGTGATTGCGGTCGGATCCCATCAAATGATTAACTATCGTCATCAAGCGGATGGCTGCCACACTTACCATGTCCTGCGGAATCATGGCGTCAAGGAAGAGAACATTATTGTAATGATGGTGGATGACATCGCCTCGAATCCCGAGTACGTGATTTAATTTGAGGAAAGGGGTCTTTGATATCAGTATGTCGGGAAAATAATGAGCAAAATTTCGCATCGAAAGTCGTAACGCTGCCGAGAAAATGAATTGTGAGGCAGCAAAATCAAACTGCTGTTGATATAGAAGGGTACTAGGTGGGGCGAAAAAGTCTTCACACGGTTTTGCATAGTTCCGTCGGCGTTGCGTAGTGTACGCGTTGAGGCTTTGCGAAGCAAGCAATCGGCACGGCGTGAAAGAACGACGTCGTGTGGCGTAAGCTTTGATTGCCCTTTTCAAAAAACAATCGTTTTGGATAGTGCGTGGTTGGCCTGCGCGACGGCGAACTGTGCCGACATTGGCCCGGCTGGCATAATACACAAACGGGTTCGTTGTACAGAGGCTCCTCCGTAGTTCAAAATTCTCTTATGCTTATGCGAACATCAGTGCGACCGACAACTCGGCCTATTGCAGGAATCCCTTCCCCGGAAAGGTCTTCAATCACCGCAACTTGACCACCGACGTCTACGCCGGCTGCAAGATCGACTACCGCTCGTGGAATGTGTCCTCACAGAATTTTATGAACGTTATGACCGGAGTAGAAACCCATATTGGGCCGGTCTTGAGGTCCACGGAGAAGGACAAAGTTTTCGTCTTCTACGCCGACCACGGCGGCTATGGGCATGTTCAATTCCCCGACATCGACTTCAACGTCCAAGACCTCAACAACACATTGGCCAAGATGACGGAGAAGCGGATGTACAAAGAACTGGTGCTCTACGTCTCTGCCTGTTATTCGGGCAGTCTTGTGGAGAATGTGGTGCCACTGTACGAGAATGTGTATGCCGTGACGGCGGCCAACAACAACGAACGCTCGTGGGCGGAGTATTGCGACAACAAGAGTGGGATTTGTTTGAGCGATGAGTTCACATCGGCCTTTTTGGAGTTCTCCGACGCTAATGATCTGCACAACAGTTCGCTGGAAGAACAGTATCAGGCAGTGAAGAAGCGAGTGTACTGTAGCCACGTGATGCAGTATGGAAACAAAAAGATTGCGGGAGAGGAGATCGCAGAGTTCCTGGGAGAGGAGAAAGCACCTCTTGTGGATGCCGGACCGGTGAGTTGCGTTATCAATCGCACGGCATTCTTTACTTTAGAGCAATAACCGCTCTCCCCAACTTTTTAAAATTTTCTCGAAATGCGCTCGTTTTTTCTTCCCATATACATATGGTTTGGGGCTTATAAATCATTAGGAATCCAAAAAATGTTCACAGTAACTTCCGGCTAGAATTTGCCAGTGGTATCAGAACCGACTGTGTATAGCTAGCAGTACTTCCTGCGGTGTAGGATCAACGTAGATAGGTAGACGGGACGTTTGGACCACCGCTCTTAGAATAGACACAGGTTTTGGAATAAGGTTTATTGAGACCGCACACAAAGAAAGGAAATGGGATAATGTTCTAAAAATTGGTGACAAGACGTTGCTTTTATATGAGTCGACTTATGCTAATTTCTGTGGGAATTGTGGAGACCTTTGAGGCTCCGCAACACTTCCTAGAGTATGAACAACGGACGGGCATAGCTATATACTTCCGTTGCTTATGCCACTGGCACAATTTAAACCGTTGTCGTCGTGATACATTACCTTGACGCACAATGCGCCTGTTCAAACTTCTTTTTACAGTACCACGGAGAGCATGAATGCGAGCGCCATCCCGACGATGGCGTTCGCATTACCGACCCTACACTACACTATATGAGAACGAAACTTTTGCGACTGAAAAAAAATAATGACGCCGAAAAAGCCGCGAAGATGCGTGCAGAAATTGGCGAACTGTTGGAGAGGCGACAACTCGTCGACAAAGACATTCAGAGCTTTGTAGAGAAAGTCGCGACAACCGACGAGCTAAAGGAATTGCTGGCCAAGTTCAAGCCCATCACAGACTTCGAGTGCCATCATAAAGTGCTCAGATACTTTAGCCGCAACTGCTATTCCCTAGCAAAGGTATGACCAGAAGTGGGAGTTGATAAGCATTACGTATTTTAGAACCCTTATCTCGGCAAATCCATGTACAAGATTGTCAATTTGTGCCACGCCATGAGCGCGGAAGAGATTATCGGACATTTGAAGAGCCACTTCCAAGAAAAGAGAAATGTTTCTGTTTTGTAAGCGACTTGTTTCTTCAATCAGCATAATAAATGCAAATGGTAAAGGATAGTTTGTATTGAACGGTTGTGCCATGTTTTTTCGCAGGTCTTGCACTACGTGGGCCAGAAAGTCGTGACATGTTTTCGCACTGTGTATTCGGTGTTGCGATAGTCAATCTTACAGCCGGCGTTGACGTCGGTGGTCATACTTAATTGAAGGCGTTTCGGTGAAAGGGATTTCCGTAATAGGCCACGTTTTAGGTCGCACTGTCGAAGTAGATGACAATTTTGAACTACAGTGGAGCCTCTGTACAACGAACCCGTTTGTTTATAATACTAGCCGGGCCAGTGTCAAACCCATTTCTTGGCCCTTGAAGTTTATTGTCCTTAGCGGGTCAATGTCACAGTGCGCCGTCGAAAAGGTCAATAAAAGCTTCAGTCTTGCGGTGTTTTTCATTCGCGCCGTGCCGATTATTTTTCGCGCAAAGCCGCTTGGGGACGCCGACCGAACAGGGCAAAAGCATGTGAAGTCTTTTTGGTATGCCTAGTACGCAACTTCCAGCAGAAAACAATTTTCGCAGTGAGTAGGTTCACATAACGTAGTAGTTTCATGCCATGGGTTCCTTTTTCCGATTAACGTTCGAAGCGAAGAAAAATCGAAGAAAGAAAATGTCCATTTTTTTTGAATCACCCTGTATATCATCCAAAAATATCATTTTACACATCATCTCAGATTGTATACAGTCATTTCTTTGTCAGTTAAACACGCATCAAATTAAACTCCCCTTTCTCATATATCAAAGCCCTTTCAAAGCTCTTTTTTTCAAACCGCTTTTGGCCTTATCATCTTCGGCTAGACAATAGGACTAGCCGACACTACGATGATGTGTCAAAACCCATCCCTGTAAAAGGTGTTCCCCGAGGGCGTTATTTACAAGGTGCGGCGCTTTCGAATTTATCAGTTCCAAAAAATTATTCATATAACGCATGGACAAATTGCGGATCATTTTTTGTAGTCTGCAGGGAAAATGATGAGCACAATGTCGCTGCGCCGGTCGCGCCGCTGAAGTGAAAGGCAATTTGATTTTGTCGCAAAGACAATTTTCTCGGCGGTGATGGATGCAACAGGGTGCGCATTATTTTCCCGACAGAATGAGGCGGGCCAAAAAGAATGTCTTCATAACGCGCGGTTGAGCATAAAATTTTTCGCGCGCGACGACTAAAATTCACAGAGCCCGCACGGTGCGAAAACATGTCAAGCCAAAACTTCATGTTTTTGCACGGTGCAGTCGACGCCGCAAAGTGGATTTGCGCGACAACCGATCAGCACGAATTCCATCGATTGCGACCCCGCATCGATTGCGACCCAGCATCGATTGCGACCCCGCATCGATTGCGACCCAAAATGGGGTAAAGCGACCCCGGGATGAAAATTCTTTGATTCTCTTCGGGAAAAACTTGCTTTAGGGGTTTTCGAGGGTGCTGATTTCGAAAATGATGTTCATTTTTCCTCTAGTACTACATAGTGCTGTCTGATACTATATAGTACGAAATGAAAATATCGCTTTTGACGTTAACTACTCGATTTAGGGGTTTTCGAGGGTGCTGATTTCGAAAATGATGTTAATTTTTCCTATAGTACTACATAGTACTGTCTGATACTATATAGTACGAAGTGAAAATATGGCTTTTGACGTTAATAGTGTTGGTTTGATGCTTAGTACTCTTCAAAAACACGTTTTAAAGACTTGGTACTATATAGTACTGTCTGATACTATATAGTACGAAGTAAAAATAGGCGTACTAAGCATCAAAACAACACCATTAACGTCAAAAGCCATATTTTGCCTTCGTACTATATAGTATCAGACAGTACTATATAGTACCAAGTCTTTAAAACGTGTTTTTGAAGAGTACTAAGCATCAAAACAACACCATTAACGTCAAAAGCCATATTTTGACTTCGTACTATATAGTATCAGACAGTACTATGTAGTACTAGAGGAAAAATGAACATCATTTTCGAAATCAGCACCCTCGAAAACCCCTAAATCGAGTATTTAACGTCAAAAGCGATATTTTGACTTCGTACTACATAGTATCAGACAGTACTATGTAGTACTAGAGGAAAAATGAACATCATTTTCGAAATCAGCACCCTCGAAAACCCCTAAAGCAAGTTTTTCCCGAAGAGAATCAAAGAATTTTCATCCCGGGGTCGCTTTACCCCATTTTGGGTCGCAATCGATGCGGGGTCGCAATCGATGCGAGGTCGCAATCGAGCGGGGTCGCAATCGAAGGATTCCGATCAGCACAGCGCGAATGAAAAGCGCACTGTGCAGTTTCAGCCCTTTTCGAAAACGGTGTTTTTGCACGGTACGGGGTCGCAGGGTACCGTGAATTTAATGCGTCGCTTTTTGAACAGTTGCGACAAGGTTTGTCGCGCGACCGCGCATACTGCAAACATTCAGACTTTTTGGCCCGCCTGTTCTCCGAATTCACCTGCAAATTGGCTTATGGACTGCGTTATTGAATTCGACACAATTTGATTAGTGTTTTATTTGAAAGAAACAGACATAATGAAGGCCTATGACGTCCAAAATTCGAATGTTTATGGAGATATGATTCTGATTTGGACACCAATCTTCCCCTTGTTGTGCAGTGGCTTTGGAATTGCGGCGTTGGTCTCAGGGTAGGCGGTTTTGTAGGGGTATTTTTAGAATGTTCTTTTTTTTGGGGGATTCTTTGAACGAACAAATTCAAAACCGTTACGTATCAGTTTTACGAGAGAAGTACCTCAAATCGCTCAGATTTCTTTTCAATTCTGCACAGACCACAAATCAATTCCTGAAAGTCTCAGCTTGCGCTTTGAAGGAGCAGCCAAGATATTAGAAAATCTTAGACACAATGGTCCCTACGGTTTGACTCGTATTTTACAAAAAAATTCGCCAACTTTCAGCTACCTAATAGCCGTCCTGAACGATCACGAGGAGGCGTGGCTACCATTGATCAGTGAAGGAGGCTCAATCGCCCCCGAAAGCTGTGTGTTTGGCACTCTTCTGAATCTCGCCGCATTCTTTTGTAAGTCATTTCATTATCATACTTATATAATACATATATTGACGACCACGCCGGGACTATAAAAAGCAAATGTGATAAGAAAATTTTGCAATTTTAATGGACATATGATTATTAAAACTACATAGCTACCCACAAAGCTCACAGCATACGTTTTGCAGCATGTGTCAAAAAATAGTGACTGCGAGAAAAGTGTGAAATAAGCTTATGTTAAAACTAGAATTACAAGTCGATACTGCTGTTTCAATCGCGATGAGCGCCCCTTCTCCCAGTTGGAATTTGAGTTCAAGTTCGCGAGCTCCTCGAAACTTCAACAGAACTTGAAGTTCTTGAAGTTTGATCTCGACATAAATTCGAGTTCAAGTTCGAAATGAGATGAGCTATGAAGAAGCAAGCTCAAGTTCACAGAAATTCACGCGGACCTGGCCTGTCTCTACAAACTTTTTTGAACGGACGGTCTGGCTTTTTTTTCGTCGCAACTTTTCGGGTCAGCGAAAGCTCGGGCCAACGATCCTATGGATTGCGTCGGTTCGTCGTTGTATGCATGGGAGAGGCTAGCAGAAGGACTAGTTAGTAGAAATAACAAGACTGATAGACGGAGGTCCAAAAAAAGATTGCATGAGGTCCTACGAGGCATGAAAAAGCCGTTGGACGCTCCGCGGCCGTTCGGCACGAGCTCGGCGGAGAGTTCTTGGCGAAGACTTCTAATATGCCCACTTTTTCTAATTTTTGCTATTGATAACCTTAATCTGTCTTGACCCTGAGTTATTGTAACATATCGAACAACCAAAAATTGCTCAAAAAAGCGAAGGTTCGTATGAAAAAAGGTGATAAACTATTCTTGGGGTATGATCAATCTTATCATTTCTGTTAACTGGGCCTTCTCCAATCCTTCCTCATGCGTAAAACAACAAATAGAAGCAATCCAATTTACTAAAATCCCCCATTTTCAGGGTGGATAACATGTTTCTGTGTCCATTTCCAGCTCATTCAGCACATCCAGATCTACCGATCTCGCAGGTCAAAACTCCGGTTTCTGTTTATGTTCATGCTCATCGCCGGCCTTTTCTCGGGCCTTGGCCTTATTTTGGTGGGCAATTTTCAGTTGAGTACGGTGCGAGCGGTTCATGGCAAAGGCGCCACCGGTGGGTTCTTCGGCGGGATGGTGTATGCATGGAGTTATGTGGTTTTGTTGATGCTCCTACGACCGCGATGGATCCCCAAGTGGCTGTTGGCGGTTCGTGTGCTCATGGTGACGATTGTGTCTTGTGCTGTGATACTACGTAAGAATTGGAAATTGCAACGCAATAGTAGCAGATGACAGTTTCGAACTACCGCGGAACCTCTGTACAACGAACCCGTTTGTTTAGAATACTAGCCGGGTTAATGCCGGCATAGTGCGCCGTCGCGCAGGCCACACCATGCAAAATGATTTTTTATTTTGAAAAGGGCAATCAAGGTTGCCGGTTGTTTGTCGCGCAAAGCTACTACGCGACGCCGACGGAACTGTGCAAAAGCCTGTGAAGACTTTTTGGTCCGCTTAGTACCCTCCTATATCAAGGCAATTTGATTTTGCCACACAATGCATTCTTTCGGGAGCGCTGCGAAAATGAATTGTGTCGCGGCAAAGTCAAATTTCTTTTCTCTTAGGCGACGGTGTTGGCGCAGCGACATTGTGTTCATTATTTCCTGGTTTAGAATTTCCTCTTCCTTGGGTTAAATCCCCGGCTCAGCCCCCATGTAGTGAATGATGAAAGGTGGATAGGTAGAAGATAGTAGACACAAGATTAGGAATAAAGTTTATTGGACCACCGCACACGAAGAAAGAGAAATGAGTTTAATCTTCTAATTGGTGACAAGACATAGCTTTTGTATGATTTGGTTTATGCTAATTTCTGTGGGAATTGTGGAGGCTTTTGAGGCTCCACGACACTGACAGACAAATAATAAAACGTTTCCAGATGAAGTCTCAATGCGAGCGCCTGTGTTTGTTGCAAGACGGGAAGATGGCTCCCTTCCACCTAAACCTGACACACCCGAGAACGGGATTCTGCGGTTAAAGCCGTCCGATCCGGTAAGTAGACCATTGCTGATTACGGAGAACCCTTCCTTATTTTCAGTACTACAACAACAGGATCATTGCGTGCATTGCCGAATGGACCTTGGGGATTGGCTACTTTCTTATCATAGCCACGATTGCGATGGACCTGAGGTGGTTTAGAATCGACACACATGACGAGTCCGTCGCTAAAAAAGATGGAGGAAAGATCGTGCCAATAATGGTGGATGAAGATCGGGGAAGTGTGGAGCAATTTAAATTCTAGCTTTATTGATGGGACCGTGTATGTAGATACGAAACGTTAATAAACACTTATAATTAGAAGTGATTTTGTAACAACCTGTTATGGGACGATTTAAAGATGCTCTACCACTTTTTTAGCGCCCAACGTAATCTGTTTCTTTATCGCGTATTAGCACTTTCATAAAGTGCATGGGCATTCGTTATCTATCACAATGAATTTGAACTTTTTCCCACGCTTGACATCTGCAGTCGGTCGGGAAAATAATGTGGATTTTGTGTAGTATCAATCTGTCGGCAAAATAGTGTGGTTTGTTCGCAAAGCGGCCTTTTGTCGGCGCGACGAATCCAAATCCACATTATTTTCCCGACAGACTGACAGTATTTTCATGAAGTGCATGTACACTTGGTCTCTTTCGCACAGTACATCTTGAACTTTTTTTTGTGCACAGCGGCAAAACGTCCATACAGTCTGTCGGGAAAATAATGTGGATTCTTCGCGGCTTGGAGTCGCCTATGATCGCTTTGCAACGACTAGCTGGAGATTTGACGAGGCGGGACATTTTTCTGCGACAATTACACATTATTTTCCCTACAGACTGATGCTACTCAAAATCCATACTATTTTCCCGACAAACTGATACTTCCGAAAATCCACATTATTTTCCCGACAAACTGATACTACTCAAAATCCACATTATTTTCTAGACAAACTGATACTACTCAAAATCCGCATTATTTTCCCGACAGACTGATGCTACTCAAAATCCATATTATTTTCGCGACAAACTGATACTACTTAAAATCCACATTGTTTTTCCGACAAACTCATACTTCCGAAAATCCACATTATTTTCTAGACAATCTGATCAATGCTGATATAAGCACTCTGTCGCGGCGAAAATCACATCGCCGCTGAGAACGACGGACCGCTAAAACGACATGCTTCCACTACATTGCCTCGACAAATGCTCAACAATCAACCGCGAAGCCGTTGATCCAATCAATTCCTTCCTTCAAATGCCGTTATTGACAGAACTTGCGTTTTCGTTCCCCCACTCCGAAAATAAGGGGATTTGATGGCGATTATTCCGTCGATTGTTTACTCTGATGTAACGGCAGCGCGGTTGGCGAGTGAGCCGTTCCCTTCTTGTGGGCTTGTTTTTTGTTTGGATTTGCGTGGATTGAGTGGGCGAACTGGAAGCTGTTTATTACGGTTATTACTGGGGGTGATCGATTGATTAGAGAAATGGATTCATCGCTTCTAAACGTTGTGTTGTTGGAAGTGATTTGAGAAGACAGAAACGGTTGTGATACTAGTCTGCTTGCAACGTCGCTGGAGTGATTTTTGCGACATGCACTGTGAGAAAACAGAAGTGCACCGTGCAATAGGCTTTTTTCGGCTGTCACTCGCACTCGCACTTTTTGCGCATTTCCAGACGGACTAGTGATAGATATGAATGCTAAGAATGGGCTGTCAGTCTGTCGGGAAAATAACGGCGGGCCGTCGCAGCAAAATGTTTCGCCTCGTCGGAAAAAGGGTGAAATATCGCACTAAATTCCCTGCGGCTGCTAGCCGTCGCAAGGCGATGATAGGCGATTTCAGGGTGTAACGACCTGCTGCTATTTTTCCAAGGGACTATTACAGTGAGGGACCGGCTCCAATGGCAAAAAACGTCTCATTTTGCATCCCGGAACGGACCAAAATGTCTCCAAACCCTTCCCTCCTCTAAGCTAAAAAGCCCCGCTTTGAATAGCCCGCCTTGAAGGAAAGGGCGCGCGTTTCAAAGCGGAGTTTTTTAGCTTATTAGAGAAGGGAATGGTTTGGAGTCATTTTGGCCCTTTCCGGGATCCAAAAGGAGACGTTTTATGCCATTGGATCAGGTCCCTCACTGTACGTCTTATGCCAAGAATATGAAAGAACTGGGCTGCATTCTTGTGACCGGGAAAAACGTGGAAATTTGATTTGTTGGCGTTTGGTTTGTAGCTGATTTCCCGTTCTACATTTTCAACCTTTTCTTTTGTTTGATATGTAAGATGCCGGTCAACTTCTTGCGGGTGTTTCATCGCTGATTTATTATGCGCTAATAAATCTGCGGATTCTGCAACAATCCGAAATTTATTGTGGTACGGAGCGATCCTTTGCGTCAAATACTTTATCTTTCGTGTCAAATACCTTATCCTTCACCTAGTTTCTTTGTTCCACCATCTTCACCAAATCATCATTCAGCAAAAAGAAGAGCACGCGGCATCTTCCTCCTTCGGCTTGCTGCACTTCCAGTCCGTGAATCTGGTTCCGCATCGTGGATTCATCCGTGGGAAGATAAACAAGCGTTAAGCCGGCTGATTTCACGATGCCATCCCCATCCGATCCGCACTGATATCCCCCCGCATTTTACGCGATAAAACGCCCATTTCCCATCATCAATTCCGGTCTTCGGGGGGGCTCGTAAAGCGATGGTCTCTTATCATTGCGAGAACACGTTCCCGAATTCCTTGTCGCCGCGAAGAAAAAACGAAAGTGATTCCGGATACGAGAGGGGCGAAATTTTAATGCCGCCTGTAGTTGGCGGCACGCCCCGGGTTTCTACGCGCAGACACTTTATACGAAGAGAAATTAGGTGACTCCCGATTTCGGGTTCATGCGCCGTTAACTCCCCCAACGACGACATTACTTTCGACGGCTTTTCTGGGATTAATTAATTAGCGGAGGCGAGGGCTTCGTTACAGGATGGGTTACGAATTTCGCGGCGTTACACGTGCTGGTGTAAGTGGGGGTGAGAAAAGTTTTGTTCGAAATTCTGTTCTGAGCTCTCTACAGCGAAATTTCTCCATGCTAGCCCGTCCGAAAAAAAGCTGGAGAGATTTCGGCGACATGCACTGTGAGAAAGCAAAAGTTCACCTTGCACTGTTCAATTTGTTGCTTTTTGTACCGTGCAATCGAATTTTCTTTGGGCTTCGCTCGCACAGCCGTCGCTCAGACTTTTTTGCACAGTGCAATGTTGCCAAAATCATTCCAGCGACTTTGCGAGAGGGCTATCGAGCAATTTCATTCCTCTGACTCACTTTGAACGGGCAACATCTGCGCTTTACTGCGCTTCCACTGTATACTTTATGTATTAGCATTTTCATAAAGTGCATGATCATTTTCATATTATTTTTTTTTCACAAAAAACATCATTTTGCACAAGTTTGAAATGCGGTGTGCGAAACATGCAGTTTATGAAAATATAATACTATCAGCCTGTCGCGAAAATAATGTGGATTTGCCGTTGAAATGATTTTTCACTCAAAGCAAAACTGATTTCTCGTTCTTTGCTTACAATTTGTCATCTGAAACCCCTCCTCAACTAGCTTTTTCTCCCCCTCGTTTTAACCGAATAGCTTTTGTTTCAAAGGTCAATCTAATATTTTTTAATTTCGAATATTATTTTTATTGCTTTTTCGACAAATTTCTACGGAATGCAGAAGCCGGACGTCAAGCTTTCCGTTTTTTGAGGGATAAAATTGCGTTGGTAACCAGAGTTTATGTGGCCTTTGACTTTGCAAAAATGTGACACTTTTTGGAACCTTTGGATCAAAATTTTCATAACTATTTCTACCGTAATGCTTCCATAAAAAAAATCATTTCTTCCGACACGAAACTGGCAAAGATAGGCACTTCTCCGCACCAAATTCTATAAAATTTATATCAAACTGAAGCTGAGACACTCTATTTTTTGCTCACCACGTTTGACGTGTCCATGTTCACGGAAGATCTCTTACATTGACGGACCTGACATAGCGGCAAAAAACGTACCATTTTGCATCCGGAAAGTATCAAACATGTGGCAAAATGCTTCCCTCTCCAAGTGAAGAAACTCCTTTTTCAAATTTGTTTTTGTGAGGGAAAAGGCGCCCTTAGAAACGAGGTTTTTTCACTTGGAGAAGGAAGCATTTTGCCACATTTTTGACGCTTCCCGGATACAAAATGGCACTTTCTTTGCCACTGGATCGGATCCTTCATTGCACACATTTTGCCCCAATTTCGTTTTCACAACTTTCAAAGCCTCTAAAAGGGTTTACAACCCTTTCCTCTGGCATTTCCAGATAGTATCTACCCCTTTGCCCCACCACTAATCTCACCGCCGACCTCAATTTTCCCCAATTTCCAGTGTTTACCCAATCTTCGGCACCCTCAGATCGCTATCTAACCCGATTACCCTCAGGTATTTTGCGCGTAAATCCCCACAAACCCCTTGATATCAGCGCCCCATCTCCGTGGTGGCAAATCCAGCAGTTTTTGATTCGGCGGCAGATAAGGAGCGGCGGATTTTTGGGATGCCCGGATGTTTTAGTAGCGGCTCTTCGCGGATCCGCGGGCAAGCGGTGTGATTAATAGCGGGTAATTTTTATTCGCCTGGGATCTGGAATAAGTGTCGGGGGGTTGCGAAATGTGTAGGTGGGAATTTTCGGCTATATACGGTTTACAAAAACCCTGCCATATAACGAAACCTGTCTGTAGCGAGCACTTCAAGAAGTCTCTCATACAGTTTCGGTTTAGAGCCAAGTTCAACCTGCGTTCTATGCAACCCTTCCATAACAAACAATTTTTTTCCTTTTGCAGTATGTTATACAGGGGTTCGTTAAGCCTTGGGATCGCCCATCATCGCTTTGCAAGGGCTGCCGAGTCTGGAGATTTGGTAGCGGTGAGGCGAGACCTTTTGATGCGACGACCCGCCGTTATTTTCCCGACAGACTGATATTAGCTATTTGCGTAAAGTGAGTAGATTTTGGGGCTAAGGTAGTACAACCCGCCAGTCCAGTTCAGCCCCCCATGACCCAGCACAAACCCCCTTATACAATCTGAACCGCCTACTCGGGATTGGGTTCTCTCGGCTACGATCATCGTTGCCTGAACCACAAGAATGAATTTGGACGGTAACTGGGGGTTTGAGCTATCTTTCGTGGGGGGCTGAACTACCAAAGCCCCAAGATTTTCCCTCCGATTTTGGCATGCACCTTGCACTTTGATGTTTTTCGCACTGTTAAAACGTGAAAACGCGAGTAATTTGACAAAACCGTGGCTACGTAGTTGGAAGAAGCATATTTGCGGCGATATTTTGCTGCACGGTGCGAAAACTTGAAAAAAAGTAAAATGCACTGTGCAAAATTCGGTTTTCCGGCTAGCGACAAAAAGTCTGTGCACTTTAGAAAAATATTTTTAGAAGCTCCCAAAGGCAATCTTAAACTAGTTACGGAAAAACCAATGCCGTTTAGACATTCTTTACATCTTGCGGCAACTGAGAAAGTTTGCGAATTTTTCGAAATTTTAACTCGCGCTTTGCAGAGACACCAATATATTCAACGACATTTCTTAACGAAAGATGCTGTTTTCAAATTTTTATGTTGACTTTCACTCCATTTTTTAAAGATTGCAAAATCTCCTCCCTTACTTTTTACGGAATTTTTACTTTCGCTCAATTGTTGTCGCTTCAGTCGGCAAATTAGCGCGAAAAAAGTTGAGTTATTTGCAAAAAAAGAATGCGGGCTCTTCAGATCAAAGGAGTCGACGGAAAGTCCGAAAAAGTTCAAATGTTTCCGGTAGATTCTTTTTGTATTCCCTTTCGTACGAGTAAGCCGAAGATTTCCGTTGCGATTTTTTCGGGTTTTTTAGTGGGGTTGTGGAGTCGTCAACGCGTCAGTCTTGTTGTCAAGTTTGTTGCGACTTTTGTGTGCGCGACGGACTACCACATATCGCACAGGGTTAGACATGGCTCCTGTCCTACTTTACCTTGGCAAATGATGGTCATGGTAAAAGTGGATTAAATTAGCAGCCGTTTTTACAGTTCTAATTTTTTAAAAGCTTGCAGCTAATTTTTTAAAGGTTGCAACTGTGAATTGTTATTATACTATCAGTTTGTCCGGAAAATAATGAGCAAACTGTCGCTGCACCAATCGCGTCGCTGAAGTGAAAAGCAATTTGATTTTGTCGCGACACAATTCATTTTCGATGCGACAGGGCGCTCACTATTTTTCCGACAGACTGATGGAATACTCCTGCGATCACAGCCAGAGATTGCCACATCCAAATTTGCGGCTCTGGCTGCGGCTCCCGGCTCCTGTGCAAGATCTAAAAAGTTCTGCGGATACCGGCTCCCGCGCAAGAATTTTTTTAAAAATATTTTTCCAAAAAAACGTTATTTATACCAGAGACGACACACCTAACGTTTTTGAGCCAAGTCGTATGCAACAAATCCTTCCCACTACTTTTTTGGCTTAACAAGATCAGGAAATTTTTACTTTTCTAAACGCTGGGAAGCCTGGCTACAACCTTGGACTCGGGACCCGGAGTCGCTCAGAACCGAAGCCAAGAGCCGGCTCCGGAGCCGTGCCAATCCTTGGTAACAGCGAAAAGCAGTTTTTAGCCAAATCTTTGCTTGTGCTTTACAGCCGTAGCCGAGGTATACAACGATCTTTGCGGCCGAGAGAGCACACCAAAGTGCGGTGATGGATAAAACCACTTTTTGGCCGTATTTTTGTCAGTTTTGTGCGGAAAAAATTGATTTTTCGTCAGAAAATTACTCTCTGCACTAAAAATCGGTATAAAAATTTTGATGCCAAAATTGGCAAAAAAGTGTCACATTTTTGCCAAATTTCGATCTAAAAATCTCGGTCATTTTTTGGAAAGCACAAGAAAGGATTCTGGCATATATCCTAGAAAAAATTATTCTAAATTTATGCCAAGTTCCAGGAAAATCTGAGCGTTGCATTTTGGGTACCTTCTTTGTAAATCTCTGCCAAATCTCATCGAAAAATCGGGATTTCTCAACATTTTCAATTTTCAAAAGTTGCATAACAGTTTTTTCCACTTTTGTTTACCCCATTCCAATTTTTCATTTTTGATTTTCCCAACAAAAAACATCTGATTTGTCGTTTTCCCCTCTCTCTCTCCGCGAGACCTCCGCCGCGAAAAGCCGGCGGCGAATCGCATTTGTGGCAGATTCCCTGGATCTGTCGCCACTGATTAGGTCTGATGGGAATGACCTACCTTAGCAACGCAAAAAACATTCGTTTTGGAGACTTTTTTGCGACAAAATTTCGGAATTTCCCCCCTCCTTTTTGGCGCATTCCGCGCCGGCTTAATGCGCTCTCGGCGAGGGGTTTGCGAATTATGGCGGGCGAACTTTTACTTTTACGGAAGCCAGCGATGAACTTTAATGGTCGGCTGGAGGATTAGGATTACTTTTTGAGAGCTGTCTGACTTGTTATTTTCTTGATTTGTAAGCTCAAATCAGCTTTGTTTTCGTTCCGGGACCAAAAAAAATTTTTTTGAAAAATACAATTTTTTTCTTATATGGCAAATGACAAAGACTTGGGTTTCAACGCGAAACCAACCCATAATTGGGTATAATAAAAAGAAAAAAAAATTTAACGAAGCTTTGAAGCTTTGAGGTGTGCGAAACAAGGGCGCAGCTGACCAAAAAAAATTTTTTGGAGGGAGGTCGCCTAGAGGGTCACCATGTAAAAATTTTTCTCACTTTGGTCCCCTCTTACCATTTTTTCCATCGACCCAGGCTAAGGGGGAGAGATTTTCTTAATATTTTCCACACACGTTAGGCATTGGCCGCATATCAAAAAACCCTGAAAATCTTGGCTCGCGCTTTGCCGGCGCGGCCGAGATGTGTACTTAACAATTTTTTTGGAAAAGATTTTGGACTAAAAATCTCGGTCATTTTTGCAACGCGCGCGCTAGCGGTCTTGGATATGTCTGAATTATCTTACACGCAAGTTTGTGCCAAATTTCATCAGAATCGGAACTTTATTTGTTACCGTTCGTGTATCAGTCTGTCGGGAAAATAATGAGCACTCTGTCGCATCGAAAATCGCATCGCCGCTGAGAAAATGAATTGTCTTGGCAGCAAAATCAAGTTGTTTTTCACTTCAACGACGCGATTGCCGCACAGTGTGCTCATTATTTTCCCGACAGACTGATAGTTTGCCCGTCTAACCTTTATAAATAAGTTTTCTTGTCATCTTTGTCACATCGATTGTGTCAAAGAGGACTGATTTTACTTTGAATGTCTAGGTCGCGGTTTTTTCCTTTTTTCATTTTTTTTTTGAACCTGAGCTTCGCCGTTTTTTCGCTGAAGTTTCAAGAGCGGCTAAAAAAACTCCTTGACTTTCAGATGAGGTGGGCATTACTCGTCGTCATATTAGTCGTGCCGGCTTTTTCAAGGCCTCAAGCTGACGGCAAGGAAGAGCATCCCGCTGATGGTATGTTGACGAGAAAAATGGAGAAAAAAAGTTTTTCAAAAATGAAAAAAAAATAAATAAAAAAGTAATAAAAAACTATAATAAAAAATTCAAAAATTTTTTTTTAATCCTCTTGTTTTATTTCTCATATTCTTTTATTTTCAGACCTAAAATGCCCGAAAATTAACAAAAATTAAAAAAAACAATAAAGAAAACCAAACAAAAATTTTTTAATCAATTAATCAAATGATTTTTTTGTAATTTTTTACCTCATTTTCACCAATTTTTTTCTATTTTAGACCTAAAATCCCCGAAAATTTTAAAAAATTTTTAAAAAATAAAAAGATCAAAGAATTTTTTTAACCATTTTACCCCATTTTCACCTATTTTTTCTATTTTAAGACCTAAAATCCCCGAAAATTATCAAAAATTTTAAAAAAATAAAAATATCAAAAAAATTTTTGTAATTTTTTACCTTATTTTCACCTATTTTTTTCTATTTTCAGACCTAAAATGCCCGAAAATTATCAAAAATTTTGAAAAAATAAAAAGATCAAAAAAATTTTTGTAATTTTTTACCTTATTTTCACCTATTTTTTCTATTTTCCGACCTAAAATGCCCGAAAATTATCAAAAATTTTTAAAAAATAAAAAGATCAAAAAAATTTTTTTAATAATTTTACCCCATTTCCACCTATTTTTTCTATTTTCAGACCTAAAATGCCCGGAGGATCGAGTCTCCTACTTTGTGACTCCCCACGTCTCCCCTCTGGCCTCTTATTCCTATCGCGTTGACGAAATTGAGCTCGAAAAATGCCAGGAATGGTGTTCGAAGAACCTGAATCCCCAAGATCAGCCAGCCACGTGTGCCTCATTTACCTACAATAACGACACAAAACAGTGCAAATTGTATCCCGAGAAGACGTTCCCGGATGGGCTTTTGGAGAGGAGGGACACCAAGAAGCCCAAATTTTTGTATGAAAAATATTGTCTGCCAGGTAAGGAGAAAAAAAAATTCTGCCAGGTAAATTTTAGCCCTTGAAACGGAATGCCAAAAATGGCGGAAAATTTGAATTTTTTGAAAATTCACATGCGAAAACACCACGAATACGGCCTGATAGTTTCCAAAATGCTACTGACGACTGTTCTAAGTCTTCGTTTCGACCATAAAATCCAATTTTAGCCCTTGAAACGGAATGCCAAAAATGGCGCGAAATTTGAATTTTTCGGAAATAGGCTGAGAACGATAACAGTAAAAGTCATGTTTAAAAAATTTTTTTTTTCATCAAAAAAACTAGAAAAAAATCAATCCAAAGAAAATTTTATCCTTTGAAAAATTTTTTTGATACTTATTGCGTCATTTTTGCCCCCAAATTTTGACAATTTCCCCCCAAAAAAAACCACTCAAAATCTTTCTTCCCCAAAAAATTTTTTTTTCAGAAACCCTCTCCGCCGATTGCGCCAAGGTCCATTTCCGTCGCGTGGACGAGAAAATCCTCAAGGGCTATGCGCAAGCGACGGCTATGGTCCGAACTTTGGGCGATTGCATGACGCAATGCATCAAGGAGACCGACTTCCCATGCAAATCGGCCATGTTCTTCTACGAGGAAGGAGAATGCATCACCAATTTGGAGAGTGATGACGTCTCGCCTGAGGGGTTGACTGAGCCGGAGGACGATGACAGAGCCATCTTTATTCAGAATGATTGCTATTTCAAGAACCACAAGAGTGAGTTTGAATTCCCAAAAATTGTTTAGGGATTTTTTTTACCTTTTATACCATTTTTGGTAGTTTCAAGGAATTTTTAGCCCTTGAAACAGAATGCCAAAAATGGCGGGAAAATGGAGTTTTTTGAAAATCCACGTGCCAAAATAGCACAAATACGGCCTGGTAGTTTCTAAAATGCTACTGATGACTGTTCTAAGTCCTCGTTTCGACTATAAAATCCAATTATAGCCCTTGAAACGGAATGCCAAAAATGGCGGAAAATTTGAATTTTTGAAAATTCACATGCAAAAATAGCACGAACACGGTCTGACAGTATGCAAAATGCTACTGAATGCTGTTCTACAGCTTTTTTCACTTTAAAATCCAATTTCAGCCCTTGAAACAGAATGCCAAAAATGGCGGAAAATTTGAATTTTTTTTAAATTCACATGCAAAAATAGCACGAATACGGCCTGATAGCTTCTAAAATGCTACTTACGACTGTTCTAAGTCCTCGTTTCGACCAGAAAATCCAATTTTAGCCCTTGAAACGGAATGCCAAAAATGGCGGGAAATTTGGATTTTTCGGGAAAAAATTGTCGATTTCAGCCTGATTTCGGACTCACTCAACGGGAAGATACTTTTCGTTACCAGTAAAAAAGTTTCTGGATTCGACTTTTTTAACAGTTGAAACGGAATGCCAAAAGTGGAGATTTGAATTTTTTTATTTTACATATATTTTACAAAACTAATTCCAGACGACACCAAGCCCGAACAACCCAAAGAAAAGCCAGAAGAAGAGAAGAAAATCGAACAGACGACTACCGAAAAACCCACCGAAGCTCCAACCACTCAAGCCCCACTTGTCGAAAAGGTTGTGGTCGATGAATCAACCAAGCCAGAGCCCATTCATGAGGAAATAACTGAGGCTACTAGCCCCAAAGAGGATAAGAATGCTAAAGGTAGCGAATATTTTTATGAGAAAATGGGATTTTTTGGGAGAAACTAGGAGAAAATCTTATGGAAAATATAACAAAAAAAAACTGAAAACTTAGGCTGAAATCTTTGTAAAATATTGTAAACACTCCGCAGCAACTTTTTACACCATTATTGGCAGTTTCAAGGCATTTTTAGCCTTTGAAACAGAATGCCAAAAGTGGCGGGAAATTTGAGTGTTTAAAATCTCACCTAGCAAAATAACACGGATACGGTCTGAAAGTGTCTGAAATAACACTGAACCCTGTTCTACAGCCGTTTTCACTTTAAAATCCAGTTTTAGGCGTTGAAACGGAATGCCAAAAAATGGCGGGAAATTTGATTTTTTGGAATTTCCACATGGAAAAATAACACGAATACGGTCTGACAGTATTTGAAATGATACTGACTGCTGTTCGACAGCCTTTTCGCTTTAAAATCCAATTTCACCACTTGAAACGGAATGCCAAAAAATGTGGGAAATTTGAATTTTTTGAAAATTTTGGTCGATTCTAGCCTGGTTTCGGATTAAAGTAACGTGTATATACTCTTGACTACCAGTAAAAACGTTTCTAGACATTTGAAATCGACTTTTTTGACAGTTGAAACAGAATGCCAAAAGTTGCGGGAAATTTTAATTTTTGAAATCCCCATTAAATCTAATGCCTGAGTTACATATCAAGTTAGCTGAAAATTATATTTACACCTATTAAAATATATTTCTTCCTTCAGAATCCACCACTCAACGCATCCAAACCCTCCACATTCAAACGTTGCCCCCAACTGAAGCCGCCGAAGAGCCGGCGAAGCCATTGGAAATTGTCGACCAAGACATTCCAAGTGACATTCAGCCAGCGGAGAAGAGTGAGAAGCGTCCCGAGCTGTATGGAGCCAAGATCTTGGTGAGTTCGAGGGGAAATAAAATTTTTCGGGAAATTTGGGGAATTTTTTTTTTTTTTTTTTTTTTTTTTTTGAGAATTTCGCTGTCATGCAAACTTCTGAGCCTAAAACAATGTTTGAAGCCAATTTTCACCCCCAAAAACTTTCAGCAACCCACCGAAACGGACGGAAATCTCTTCCAAGCCATCAATTCCAAGGCCTCCGAGCCCAAGCCCTCAAAAATTGGGGCGCCAGAATCCGCGAAAAAACTCAAAATCAACGTTCTACATACCGAGCCTTTCCATCCGAACGCCCCATCTCCACTGAATGCTCCAGCACCACCTCCACTCAACGACGAAACCCAATATTTCACGACTTGGGCCCCATGGACTCAATGCAAGATGGCGGGAGAGCGACGAATCCGCAGGAGAAAGTGTTTGGACCTCAAGAAGTGCAAAGGAGCCCTGATGCAGATCGAGAATTGCCCACATGAATTGATCAAGGAGGAGGAAGTTGCGCCACTTGATATCACAGCTAGTGATGATGGTAAGTTAATATAATTTTTGAACGGAAACGCTCTACGAAGGTTCTGAAAACCTTCGCAAGCCTTTTATTACAAAAAATTAAGTTGAATCGACTTCAAAATTTTAAATTTTGAACGTTTTTTACGGATTTTGCCATTTTATACGATGAAAGGTGTCCGAAAGTTACAGTAAGGGTTGGGGTAAAACTAGATGTTAAGAATTGATTATAGAGCTATGGAATAGCTCATAGCACCATCATTTTGTTTCTAGGCCTTCGTAGCAGATTTTTGCCAGTTTATACGATGAAACCTGTCTGAAAGTAGCGAATGGCAGAGATTACTGTAAAATAATGTCACAAAAGCTTTTCATTAAATAATTTGGATAGCTCGGGTAAATTCTTCCCAATTTTGCCCCTAGGAGGCTCAATCAATGATTTGCGACGTTTTATACGATGAAACTTGTCCAAAGTAGTGAAAGTCAGGGATTACTGTAACATAACAAAAATTGTGACAAAAATCTGCGCGACGGATCAGTGGAATACGTATCGGTCAACTACTTCCCGATTTTGCCCCTAGGCAACACGATAAATAATTTGCCACATTTTATACGATAAAACGTCTCCATGTAGTGAAAGCCGGAGATTACTGTAACATAATGTGACAAAAAATTGTCATTGGAACGTTTGGGGCCCACTTTAGTCGCATGCTACCCGATTTTGCCACTAGGCAGCTCCAAAAACACTATGCGACATTTTATACGGTGAAACCTGTCCAAGAGCAAAAGTTCCAAAATTCTGTTTTACACGTGACTTGACGTGACTTTATGCCCCTAAAATTTCAATTTTCAGCCTTCGCGCACGGTCCCGTGGGCCCTGCCCGTCAGCCGTTGCCGGTGGGGATCTCCACTCAACACGAAGCCGGCGCTCCCCCAGCCATCCTACCGCCCAAACTCTCCAACGAACGCGTGGAGAAGCTGCCCGACGGCGCTCCCGGCCATCCCGACGACGTGTGGTCGCCCTGGTTGGGGATCTGCCAGCAATTCGCGTCGTCGCAGCCCTGCAAAGGCGGCCAAATGATTGGGTTCGAGTCGCGCGAGTGCATCGCCAAGGATCCGGCCGCTTGTCAAGGCCCGTTCTTCCGTTATTGCGTGCTCCCCTGCTGAATTATAGCGCAAGTCGGAGCCGAAAAACTTGTGTAATCAAAGGTTTTGCCATATTCTTTCCTCAATTTGATTTTTTTTTGGATTTTTTTCTAATAATTATTACTCAAAACGGGATTTTTTCCACTTTTTTAATAAGTTCAGGTGCACAATTTTTTAGTGTAATAAAAAAATCGTAGCGGAAATTTTTTGTTTTCGCTATTCTCGAGTTTTAGAGAGTTTGCAGCGGAATGAAAATGATTTTATTGTCCATCATGACCATTACTGTGATAAATAAATTGTTTTTGAAGATTTGTCGGATGAATAAAAATTTGAAAAATTTTATGAAACTTGAGTAGGTGAATACCCCAAAAAAAGGGTTACAACTCTCCGAATTTCACCGTAACTTCTTTATTATTATTCCTGAACAACGCGTAACAAATGTTTTCTTTTCCTAGCAAAAATTATGGATTAATTAACAAAAAAAATAGAACAAAATTGAAAGAAAAAATGCCGAGACCATCGCAAAATAATGTCAACAATCAACCGGGGGGCAACGACAAAAATGGTTAGGGAAAATATGCAAATGAGGTAGTAAATAGTAAGATGACAATGAATAACAACTGTTTCGGGGATTGGTTAACAAATTGATTAGTGGATTTGAAGGCTGTTTTCGGGGGGAAATCGCGGCCTTACGATTGTTTGAAAGAGATGATTTGGGGATTTTTGAGGCGAATATTGGCGGATTAAGAAATTTTAAAATTTTTGAAAATCCAAAAATTAACAGTCCGATACATCTGTTTTTCACAGAAAAATTGATTATGCAATTTTTCGGAAATGCTGAAAACCGAAAAATTTGCATACTCAAATTTTTAAAAATCGAAAAATTTGCATATTAAAATTTTTATAAAACTCAAAATCAATTTTTTTTGACACTAAAACAGTCCGATATCTCCGTTTCTCACAGAAAAAATAAATATGAAAATTTATGTAAATTTTGAAATTTACCAAAATTTGCATAAATTTTCGTAATAAGTTTTTCTGTGAAAAACAGGCATCGGATAATTTTAGCGTCAAAAAATTAGTTTTGAGATTTGAAAAAATTTGAATATTCAAATTTTTAGATTTTCGGAACTTCCAAAAATTAGAATAATTAATTTTTCTTTGAAAAAGGCAAAAAAAAATAATTTTTACCATTCAAAAAAATTAAATATCCAAATTTTAATTTTAAAAATTTGCATAAATTTAAATTTTCTCTTTAAAAATAAAAATACAACTCAAAACCACCCCAGAAATCTCCCCAACTCCCACAATATCCACCAAAAACTCCCTAGGCAAGAATTAGACCAGCATTCAGATTAAGTAGCTAGACTGGACTATTTACAGCTTTACTGTTACTTGGCGGTAACAACGTATCAACAATCTATTTGGGGGTTAGTTTCCGCAGCTTTGAGCCGACCATTTTGTAATTTGATTACATTTTGAGTCCAAATCCTACTGTTTGCCTCCTCTTCGGCCGCCTCTTTTACCTCCACGGATCGTTTTGTGGGCTCCTTTCTTCGTGTCCTTATCGAGTTTTTGTTTCGTTGGGTTGAGGATGTCATGTCTAAAAGAAATAGGCATAAAATTAAGAAATCAAATAAAACAATCGCAAAAATTTTCAAAAATTTTTTAAATTCTTATGGATAATAAAAATGTAAAATTTTTTGGCAATCTTCGTGTTCATAGATAAATCTCCCCTCATAATCCTATTTTTCTTCATTTCAAACCTATTTTCCTTCAAATAGGGCCCCTAAAACAGAATGCCAAAAATTTTTTAATTGGCGAGAAATTCAAATTTTTGAATCATATTTTTGTGCGTTTAGTCAAAACCGCTTCCATTGACCTCATTACATCTTATTTTAGCAATCAACACGCTACAACCCAACATACGGTCAAAAATTTTACATTAATTATATTACACTAGACAAGAACTCTTGTTTCCACGAATTATGACTGTTGCGGCTAGTAACTTTGATTTCAAAGCCCTAAATCCTCTTAATCAAGGCTCATTTGTTAATTTCAATCCAAAATAACCACAAAATCCGACACTAATTATATTGTACTAGACAAAATTTTGACATTTCCAGAAAATTTTGGTACTTACAGATCCCGAGTATTTCTCTAACTCCCTAAATTCACCTATTCCAACCTTAAAAATTATTTTAAACCCAAAATTACCACAAAATCCGAGATTAATTATATTGTACTAGGTAAAAAAAATATCCTTTTTCTATAAATTAAGCCACGGATGGCCCCTAAATTTGATTTCAAAGCCCTAAATCTTCTTAATCAAGGCTCATTTGTTAATTTAAACCCAAAATTATCTCAAAACTCGATATTAATTACATTGCACTAGACAAAAAAATCAAATAAAAAATCAGCAAAATTCAATCCCATCCCTTTCCAAAACCTCCGGCTTACCTCAGTGACTGTCCAAACGGAGTATTTCCGAGCTTCTCCAAGTCCACATCATCCTCTGGTTCGAAGCCGGGGACGGGCAATGGGGCCGAGAGATTGGCTTCCACCGGTACGGTTGGGTCGAATTTGGTTTTCTGATTGAAGCGGGACATTCGCTGTCTCTTCAGGAAGTTCTGTTTCGAGCGGGTTGAGAGTGATTGGAAGTCCTTTCGGCGCTGTTCCTTCACGTCTTCCTGCTTTTTCAGCTCGCCGGTGAGGCGTTGCACCGTGCGGAGGCAGCGTTTTTCGAGGACCACGCGTTTATGGTCGATGGTGAGTAGTGAGGAGAACTTCTCCTTGATCTGTTTGGCCCTTTTCTGCAAAATCGGCCCATAAATTTTCGACAAATCTCAAAAAATCTCAAAAAATTATCAAATTTCCCCAAAAACCCTCAAAATCCCCCTAAAAATCCCCATTTTTTCACCTAAAACAATCTAAAAATCCCCTTCAAAAATTCATTAACCACTCTTACCTCAAAGTACTGTCTTTCCTCTTCTTTGGAGCTAAATTTGGGGGGTTTTCGCTTTTCAACCGGCACTCTTTGCTTCGCTTTTTCCACTGCAACATCATACACTGAGGTCACGAATCCTTTATCGTCTCCCTGTTCGTTGCTGAGGACTTCAAATGCCGGGTGAGTGACACTGAAAATATTTCTATGACTTCTTCAAACAAATAGAAAACAATTGAGATCAAATTCAAACAAAAAAAATTATCTTTTTTTTCTAGTCTACCTACTGTAATATCAAAAATTTGAGGTAAAAATAAACTCAAAAATCGGGCTTCGGCTATCCACAACATAATATACAGCTTTGCTCTTCCAACAAGGAAGTTTTTTATTATGTACAAGCAATAATTTCATCAGAAACTTCAGTATTTTCTGTCTAGTACAACATCACAAAATCAAAAATTTCAATAAAAAAATCAATCGCTTTCTTGCTAAATTTTGTTCGGAAGCCCTTTATAACGTCTTATCCCATCTTTTCAAAGTATAAAATCTAAAATTCCTCAAATTCCTCTGACATTTCTGACCACTCTACCATCAACCTCAAGCATACAGTGACGGACCTGATCCAGCAGCAAAAAACGTATCATTTTGCATCCGGGAAGTATCAAAAAATGTAGCAAAATATCAAATCTGTATTCTGCCAGATTTTTTGATACTTCCCGGATGCAAAATTATGCGTTTATTGCCAATGGATCAGATCCCTTGCTGTATACTTGAGGTTGACGTTAGAGTGGTCAGAAATGACAGAGGAACTTGAGGCATTTTACATTTTATACTTTGAAATGATGGAATAGAACGTTATGAATGGTTTCCGAACAAAATTTAGCAAGAAAGCGATTGATTTTTTTTAATTGAAGTTTTTGGTTTTGTGGTGTTGTAGCAGACAGAAAATATTGAAGTTTTTGATGAAATTACTCCTTGTACATAATAAAAAACTTGATTGTTGGAAGAATAAAGCTGCATATTATGTTCTGGATAGCCGAAGCCGTGATTTTGACTTTACTTTTATTATGAATTTTAGATTTTATACTTTGAAATAATGGGATAGAACGTTATAAAGGGTTTCCAAAAAAAATTAGCAATAAATCGGTTGATTTTTTTATAAATCACCCATGATTTTTTTCACCACCCCTCCTTCATTCTCTCAATACCCCAAAATAGATCCTGAATGGCTCAATCTACTCTCACAAGCCTCAAACACCTTCCAAAAACCCTTGAACTTTCACCAATCCTCCAAAAAACTTATAAAACTCACAACAACGCCATTTCATGGGACAACTCGGGTTTGGCGTACACAAATCGGATCAGGGCTCTCGCGCACAACGACAGGTTCATGTATTCGCTGAGGCGTTCGGCTGGGGTTCGGTCCAGCTCCCGTTGGCGGTATTTTCGGAGCTGCGCCGACTCAACTTCGGACTGAGGGGTGGTGGAAGGTAAACTGAACGCCGATTTGCGGTACGGATTCGCTTTTTTGTTCTGAAAAGGATCAAAAATAATTTCTCACATCCTTTTTGTGATTTCCATTCATCAAAACTCCAACAAAAATCGCATTTTACAAAAAAAAAATTCGTATTTTTTGAAAAAATCATACCTCAAAAAGAAAGTCGAGTTCCTCGGCGGTTGGTACCATCTTGATGGTCCCATTGCTGTAGGGTTCCTTCTTCTGGAAGGCCGCTTCGTATTCTGGGACATCAAACAGATACCCGATGGTGAAATCGTCGCGCATTCGGAATAAAAGGTCTGGCCGAGCCGACTGAACCTGGGCCAGACGTTCGCAGAAACGCTTATGGTTCTGTGGGTCGAGGACGGAGTGCACCTGGAATGGAATTACATTATTTTATGGATAAAATTTACGATTTTCCCGCCTAAAACAAAAATTTTTTCGCAGAGTCAAAAAGGTCAGTTATATGTGATTTATAACCTATAAATTACAATATTCAAAAATCTATCAAAAAATTACCAAAAACCAAAGATCATCATGGATAACATAAATGTTTGACCGAAAACGCTCAAAAAGTGTCGCAACTTCATTAAAGCCTATTTTACACTCCCCATATCTCATCAAATTCTCATTTTTATCACTTTCCACCAATTTCGCGCCCTTAAAACACAACGCCAAAAATGGCGGGAAATACGAATTCAAACTTCCATCAGTCTGTCGGAAAAATAATGAGCACTCCTTCGCGTCAAAAATCGCATCGCCACCGAGAAAATGAATTGTGCAAAATCAAATTGCTTTTCACTTCAGCGACGCGATTGGCGCAGCGACAGTGTGCTCATTACTTTCCCGACAGACTGATAGTCGCAGGGCCAATCACATTGCTAAAGTGAAAAGCAATTTAATTTTGTCACACTTCAATTTCTCGGGGGCGATGCGATTTTCAATGCGACGGAGTGTTCATTATTTTCCCGACGGACTGATAGATTTGGATTCGAATTTCCCGCCATTTTTTGGCATTGTGTTTTAGGGGCGCGGAATTGGTGGAAAGTGATAAAAATGAGAATTTCATGAGATATGGAGAGTGTAAAATAGACTTTAATGAAATTGCAAAACTTTTTGAGGCTTTTCGGTCAAGCTTTTACTTTACCCATGACTAGCCTTGGTTTTTTTTTCATTTTTGATAGATTTTTTTCTTTAATTTCAAAATCTCGTCACTTCTGCCTCTATCATGTCCAATACCCTCCAAACCCAGCATTATCTCACCTTCAACGCTAGACATTTCAGTCTTCTGAAGGCCAATTCAATATTAAACAGGCGATCTTTCGTCTCTTCATCGATATGTTTTTGCTCTCTTTCGTTGATCGTCTCCTGCAGCTGAACACTGACTTCGAGTCCGTTGATCTCGTCGCACATTCGTTTGTAGATTTTTCTTTGCTTTGCGCGCTGTTTCCGGTCCGCCTTCTCTTTTTGGATAAAACTTTTTTCGGTTTGAGTCAGCTTGGCCAAGGACAAGATGTCCGATCTGTTGGCGAAATCATTCTCCGGGATCTCCGTGACCTTCCTCAAATACTCGTCAATTGGGCGTTTCTTCCTTCCGTTCAACTTTATTTGCTCCTCGGCCGATTTTATATTATCCATTGGGGTTTTGGTGCCCGACTCTGGGAAATTCGGTTTTCGACCGGTCGATAGTCTCGAGCTTCGCCGAATTCGAGCTCCATCGGCTTCTTCGTTCTCTGAGACGGTCATTTCTTCTTCATTTCGATTTTCAACTCCATTTCCTCTACCCGAATTCTTCACATCTTCTCCATGACCTTTAGTAGACCTCTTTTCCAAAAATTCCTCCTTCTCCGCTTCTTCCATCAAGTCCAGCTGTCTTAGGAGCCGTAGTCTCATCGACTTGGACAACAATCCCTGTCTCGATTCTTTTTGTGCGACCCTTTTGGATACGGTACTTCTACAGTAATCCGGGGTGTCTACCGCTACGCCCGGCTCCCTGGCGGCCCTCCAGACATCTTTTTGGCTCTTATTCTTCATAGTCAATTTAACCAAGGCCGCAATGAGTCGTCTTCTAAGCTCAATCAGATCTGTAAAGCGTTGCAAAAGTTTGGAGACGCCTTGGTTCGAATTGATTCCATAAAACGCATCACTTTCGTCATCATTCTGTTCAAAATCGAGTTCAAATCTCGCTTCAGTGCCATTCAAAACCCTATTCGTTTGGATTGAGCCAATTCGATTTTCGCTTCCAATGGCCCTGAGGTCATTGCGGTTCTCTTTGTCCGAATTTTTCGACGCCGTACTGCTGCTTTCGGTGTCCTCGTACTCCACGGTGCGTGTGAATCGGACTCCCACATTATTTGTGACCCTGTTCACGACGTTCACGTCCGAACTTCGGGTGCGACGTCGTTTGTAGAGGGGCAACATTTCGGGCCATTTCAAGCGCGGCTCCGACGAGCGGCTGCGGTTTTGGCGGAGCTCCGAGTCGTAGGAGGCGTTCAGACTTTGCTGCACCTCGATTCCCTTCGTGCGGATTTTGAGGGCGATTTTTGTGAGGTCCGCCAAGTCGCTGGTGTTCTGTTCGAGGTAGCCGAGGAGGCGTTGTTTGAGCTCCTCTTCCTCGGAGAGCTCGTTTCTGGCTCGAATGATGACTGTCTGTTCGGATTCATCTGGAAGAAAAAAAAATATTCATTTACAGTGAAGGACTTGATCCAGTGGCAAAAATCGTACCATTTTGCATCCGGCAAGTATCAATAAATGTGGCAAAATGTCTCCCTCTTCAAGAGAAAAAAACTTCGTTTTCCCTCACAAAAAGAGCCGCCTTTGAAATCGTAGTTTTTTCACATGGAGAGGGAGGCATTTTGTCACATTTTTTATACTTTCCGGATGCAAAATGCTACATTTTTTGCCACTGGATCAGGTCCCCCACTGTATATTATCCATGAGACATTCGTGGTTAAAAATCAAAATTTTTGACAAGAAAACGTAATATGCAGATCACAAGGAAGCCTCAAATAATTTAAAGAGGCCATAAGTCATTCTCGAACGCAATAACTTCTGCAAGAAGGGGTCAAACGACAAAAAAATTTAAATTCTTAAAGCACAACTTTTATCTCCTATTCTCAATAAAAAAAAGTTGATCAAAACATCGCTGGCTATCTCCTCAATCCGTATTCTTTCATCCCTTTCCTTTTCAAGTTCTTTTATTCCCAAAAAAATCGAAAAATTCTCACCATCTTCAATATGACTGCACTGTGCGGGATGCGGGTCACATGTCTTGAACATGATTCGATTTATATCTTCGGTTGATGGGAAATGGCTGTTGACCATCTCTTCTGTCTCCTCTTCGAAGGTTTTGTATTTTTCGTTTCTGCAAAAACAGACAAAAAATAAAATGATATTTGATCTCATGTACAATATAAAAGTGTCAGAAATATAATTTCAAAACCGAAAATGACATTTAAAACAGGGAAATGACTTCTATTACCGTCTGTTTTTATTATTTCCGACTTTTGGGGGCATTTTTGACAGGTTGGGCACAATGCCAAAAATGGCGGGAAATTCGAAATTTCAAAAAAATTTGTCCCCAAATTCTCTCAAAATCTTTAAAACGCTTTGGTAAGCGTTTGCATTACATAAAAGTGCCAAAAAATCTTCTTTTTTCTCACCTCGCCACACTTTCGACCATATTGTAGACAGTCGCGGTCACGTCCATATTCATCACCAAAAGCTCGTCCGGATTCATCTGACCACTCTTCCTGGGAACCGCCATCGTCTTCCCAAGCCGTTGTTTGAAGAAAGCGGAGCGGTATCGGTACATTTGGTCCATCAATTTCACCTCCAACGTGGCGCAACTCAAATTCTTGGCCACTTCGGGGATCTCGGGCTCAAAGTCGGCGCTGAAGCGGAGGTTCTGCAGTCGTCCGTCTACGAACACTTCTTTCGGGGTTTCTCCACGCGCCAGCGCGTATTCCTCGTTCATCAGGTTGAGGACCGTGTACTCGTAGATGAAGCGGCGCACGAATTCGGCTTTTTTGTTGATTTCGGTGGCGTGCATGCCCATCAGCGCAATATTCTTGTCCAGTCGGGCCTGAAAATTTTTTTTGATCAATTCAAAAACTTTGGTCATGTAATTTTCCACAAAAATTCTGCAACTTTTCCAAAAAAATCTTTTTTATCTTATGTTATTTCCTAAAGACTAAACCCTGTCATTCCACCCAACTTCATTTCATAAAATCAAGTCCAACTGATATATTTACTCAAGTAAATGGTCAAGCGTCCTATTCTAAACTCAAAACTTCTCAAAAATCTTAAAAATCGACACTTTTCGACCTTATTTTAGGTCACAGTAGCTAAAATATCCAAAAAAAAACCAAATTTTTTCCAATTTTCTTTCTTCATATCGACTCCAACCGTTATATAAAGACAAATCAAGGTTTATATCGTCTATTTAACACTTGAAATTTCCCAAAAACAAGCAAAAATCAGCCTTTCCCGACCTCATTTTACCCCCCGACACCTACAACAATATAAATCCTCAAAATCCGTACCGTCTCCACATCCTTGACAATTCCATTCGGTCCTCTCTTCGGATTCTCTCTGACCAAGTAATTGGCGTACATTTGGACCTTGGCCAGATCGAATAAGTCGTCATTTTTGAAGACCGTGTCCAAAATCTTCAGTGCCACGGGACTTTTGCCCGTTTTCTCGCATTCCTGTCGCAATTCCTCGAGGCCATTCAGTCCGCCAGGGAGGGCGCCTTCCACAAAGTCGGCGAGATTTGGTTCTTCATCCGTTTCGGGTTCCTCCTCGATTTCTTCGTACTTTTCCGGCTTCTGAAGGCAAGTGTAATATAAAATTCTGTCTCAAAGTTTCTCAAAATTACTCTAGCATCTCCTAATCATTTCTAAATGTCATAAAACACTCTATAAATAATTTATTTCACTGTATTTCTTATAAAAATTATATTCTCCTACCTTCTCCGTCCGTTCTTTGCTTCTTTCGTAGATCGCTGCCAACGCTTTTATTCCGTTAATCTCGAGGTCGCCGAGTGATTTGAGGTCCGGGAATCTATCCCTCAGCAATTTGGCCAAATCCACCAAGCCCTTTTCTTTTTGTCCGTTCTTTTTCCCCGGTGGAACTGGTGATGCCAGAGGGGTTGCGGAGCACGAGGAACTGGCCGAAGTTGATCCCGACCTCACTACTTTCGTTGCGGACTTCAGAATCTCTTCTTTTGGTTTTTTGTGGAGCTTTTTCTTCACTCCAGCCGGTGAAATGGCTAAAAAATCAAATTTCATCAATTATACTTGATGGGTAATATAAATTTCCTTCCTAAACCCAAAAATCAAGCTCCAAATGACCTACCGGTTTCTCCAGGGGACTGTAGGAGTGTTGGTTTCAAGAATAAATCGCCGACAGCATCTTTGACGGTCGAAACTTTCGGTTTTGGAGGCTTTGACGCTTTCACGGACAATGGATTTGTTCGTGGTCTGCCTCTCTTTCTAGGCTGTTCTTGTAGATGATTTGCTGGTGTAATAGGTGCTGCTTGCGAGTAGGCCGGGATTTGAGACGGCGGCGCTGATTGAGGGAGAATTGGCTGGCTAAAATTGAAGTTTACAGACACCTACTTTTAGACTTAAAACAATACAAAAAAGTTGTTGAGTTTCTTCATTTTTCTAGCAAAAAATCGCTCCAAAAATGAAAATCCTTTCTAATATTTTCTTCTCAAGCCTTGCAAACTATTCTCATACCAAAAATAAGCCTTCAATTTTCCAAAACAACGAAAAATTTCAAAGCTTCCCAAAATTTTCGGATCTTTTTCTCTTTTTTCCCGGAAAAATCGTTCAAAATATCGGAACTGGGCGATTGAGGAAAAAGGCGATTGGGGAAAAAGACGATTGGGGAAAAGTACGATTGGGGAAACCGAAAAGTATTGGTTTTCTTCGATGCAAATGGTGAACATGATAATCGAAAGCGCTGATTTCGAAAATGGCATTAATTTTACTTTGACTGTACTTTTTTCCTTAAGTAGTACTGTAAAGTAGTATCTTTTTTTCGATTTTTTTCATTAATACTCGACTTGGGGTTTTCGGTGGTGCTGTTTTTCCAATCAGAAAAAATGAAATCAGCACCCTCGAAAACCCCCAAATCGAGTATTTGTGAAAAAAATTCAAAAAATTATTACTTTACAGTATTATTTAAAGAAAAATGTAACTGTCAAAAAAAATGAATGTCATTTTCGAAATCAGCACCCTCGATTATCCTAATTTCACACTTGTATCGAAGAAAAACAATACTTTTCGGCTTCCCCAATCGTACTTTTCCCAATCGCCCTTTTCTCCAATCGTCTTTTTCTTCAATCGTCCCAGTTCCGACATTTTGAGCGATTTTTTCTGGGAAAAAGAGGAAAATATTAGAAAATTTTGGAAAACTTTGAAATTTTTCGTTATTTTGAGAAGTGAAAGGTTTATTTTTGGTATGAGAATAATTTGCAAGGGTTGAAAAGAAAACATTAGAAAGGATTTTCATTTTTGGAGCGATTTTTTGTTAGAAAAATGAGTCGTCTCTTTCCCCAATCGTCCAACTCCGCAAAATATCCCGAAATCAACTTCAATCCCCACTAAATTCATCATCATCGCTTCTGCTTCAATTTCCAATCTCTTACGTGTTCGAAGCCAAGGGTGTTCCACCCGCAAGTCGCTGATTTTGTTCTTTGGCCATTTCCGCCTGCTCCAGTTCGAATTGTTGTTTGCGGAGGCGTTTTTTGGGTAATGATTCGAAGATCTCCTCGCCGGGGACGTGTCGGACCATGGGGCGGGATTCGGAGTTGGCGGCCACATTCTGCTGTTGCTCTTGGCGTTCCCGCTCCTGCCGCAATTTTTCCGTAATCTCGAGGGTTTGTTGGAGCAAATGGGCTTGGGTGAGGGTGTTTTGTGGGGGTGCTGAAATTCCATTGCCATAAATAAGGCATAATCTCTCTGAATTATCAAATTTTTTGTCAATCTTGCCTGTGCTTTGAGGCCGATTTTGCATCGACTTCAGCAAGTCCAACAACTTTTGTTGTTCATCAGCTCCCAAATTTGCTCGGACCTTCTCGAATTCTCTGAACGTCTCATCCGCCTTTTGAGCGTCTTTTGCCGGACTGTGCGGCCGTTTATTGCTTCTGGGAGACGCGGCTTGAGGTCGACTCGTCGATGGAGCATCGACTTGGCTCGATCCCGCCGAATGTGAGGGCTCATCCTTCAAATTACTTGTGGTTGGACCGAATTTGCTCCACGATTCTCGTAGCTCGGCTATTCGTTTCACCGCCTGGAATTTTATATTGCAGAAGACAAAAAAAGCAAAATGTTACAATTCCAACTGTAAAAACCTTTGAAAACTGCAAATACAGCCTTCAAAAGCATCTATAGCTCCCTTTAACTCATCAAACCCACCGAAATCCGTCAAAAATTATATTGCACTTGACCTAGTGCAATATAACTCATTGCAAAAATATGGTCTAACGCCGATACAACAGGCATTTACGACCTAGAAATGCCCTAAAATCGTATTTCAATCCAAAAATTCCAAAAAAATCATCAAAGCTATATCCTCCATGACCTACAATAATATATATATTTCGGGTTTTTGGTTTAAAATTAAATCAAATGTCATTTCTATCTCATATCCAACCTAAAAAATGCATTCACTCATAGGTTCTTCAAAAAAAATGATAAAAATTATATTATACTTGACCAAAAAAAATCGTTTGATTTTTTTTATCCAACCCGGTTCTGAATGCTCTAATCTCCACACAACTCATCTCAAGACCCCATTCACCACCTGAGACCTCCAAACGCCCTCAAACTTTGATCTTATCCATGACCTCCTACCTGAAGTTTGGATTCCAATTGTGGTGGGACGACGACTTGCGGAGTGAACGGGCGTTGCAGATACTGTTGTTGGATGTTCTGTGCTTGTTGGTTGAACTGGGTTCGCTGCAACAGGCCGGTGTTCAACGGGTTTGAATTCACGAGTTCCGCGAGTTGGGCGGCATTCAGGGAATTTAGGTGGCTGAGGAGGCGGGCTTGATTCAGTTGGTTGAGGCCTTGCTCTCCGATGCTTTGGGCTATCGAGTTGTGAGCCGAAGTTTGGCTGGTTTGTAGTTGATTTAACGCCGAATTTTGGCTGGTTTGTAGTTGATTTAGAGCCGAATTTTGGCTGGTTTGAAGTTGATTGAGGGCCGAGTTTTGGGTGGTTTGAAGTTGAGAGATGGCCGAGTTCTGGCCCAAATTCTGTCGTTGGTTTTGATTTTGGGACTGCAAGAGCTGCAGGAGTAGGACTCTTTGTTCGGCGGTTAAATCGCTCTGTTGTTGTTGGTGTTGGAAGTTCTGGAGCTGTTCCAGTTGGCTGGCGGTGCTCTGGAGGCGCGCCAAGTTCAGTTGTTGGCCCAGATTCTGGTTCAGATTCAAATTATTGGAGAGTTGTTGGAGTTGAGGTAAGGCGTTGTAAATGTTGGACTGTTGGGCCAGAAGGGCTTGAGCCAGACTGGCTGTGGGCACATTCTCCAGGCTCTGCCGTTGCAGGTACTGGGAGATGAGCGTGTTCTGCAGGACCGAGGTCCGCTGATCAAGGCCGAAGAATTGATTCGACGAATTTTGGGGCTGTTGTTGGTTCAGTTGGGCGTTGATTTGCTCCATTGAGGGCATTGCGGACGCCGCTCGTTGGGGCTGGTTCTGAAACGGGGAAAATTGATTTTTTGTGTGGATTCTTTGGAATTTTTATGTTATCCATGACAACTTTTGATGATAAGCGGGAGAAAACGCAATTTACGGGACCAACCGAATTTAGAATGACCTCTAACAAATTCTAGGAGCATTTCGAGATAAAAAGGTTAAAACTGGGCATGTGTGAACCACAAATCATATTATTGTCAAGTACAATATAATTTTTGTCCATAAAACACTCAAAAAAATTTTTTAGACCCAAAAACAGTTACCATAGAGTCTAAAAATAAGCTATGCTTGACGTGCACATGCAATTTATGGATTTACAGACAAAAATTATATTGCACTAGCCATCAGTTTATTTATCCCAAGACAAATTTTTTTTAACTTTCTGGCTCAAGAATTTCCCTAAAATTTACAATCAACAAGAAACAATCCAATTTTCTCACATCTCAAAAATTTTTTATATTATACTTGCCATCAGCCAATTTTTTTTCCATTTTTTCCCAAAATCTCCTCAACATGCCTGCAAAACTTGTTTCGTCACTGTTTCACGTTCCGAAAAATTTCCTACAAATTTCTACTCATGTACTTTAGTGTTTCAGTTCTCCCTTTTTCGCCCGCTTATCACCTGAATGGTTGGGAAAAACAACTGACTAGAAAGTTTGTCGCCTGAGAATTGAGCTGGCCCATCTGGTTCTGCTGTTGTTGTTGGGCCAGGATCTGGTCGCGGATGGCTTGGATCGAGCTGGACGCCGTCTGTTGGAGATTTTGGTTTGAGAAATTTCGATTTTGTGACGGCTAAAATTCGGAAACAAAAATCTTGCAAAAACTATTGCAAATCGTACCTAAAAATGAGAAAAAACAATATAAACACATACCGAAAACCCGGACCCATCATCTGGCAGAGATTCATTGCAAGTTAGGTCTGAAAATAACACAAATATTACACTTGACGTCAGCTCATGGATAACAAAATTTGTTTTTAAGATGTCTTCCAAGCAGCCAAAAATATATTCCATATCCTCCTAAACGCCAAATCCGTGAATAATCGTTCGTAAAAAACACTTACCCCTCGACATTTCGCCGCTTCTTTAGAATTTCGGACCTAAAACAATATAATAGAAGAAGCGGGAGAGCTGCGGATGGCTGATAATGCTGAATGTGGTGATAACGGCAGAAAACCGAATTGCTTTCGCCCCGAACTGTCTATTTTCGCCTTCTTTTCTTTTGGTCGCCTTCAAACCATATAATCCATGAACATGCGATTTGGAAGGAACTGGCTGAAAGTAAGGTGACTTTTAGACTTTCTAAATCTTTTCATGGGAAAATAAACAATAACTCGTTATTATTCTTCGAATTAAAGCCAAAATAGCGCCAAAATGTAGAAAAATTATATTACACTAGGCAACAACGGTCAAAATTTCTCAATCTTTGATCCAAAATCAGCTCAAAATTCCTCAAAAAGCCATCAAAATTAATTACACAGTTTAATTAAAATTAAAGACTACTGTTTTATTCGGGTTTTCTCAATTTTTATACCTAAAATATCAAAAATTTGTTTATTTTTGGCCAAAAAACAAAAAAAAAAACAAAATCAAAGGGAAACCCGGGCTGGAAGCGTCCATGCGGCTCTGGAATAAAAATCAAACCAAAACAGAAGTGAAACGGACAACTATTAGCATTTCAATTTTTCCCCTACAACAATATCGATATGATGATAGGATCGGAAAAAAGTGCCCACCAAAACCCGCAGCTCCGTCAAACCGCCCCAAGGTCGCCCAATCAACTGATCCTATCGATTGTTCCGTCAACGAATTCCGTCGATGACGGTGTGTAATAAAAAATGGCGTTTTATTAAAACGTTTGTTTTATCGCGAATTGGGGCTGGGCGCGCTTCGGGTTGAGATCAGGGAGTGGTAAGGGGGGTGGTACGGTAAGTGGGGAGTTGTTTTTGGTTCGAAAAAAGTGGGAAATTGTTTTCGGCATTTGTCGGAGAAAAAGTTTCAATATTCATCTTGAGCTACGCTAACAAGGCAAGTCTCCCCAAGTCCCGTCGCTCAGATTTTCTTTAGATTTTGCACACACGTCGGTCATGAACTAAGTATCAATTCCTGAAAGTTTTAGCTCGCGCTTTGCCGCCGAGATATTGAGCCATCTTTGTCGCCGAGAGAGTACGCCAAACGCGGAGAGCGGTCGGAGAGAAAAACACTTTTTCATCATAACTTTGCTATTTTTGTGCCGAAAAAATTCATTTTTTGTGGAAACACTACCCACTATGGTCGAAATAGGCATCAAATTTTTTGTGCCAAAAGTCGGCAAAAAGTCTCAAATTTTGGCCGACTTTCGATCTAAAAATCACGGTTGTTTCTGCAAAGCGCGACCTAGCACTCTCGCATGTATTTTAGACAAAAATATTCTAAATTTGTCCCCAAGTTCCATCAAAATCTGAGCGTCGCACTTGGGGGTACTTCCCCTGTAAATCAAGGTAAATTTTAGGTTGGAAATCAACGAAAATTTGCGGTTTCTTTTGCAGGAGACAAAATTAGACCTAAATTTCATACGCAGCCAAGAACTGTAGAAAAAATTGGGCACCAAATTTAAACTTCGTCTCAAAAAGTCAAATCTGGGACCTCTTCAACTAAAACAATGTGAAAATCTCGACAGAAAAATTCTATTCAGCCTCTAACATACTCTAAATGACTTTACTACATTTATAATTAAAGTGTATGGTAATTTCACTACATATTTTACAATTTTTCTTTTCGAAAAAATCCCTCCAATTCCAAAATGATGTCGATTTTCATATAAAACTGAAAAAAATCTTCTCTTCTTTGAATTTAAAAACAAAATCCATAATCTCAAGCCCTCAACATGCCTGTCCTATCCTAAATCAACTTGAATTTTAGCAAAAACAAACCGAAAATCCAAAAGGAACGAAGTGCAAAAACAATATAAAATAATGTTTATGAAGCACCCCCATTTCGAAACCCACAACAAGCTACATTTTACTATTATTTTGTTTACACTAAAGACTGGCTAAAAAGCCAAAAACCAATTGCAGCCAATCCCGTTTCCGAAAATTATGACTCAAGCCAAATCCGGCATACAAAACACGTGTGGTGGAATCCTCTCCGCAAAACGTAATGTCAATTTTTTCATCAATCCGAGGGACATGTAAATCCCCGCTCTCGAATTTTGGCGCCAGAATAATGCGGACCTTGGGAAAAGCGGCGGCGGGGAAAACCGAAGAGGTCTGGGCGGCTGGGGGGACGAATGCGAAAGAGTACACGGAAGCCTTTCAAGAGGGGGGAGAGAAACGCAAATTTCGATCTCGAGGTTTCTTTTGTTGAGTTTCCGACTTCCAGACCGACGAAAATCAAGAATAAGGTCTTCCCCCGAAAAAAGAGACCTTATTCTTGATCCGAATGACGAGTTTCTAAGCGATTTCGCTTGGTAATGCAAGCCGAGATCGCTCAGAAAGCCGAAATTCTATGGTCTGTCTTATTCTCTCTTATTAAACCTTTTTCAGACCCAAAAAAAGATCAAGTCTAAGGTCAAAAAAGGAAGAGGTTTTCCCATCAAATATACTGGTTTTTAGGCACAAAAATTCCCCGTATTATGCTCGAGAAAACACGGTAAGTCTTTATCTATCAGTTGCTTCCATTTTTAGACAACCTTCTGACCAAAAAGGCAAAAACTTAAGTACAAGGTTCAAAAGGCACCTAGAACAATATAAAACTTTTTTTTCATGCCTTAGAAAGACAAAGCAAAGTGCAATATGGCGCCCTACTGTGCCAAATTTATCAGAGAACATGCTGAATCATAAATCCATCCAGCCCGGATCTCTAATATCCCTAAATCTGCATAAATCAAAAACTTTACCAACTTCTCTATGAGCACCCCGACAATAAATTAACCCAATTCCGGAAACGAGAACGTTTCTCGGACGTCTTTCAACGTTCTTATCGATTTTTTCTCGAAAAACTTTCGGTCAAAACAACAACTTTTTTCTCTTCGAAAACACAAGTTGTGTCCTCTTTTCACGTCAAGAAAAAAGGTAAAAAGAAGAATCAAGACGAAGAATATTGCGTCTAACGAACTAAAGGCTGGTTTCATTAAGATTCAGGCAGTTTCAAATGTGATTGATTTGGGTTTCTAGTCGTCTTAGGATATTGGGTTTAATAACTAAAGTAAGGTCGAGAAAACTTGTTGTTGCTTGATGGCTAGAAGTGTTGCAAAGGCGAAAATTGTTTTATTATACAGACAAACTCATAAGGTAGCTTTATCAAGAATGAATTCCATAAAAAGGTCAGACAGCAATGAGGTATGGTCTGTTATCTTATCCATGATAAAGATGAAACTCAAAGATCGAAAAAACTGCTCAATACTCTTTCAAAATCACTAAAACACAAGCCATATAAAAAACAATTCATAAAAAACCAGTTTACAATCGAATCGACACAAATCTAAACCAATATCGCCTACAAATTACACGTTGAAATATTCACCATGGCCCTGTCGAAAGTCGTAAAGAAAGATCTCGAGGAAAGGCGAAAAGCCAAATTCACCTGCTCTACCACATGGTTTATTATTTACTAACTGCATCTGACGCGCAAATGCATGAATAAAACGAGAATACACATTTTTCCCCAAAATCTTACCTAAAAATCCATTCCCAAGTCGAAGCGCGCAAAATTCATAAAAGTGCAAGGGATTTCCGAGCAGAATTCTTCGGAAAAGGGGCTAAAACTCGATAAACAAACCAGATTCTGCCTGAAAATCTTGAAATTTCAAGAGAAACAATAGATTTCTCTCACGAAACAGCAGGCCTCCCTCAAATTTTCTCGAATTTCTCAATTTGACCCCAAAATTCTGCAGCGACGAGCGGAAAATAACATTAATTTGCGCATGCAAGTTTCGAAACACCCCGTCTCGAACGCGAGACGAAGGGAGTAAGATTTTGTCTGGGTAGACGTTGAGCAAACAGGCAAACGAAAAACATCCGCTGGATCGGCTTTATTCCGATATGACCGCATGTTTCGTAAATAATATTATGTGATTAGAGGGAGAAGAATGGGCGAACCGAGTCCGGCGGGCAACAAGCCGCTCGCTTCTTTTTTGTTTTTTGACATTTTGCGGATAATTTTTTGCTGCAGACTGCGGTTTGCAGACAGAGCTAGGGCGCAGCTCGCCGACAAGGATTTGTTTGGAATTTCGCATAAAATCCCAGCGCGTTGCAACGATTCGTTGAAAATTGTAGTGTGAATGGTCAAGAAGCTTGTTTTATCCTTTAGTAGCCATTATTGAAGCCGCTAATATTATATTTTTTAATTTTACTTTTGACCTAGTTTAATAAAACAATTTTGCTGGTAAATCTTTTGTTTTTGATCGATTCAGCCGTTGATTGCGTTCGTTAGTTGCTCCTTTGCCTTATTCATAAACCAAGGTATGTTTTAAGATTCTTTTTTCTATTTTTAGTGAGCCATGAACACCTCTTCTTACTCAAACTTCTCCAACGGAAGTGGTCGAGCTCCAGATGAATGTGCCTTGTATGTTCGATTTCCAACACAAGGAGTCCGAGAGCAAGTCATATGGAAGCTTTTTAACCAGGTTAGATCATCCACAAAGTTTTAAATTCAATTTCATTCACTTTTTTTATATTACACTCGATACGTGAACCAAGATTGGTTCAAATTTGTTTATTTACCCCCTCTATAAAGGTCTTTATTTTTCCAGTTTGGTGGTGTCCAGAAAGTAGTAGCCAGACCTCATCAGGAATTTGCATTTGTGATCTACGATAAGCCAGAATACGCGTTATACGCGGCCAAGTTGTTCAACAACATTCCCTTTCTCAATGGAAAATTGGTGGCTACCCCGAGAGATCGGACGGAAAATGTGAGTTGAGTCTTTTCAATTATTGCTTCGACTTTTAGAATCGGAAATTTCGACGTTGGCAGGACAGGAATGGCGATAGCTACAGCTTCCATAGAGGAACTACGTATAAAGATCTCCAAGAGCTGGATTTCAATTCAATGGAGGTCCCTGGGACCAGTGAGGTTGCTCTGGATGATAGTCTGGATAGCAGTCGCTCTTCGCATGCAATGTAAGCAGTATTTTGAATAGATTATCGATGACGTTTGTCTAGTCTAATGTGATATATCTGGTGCAATATAAGAAATACTTTATGAAATCTATTTCAGGCACACCACCATCAACACCACAATGAATACTATTAACACGTCGATGACCTCCGAAGGAGAGATCAAAAATGACACAATTTACATCGACGAATCCGACGAAATCATTGTTTTGGATGAGACCCATGACGAAGACGAAGATGATGCCGTTGAAGATACTAAAGCTCTGTCTCGTCAAAGCATACAAGAAGATGGAGAATTGGAGTCGGATGACGATGTCGTTGTTGCATCCAACAAGGATGAGGAAGAGGATGAACCCTCCGCGAAGAGGAGAAGATGGTGAAGATTCTATTGTTTGAAAAAGCCATTCACTTTGTTAAAAACTACATTACTTGACTTCAGCAGCATTTACAATAAAGTTATTTATACTTTAGAAGCTTTGGAAGTAAAAATAAGGGGATTGTTCATATTGTACAGGATGACCATCAAATTTTTGATAAATTCTGGTGCCTGAAAAAGTAAATAACGATTGAGAGGTAACTTTTTGCTCCATTTGACGTCTAAGAGTAGATTTTTTGAAGTTTCCGAGGTCAAGTTACCGTATTTTACAAGTCCAAGAAATTGTCGTATAAAATGTCGACGCAATCTGCGATTTCTCGGCCGCGAGCTCTGCCGTTCCGTGGGAACAATCTAGAAGAAACGGACTTTCGGAGTTTTGTACCGGTTTCAGTAGTCAGTTGAGATGTCGCTCGTCTGAAGTTTGGTGAGCTCTCCAATTTTTTCTGTTATATTTGGGCCATTAGAAAGCCTCCTGATATTGATTATGAGCTAGACGTTTTTTGGAGAGGCTTACTATGAGGGAATGCGGGAGGCTTTACTTTTTACGAGTCTTTCCAAGTGAAGGCAGTAGTTACTATACGATTTTTGCTTTTTAATCAGCAATTTCCAGCTTATATTATTTTAGGTCGGCCTAGTATAATATAGTTTATAAAACTGTATAAACTCGCCTAAAGTCAGTTTAAAATTCGTACAAATGAACTTGGCAGTCTATCCTGTCCAGACAGGTCACGTTTCGCTTGTTTACTGTCTATTTTTGTTGTTTTAGAGTACTATGTAAGCCAAGGGGTTCGGGGTTTTTTTCGCGTTTGAACGAAATGGTTTCCCTTATTTATTTGCTCACATGATCGGGAACGGGCAATTCCCCTTGGTTTTTGAAGGCCCTATCAATTTTTCTAGCCACTCACGGCCTGTCAAATGGAGAATGTTTCAATCTGATGTTGTTTAGGTCCTAAAATGTGTAATCTCTGATGTTTCATACGAAAATTATGATGCCTTTTGCAGTTTGAAAGACGAATTGTGATGTCTTCTTTGTTTTTTTATGATTTCGATATGCTTTTTCGGGCATTTTCATCATGCAATTTCCGATATTGTCTATGACACCTTTCATTTTTTTTGATTGTTCAATTTTTAGAAAGTAACATCATGTCGACTGCCGAACAACTGGCTGAGGAATTCGAGCGTGGCGAGAAAGACGTTGGTACCGGATCCGTCGGAAAACGACCAAAGCCTGAACAGAGCGAGCACAAACATGCTCATCCCGAAGGAGACTCCCGCAAGATCGTCGCCAACGCCATGAACGGCGAAGAGAAGCGCAAGGAGCACAACAAAAAGGTCTAAGCCGGTCTCATGGACGAGTTTGGCCACTATTCCATCAAAAATCTTCAGAAGATCCGAGTTATTTCACCTTTGGCCATCAGTTGATCATGGTGAATATAATTTTGATGTCTTCTCTTCCAACAACGTCTTCTATCAGCTCTCTATGGCCGAATCACGTCCATGACAACTTTTTACGAGTGTAAATGTTTTGGTTATCTTTAAATCTCTTTTTATCTCTGTTATTCGGTGAATAATAAATTCCTTGTGTAAGATAAATTTTTGGGCTGAATGAAGTCAGGTAATGTCCGACGAACATGTATACTATGTGAGGAAGGGATTAGAGCAAATATAAAAGAAAAAATGGAATAAAAAAGTATAAGCTTCGATTAGTTCTCGCTTTCTTTCAGAGACTTCGAATTGTGGTTTTTCCCCAAAAAAATCCTGTCAAAAAGAGGATTTTCTCTTATTTTTTGCTTTGGAAAATAAGAAAATAGTGTTTAGAGAATATTTATTTAGCTTTTGCTCTTTTTTTGCCACCTTTCCGTGGAATTTTCCGATATTATTCATGTCGTGCTTATGTTTTCAGTAAACTATTGATAATCTCTTAAATTTTGCAGCTGGCGGATACAATGTGGGAAGGATAGGACTATGCCAAACTCTCATGTCGTCTCCGGGGTTTTAACCTCAACCGTTGAGACGGATCAGATCAAATTTGGGTTCCTCCATCGGCGGAAAGGAATCAATGAAAATGCCGGGAAGTTGGTAAGATTTTATACTCATTTTTGAATTTTTAGGTGTCTTTCTACCTTGTTTAGCTTTTTAAATAGTAAACTTGCCTTTATAAGGCCGAAATCATGGGTTTTTATATTATCCATGACATCAGATGTCAATCTCTCGAATTTAATCGATATTTTTGCAGCTAGTCTACAATCCTAACTTTCATTGGTATCTGGGTAATCTCCCACTGCCCATGCCCTCTCGATACCAGATTCGACACATTCTTAATCGTATTGACAATGCCCCGAAGTATTCGACCCATCACATTCGAAGATACGATGAAGATAACCTCCCACATCCTCGGCCAGTAGTTCAATTCACCAAGAAATACTTGGGCAGTGATTGCATGTAAGGGGTTTCTTTTGTTTTTCTTTTTTAGGCACATTTTTGAAAAAAATTTATATTTTACATGGTGCGTGGAGAAAATTTAGTCAAAACTTATTCTTTTAGTGTACAAAGCATCTGCAAACGATATGGAACACGAGTACAATTCCGGGTAGACACTTTTGGTATCGGTGACGACAATTTTTACCTGTGCCGACTGTGCATTATTTCGATATTAGACATTCCAAGGCCAATTCCAAAAGATTTGCCGATAGTGAAGGATAATGTGGCTGAATGGAATTTTACTGGTGGCATCGTTCAAGTAAGTGAGGTTTACAGTTTTTATATTCGAAATTTAGCCCGAATCAGATGAACATGACTATGGATCTAATGCTGCATCTACATCAAAGTCGAAAGTTGTCCAAATCTTCATTTCCCAAGGTGCTATCTCTCTGACGCCGCCAGAAGACGATGTGAAGACGGAAGGCTTGAGATACAACTTTGTTCCGTTCAGAAATACCAATGGGCTGGCCGTTAATAATCGAAATAGTCGAATTGTGGTGAGCTGTCGAGACTACAACAAGAAATCGGTTTATGTGGATAGAGGGAAACGGTGCTCATCGTTGGAATCGCCGAGAAATCGAGTCCAGATTTATTGTCAATGCAAAACACCGGTAAAAATGGAGGTCGAAATGGCCAAGAGAAGATGTCATGGTGAATATAATGCAGGCCCGGAATCCAGCGAGAAGCAGGCGAAGGTTGCTGAAAATGTGGAGGAATTTCAAATTCTGATGGAAATTGACGAATCCAACGGAAGCTCCAACCAAGAAATGGGTGACGACATTGTAAGGAACAAGATTCCATATGAGGAAATTGATACCATTCCGATAGATGAAAGTGTCCGCAAAAGGTTGGAGGGGATGCGGAGAGACATACGAGCTGAGCGTGTGCTGAATCCGACGACTTTACCCTCAACTTCAGCGACTCAGTTCCGAGCCCCCTCTCGTGGTTTGGAAAATTTGAACAGAAAATTGACCCTGAAGGATGTGATCAACAAGAATTCGGCGTATTCGAGGGCCCGATGCAGTCAGGATCCGTTGACAAATGGGTTTAATTTTCGTGGCGTTCCCACATCTACAATATTGTCCAAGATCAACGATGCCCTTCAAAATATGGCCACGGAATTGGAGAAGGATGTCAGAAGAGATGCGGATAGCTTGTTTGTGAGAGACGGCCAGATTTGCCGACAAGGACTGGTGGAAATCCGCAGAGGCGAAATTAGTGGGAGCATTGGCCATGTGGAAGATAAGGAGACGACGAATAATGGATTTGTGGAGATTGAAGAAGTCGAGTCGAATGAGATATTTGATGAAGAAGAGAGTGGAAGCTCGGCAGGCACAGAGAAACGCGCTAAAAAGCTTAATAGCATTGTGAAAAGTTTGATCGACAAAAAAGGAGATGGTGAATGTAGCACAAGTCAAAAAGGAGAGAAGGAGGAAGGAGAACTGCTCTCAGTGAATGAGGTAGAAAGAGAAGCTCAGAGGGAAAGTTGTGAGCCCTGTAGCAGCGGAATTTCACGTACAGACAGTAATTTTTCAAAGGATAAATCATCAAGTGCAATATCGGAAGATGGAAAAAATAAGGTCCCAGATAGCGGTACTGGGGAGAAAATTGATGAAGAAGCCCATAAAGCTACTAGCGAAGCAACTGCAAGTAATATTTCGCCTGCTACTGATGAGATTCCTACCAGCTCATCTAGTACAATATTAGATGAAGGATCAGAAAAAAGGCGAGCAGATGAAACCTCGATTGAGAAGAAAATTGAAGAAGAGAGTCACACAAGAAGTGATGAAATTATTAATACGCCGAATAAGCTTATTGTGCATGATTTCCCGAGCAAATTTTCTGATGTCAGCTCACCTAGTACAATATCATCACAGTGTAAAGAGCAGGTCTCGGATGGAGATGTTGCGATGGAAATTGATGGAGAAGGTCAAAAAATGAGCGATGAGGGTAGCACTAATAGTGTTATTATCAATCCGGCTGCTTCTTCCACTAATATATCTACTACAATATCACCCGAAGTATCTCAGACCCAAACATGCCCAATCTATGATTTCGGGCAAGAATTTGAAGCCCTTCTCTCAATCCCCACATGGAAATGCCAAAAGACTGGTGAAATTTTTCGATCCAGAGCGGACGATGACTTTTATCTACTCAAAAACAAAGCTCTAGTCAACAGAGAGACGAAGAAAAATAGTCAAATCGATGGTTCTAGTCAGAAAAAAAAGAAACAAAAGAAAAGAAAATTGGAGGTGGACCAAGGAACACCGAAAAAGACGGCAAAAGTCGCACCAATTGGTAGGAAACAAACAAAACTTTGCTAAAAATCCGAAATTTTAGCTGAATTCGACTACCAACCCCCAAATATCAACGCTCCGACCAAAGAAAGGTATGCTGCGGCTCGAAAACAGTTTGTTGGAATCATGTCCAACTTCAACACACTAGAATTGCCAGTACCTGGCAACAGAAATATCGTGAAAATGCGGAATTTTACGCATGTTTGGACCGAAAGATTGCTCCATTTCGAGCCGACCTTGTACAGAAAAACTGTCGATGAAATTGTGTTGATGGAAGCGGTGAATGAAAAGGTAAATTGATTAGAACAATGAGCCTGAACTTTGTGATATAGTGGCGGACCTGATTCAGTGTTAAAAAACGTATTATTTTGCATCCGGGAAGTATCAAAAAATGTGGCAAAATGCCTCCCTCTCCAAGTGAAAAAACTTCGTTTTGAAGGGCGCAACCTTTCCCCCATCAAAAGATCGGGCGCGCTTTTGAAATCGGAGTTTTTTTTCACTTGGAGAGGGAGGTATTTTGCCACATTTTTTGGTACTTCCCGGATGGAAAATGGTACGTTTTTTGCCACTGGATGAGGTCCGCCACTGTATACCGTATTGCATGTTGCAGCTGAACGATTTGGTGTACCGCCTGAAACTCAGCCCCGCCGAGAGCGACATGTTCATCAGCAGCGATGAGATCTCATTTTTCGAAGCCGCCGCGCGCCCCAGAAGTTTGAATTGATAACTGAAATAATTTTTTGTGATTGTTAGAACTATTTCCAAGATCTTTCAAAACTGATGTTAGTGTTTTCATAAAGTGCATGGGAATTTTTTCGCTTTCGCAGAGTACATTTTGAACTTTTTCCCACGCTTGTCGCTAGCGCACAGTGGATTTTTTCTTTCGCTTTTCGCACAGTGCAAACCTCAAAAAAGGCGTTTGCACTGTGCAAATTCTTCGTTAAAACCGCGGCGATGTTGAAAAAAGCTTGTGTCGCAGCGATATTTTGATGCACAGTGCGAACACCAAAAAAAGATCGAAATGCACGGTGCAAAAATGAGGGGTTTTTGTGGACCGACAAAATGTCCATGAACTTTATGAAAATACTAATATTACTATAATCAAAATTAAATATAATTAATTTGACAAATAAGACGTATATTTTATACAAGTAAGAACATAAGTGAAAGCCAGAAGACTCTCTGGAGCTATAGGGTTCAAAATACGCTAATTCAGTAGTGTATTTGAACTAACGGCGCTCTGCTGTCGCAAAATTCCTCCAAATAAACGACATTTCGGTTCACCATCAGCTTGGGCCGAACTTGAAAGTCGACTTGAACGTTGGCATCGTGGCAGCAGGTATTGGTACTAAAATAAGATTATCGAACTATTAAAACAAGGGAAAGGAGTTCACTAAAAACGGTGAATTTTTTTGGGGAAAATTGACACAAATTGAGACTAGTGTTTTTTGCATCCAGAAAAAACGCGTTTTGCAGAAAACATTGAGATTTTATCGCTAAAACTGTCGGAATTTTGACTCTTTTCAAGGTATGCGGAGTAAAATGTTGGCTCATTTACAGCAGTAAGCCAGTATTTCACTTCGAAAACCTTGAAAAGAGTCAGAATTTCGACAGCTTCCAGCGATGAAATCTCAACGGTTTCTGCAAAACGCGTTTTTTTCCAGGCCGTAAAAAACTTCGGTCTCAGTTAGTGCCAAATTTTTATCGAAATTTTAAAGAATCCAACTTGTTCAAACTCACAATGTGATGTAGAACGAGGGCGGGTAAATTACAGACCATCCCGAACTTATAAAATTGAGGAATCCCTTGGCATTTGTTGTGGAAACGGCCTTCTCTTCGTCATACCAAAAAATACTTTGTTGTTTTAGATGGACCGTCTAGAATGTAGGAATTACCAGTGGAACATTTTGTATAAATAAGGTTTTATTAAGAATAGAAGGTACGGTAGTGACTTACCACTCCTTCGGCGGGCTTACCATCGCATTTGAAGAACAAGTCTATATACACCTGCCGAAAATAACATGAACAAGGGTTGATGAAGAAGAGTAGAAGAAAAATCGGCCGAAACATGACCGATTTTTGGGTTGAAAAATAGATTTTTGAAATTTTTTCCAAAAAAATTCGAATTCCAAAGGTTCGAAATTTTTTGGTCGAGATCAATTTATTAAGAACGATGATTGACTCATATAGATCGCTTATTCAAGATCTGTCGTCGATACACCTTGATCTTGTCGTCCACGGTGCTATCGCCGAAATACATGACAGACACCGGCAAAAACAACCACAGAAGTTGATAAATCCCATATAGGGCGCCAAACCATAATACCATCATTTTTGCTAAAATTTGAGAAAGCAAAAAATGATTGTAAAGATGATTTTGGAAACAACAAACTTTAATAAAATTTATTTCCGTTTGCAAAGTCGCTGAGGTGATTTTTGCGACATGCACGGTGAGAAAACAAAGTTTCTCTTGGTACTGTGCGATTTCTTGCTTTTTGCACAAGAAATTGCATAGTGCAAAGAGAAGCTTTGTTGTTTCACAGTGCATGTCGCAAAAATCACCCCAGCGACTTTGCGAACGGACTATGCGCTCCAAGACGTATTACGCGTACTTGAGACTGCCTGCACTCATTTTACGGCGGTAATCGAGATTTTAACATTGAAAAGAAGTCTCGAAAATCTCCGACACCTTGTGATCCGATCTCAAAAAGCCTAGAGTCCCAAATCCACGCTTCTTTTTTTTGAGAATAGAAGGTCATCTAAATTCCAAAAAATCTCAAATTCCGAAAAGCCTTACCGTAAAATGGATGCATGGTTTATCACGTAGCATAGAAGTTTCTCGTCTCGATTGCGTTAGAACGTTGGGAATCGAAGTGAGCGGAGGCATTAAACTGTGCGTTTACTGAAATTATTTTTGAGGAAATCAGGAATCAATCCGGTTTCAACGAAAAATAAAAGGAAGAAGAGTCGGCGCTTCTTCTTCTCTCCGTGAGGCGAGCCGGTTCCCCAAAAAAGCACTTGCAATTTCACGCGCACAAAGGTTACCGAGTCTCGTGGTAGTGGACATCACACAAGGGAGTTGTCATCCGGAAATGCTTCAGAAATGTACATGATTTTTGGTGTCCTTTGTTGCAGTCGAGCAATTTTAGCGGGAGAAAACACGGGTTGTACAGCGTTTCGAACAATTTTTCCGTTGCCGATCGGTATCGAAAAAGCGAAGAAATAAAAGTAGTGCTTACAATTCGGTGTGTATTTGGCTATCCGCAACAGATATTACAAAAGTAAAAAATGGATGTTAGACTGTAAGAGACAAAAGGCTATCACGGCGCGGTGTATACATGGAAATGGCAGTCTCTTACAGCTTAAAAGAGAGTTTTTTACAACTCGAAGGATGGCCCGGACATTTCGAAAAAACGACCAACTTAGAATCTTTTGATATTTTGCGTAATTGTTGTACTATGATAGCTGAACGTCAGTACGAATTTTTAGTTTCAGAAATTACCGTATACGGGGGTTACGGTAGATACAATTTTCACAAAGATTGGGTTCGTGTGTAAAAACCCCAAGGAGTAAAGACACAAAACTTCGCTGTTTTACGTTTTTGACCATGGGGAAAATTTTCATAATTGACACTTTCGCCGTAGGATATAGCTTTCGACTACTTTGAAAAATACCAAGGTACCATATCCAATATAACTTTTCGGCATTCTACTTGTCTCAACTTTTGAAACCTCTCAAACATACTTTGACATGTGTGTAACAACATACCAAAAATGCGCGGAAATAAAAGGGGTGGTTTTGGAGTTACGGTACTTTGAAAGCAGCCGGTACGGTATTTCAAAAAATCATTTTTTTCAAAACCGGTGTGGAAGACCCGCAAACCTTGCAAAAATACGTTTTCGACCATGGCGAACATTTTTGTAATAGACACTTTTTTTGTAGGATGCGGCCTTCGACCGCTATGATAAATGTCAAGATACCATGATCAATATAACTTTGCGGCATTCTACTTGTCTCAACTTTTGAAACCTCTCAAATATACCTTGACATGTATGCAACAACATATCAAAAATGCACGGAAATAAAAGGGGTGGTTTTGGAGTTACGGTACTTTGAAAGCAGCCGGTACGGTATTTCAAAAAATCATGTTTTTCAAAACCGGTGTGGAAGACCCGCAAACCTTGCAAAAATACGTTTTCGACCATGGCGAACATTTTTGTAATTGACACTTTTTTGTAGGATGCGGCCTTCGACCGCTATGATAAATGTCAAGATACCATGATCAATATAACTTTGCGGCATTCTACTTGTCTCAACTTTTGAAACCTCTCAAATATACCTTGACATGTATGCAACAACATATCAAAAATGCACGGAAATAAAAGGGGTGGTTTTGGAGTTACGGTACTTTGAAAGCAGCCGGTACGGTATTTCAAAAAATCATTTTTTTCAAAACCGGTGTGGAAGACCCGCAAACCTTGCCAAAATATGTTTTCGACCATGGCGAACATTTTTGTAATTGACACTTTTTCTGTAGGATGCAGTCGTCGACTACTTGGGAAATGACCAATATACCATGAACAATATAACTTATCAGCATTCTACTTGTCTCAACTTTTGAAACCTCTCAAATATACTTTGATATGTATGTAACAACTTATCAAAAATGCACGAAAATAAAAGGGGTGTTTTTGGAGTTTCGGTACTTTGAAGGCAGCCGGTACCGTATATCAAAATTTCATTTTTTCTAAAATTGACGTAGAAGCCCCGCAAACCTCGTCGAAATACGTTTTCGAACTTCGCGAACATTTTTGTAATTGACACTTTTTTTGTAGGATGCGGCCTTCGACCGCTATGAGAAATGTCAAGATACCATGATCAATATAACTTTGCGGCATTCAACTTGTCTCAACTTTTGAAACCTCCCAAAAATACTTTGACATAGGTGTAACAACATATCAAAAATTCAGGAAAATAAAAGGGGTGGTTTTGGAGTTATGGTACTTTTAATCTTGATCATACAGTACACCGAACTTTTGTTGTGATGCTGATGTCCAAATTTGGAAGATTTTACTGTCGTATGGCACACACGACTCTACACCGTGGTAATCGGTACAAAGCATTTAACAAATCGCTGATCTTGCTGTTACAGTAACCAATTATCTGCGCACGATATGTTACAGTATGCTTAGGCCAAAATTTTCTGAGTTTCCTGGTGAAAATAGTTTTTGAGGGTCGTAAAACATACATAGAGCATTACATTTTGTTTTTAAGACAATCTACGTAAAGTTGAGCCGAGAATAAATCGAGGTGTACTGTATGTCCAAAATTCAAAGTACCATAACTCCAAAACCACCCCTTTTATTTTCGTGCATTTTTGATATGTTGTTGCATACATGTCAAGGTATATTTGAGAGGTTTCAAAAGTTGAGACAAGTTGAATGCCGGAAAGTTATATTGAACATGGTATCTTGACATTTCTCAAACCGGTCGAAGGCTGCATCCTAGAACAAAACTGTCAATTACAAAAATGTTCCGCATGGTTGAAAACGTATTTCGACGAGGTTTGCGGGGTTTCTACGTGAATGTTAGAAAAAATGAAATTTTGATATACGGTACCGGCTGCCTTCAAAGTACCGTAACTCCAAAACCACCCCTTTTATTTTCGTGCATTTTTGATATGTTGTTGCATACATGTCAAGGTATATTTGAGAGGTTTCAAAAGTTGAGACAAGTAGAATGCCGCAAAGTTATATTGATCATGGTATCTTGACATTTATCATAGCGGTCGAAGGCCGCATCCTACAAAAAAAGTGTCAATTACAAAAATGTTCGCCATGGTCGAAAACGTATTTTTGCAAGGTTTGCGGGTCTTCCACACCGGTTTTGAAAAAAATGATTTTTTGAAATACCGTACCGGCTGCTTTCAAAGTACCGTAACTCCAAAGCCACCCCTTTTATTTTCGCGCATTTTTGATATGTGGTTACACCTATGTCAAAGTATTTTTGAGAGGTTTCAAAAGTTGAGACAAGTTGAATGCCGCAAAGTTATATTGATCATGGTATCTTGACATTTCTCATAGCGGTCGAAGGCCGCATCCTACAAAAAAGTGTCAATTACAAAAATGTTCGCCATGGTCGAAAACGTATTTTTGCAAGGTTTGCGGGTCTTCCACACCGGTTTTGAAAAACATGATTTTTTGAAATACCGTACCGGCTGCTTTCAAAGTACCGTAACTCCAAAACCACCCCTTTTATTTCCGTGCATTTTTGATATGTTGTTGCATACATGTCAAGGTATATTTGAGAGGTTTCAAAAGTTGAGACAAGTAGAATGCCGCAAAGTTATATTGATCATGGTATCTTGACATTTATCATAGCGGTCGAAGGCCGCATCCTACAAAAAAGTGTCAATTACAAAAATGTTCGCCATGGTCGAAAACGTATTTTTGCAAGGTTTGCGGGTCTTCCACACCGGTTTTGAAAAAAATGATTTTTTGAAATACCGGCTGCTTTCAAAGTACCGTAACTCCAAAACCACCCCTTTTATTTTCGCGCATTTTTGATATGTGGTTACACCTATGTCAAAGTATTTTTGAGAGGTTTCAAAAGTTGAGACAAGTAGAATGCCGAAAAGTTACATTCAATACGGTACTTTGGTATTTTTCAAAGTAGTCGAAGGCAACATCCAACGGTAAAGTTGTCAATTATGAAAATGTTCCCCATGGTCAAAAACGTAAAACAGCAAGGTTTTGTGCTTTTACCCCTCGGGGTTTTTACACACGAACCCAATCTTTGTGAAAATTGTACCTACCGTAACCCGTATACGGTAGTTTCAGAAACTAAAAATTCACGCTGACGTTCAGCTATCACAGTGCAACAACTATGCAAAATATCAAAAGATTCTGAGTTGGTCGTTTTTTCGAAATGTCCGGCCCTTGTTATGAGAAGCTTCAATCTGTAAAAAACTCTCTTTTAACATACACTTTTTACTTTAGTAATACCTCTTGTGGCTAGCCAAATACGCACCAAATTGTAAGCACTATTTTTTATTTCTTCGCTTTTTCGACACTGATCGGCGGCGGAAAAACTGTTCGAAACGCTGTGCAACCCTTGATTCTATTCTGCTATAATTGCTCGATTGCAACACCAAAACATCCATGTGTATTTCTGAAGCATTTCCGGATGACTACTCCCTTGTGTAATGCCCACTACCACGAGGCTCGTTAGCCTGTATGCTCGTGAAATTATAATACAAGTTCACTTGGCCAATTTTGTGACCAAATTCGGATGGGACGATTGTAAGGCTATGAGTCTTTCACATTTTTAGGGATTCACAAAAACCTTGCGACACTAATGTAAGCAGTCTCATAGGCCAAAAAGTCAATCTTCCGCAAATATAAAGCTCCATTCAACGAGATATTTCTATAACAAACAAGGTTTTCGAGCTTACAATTAGTTGTGAATTGTAGGCTGGCTCGGTTTTTTTTATCGTATAGCATACACAATTTTATTCAACATATTGCTTTGACACATTTATGGCCGAAATAAAGCCAGCTCTAATATCCCAGACTCCTTCAGCTCAAACGACGTTCTTTTCTTTCTTTCCGAATATGATCTTTTCGGGAAGGACGTCTACTTTAGTTAGGTAAGTTTGAGCTTCAACTGGTTTCGAAGTAGTGGTGCTCTCGGGACCTTCATTGGTCGCCTCATCACTGAGTTCATGATCTTTGATGTAAACCGGGGTTCGTTTGGAATCGTTCTCTCTGTAGACGAACTCTTTGGGAATTACGACCTTCACCTTTCGGTCAACTCGTTTTCCTGAAGACAAGGATTTGACTGTATTATGCACTTACCATTGCATTGATGGATAATTTCGAGATATGGCTCTATTCTGGACCATTCCTTATCACTCCCCTCCACATAATACTTTCCGTTCGCGGTCGTGTTGTCCGTGTCGAGAAGGTCGTCGAAGGCGTCTGAACGAAAATTTGATTGCACTTTGTTTTAAAACAAACTTCTGACGACTCCACTTACTATCTTTGTCATACAGGCTGACCTTGCCTTCGATAGGTTTTCCATTACACAACAGCTTTCCAATAGCGACTACTGACCATTTGGTGGGCAGGATATCCGCCGAGACGACGGCGAACCCGACTAATAACAAAATTGTGGGAGCCCACATTGTGCAAGATATTAAAACTTATTTTCCTAAGTGTTTATATAGAGGAGCTGAATGAGGAATTTAATCAATTTTTGGTTGCATGATTTATCGTGAGAACTTTGCTATGATTACAAACAATATTCATAGTTTAACTCTCCTATCTTTGTAGATAATTGTATTAAATGCAGGGATAACTCATCATCACTCCTTTCGAGCCGCGTGTGCCAAAGTTTGAAACGCGCCGGCCCAAAACTCAAGCACGCAGGGTGCAGCTTCTAACAAGGGAAGTACCCGTAGTGCAGCGCCCAGATTTTCTTTAAATTTTGCACACATGTCGGCCATGAACTAACAAGGGATCGGCAAAAGCGCGCATCCTGGTTTTTTCTTGAAACATGTACCATTTGAAAGAGCGTAAAAAACTGGTCTAGGATCACATTTTATTAGCTGCTATTTTTGCTCTACGCCTTCGCTAGCGAGCATTATTTAGTTCTAGGCTTATCTCACCCTTTTTCCGAGGAAACAAATCCGAACGATTTCCAAAGCACAGCGCAGCAGTGCTTCGGTGGCCTAGTGGGGTAAGGCGCTGAACGAGGCGAACCTGCGATCCGGGTTCGAAACCTCTTTTGATTTTTTTTTTGATTTTCTTTATATTGCAAACCAAATAAGGCCTGGAAATAGTGTTTGAGTGTCGTGTAGACATTTGTGGTATAATCGGAGTAGTTTTTTAAGAAAACGGAGATTTTTTAAATTCTTTCAAATTTGTAGTACTTGCCCTTGAAGTGGGTATCTTCTATGGCTGGAACTTTCAAAGACTTTCAGATTTTTACGAATTAAGCCCAGTAACGGAAAGTACGTGAAAATTGAGTCTGAAAACGGTTTACATGTTTTCTACCCGCTATGTTGCATTGGGTTACACGACCTAAAAGATCGCGTAATCAAACATTGTGAACATGGACTTGGGTATCTCAAGGTCGGAAAAAAGTGTGTATTCTTTGGCATAGGGTGAAGCGTTGGACGTCATAGGTACGTATGGGACATATGAAAAGTAATTATTGAATCTTTTTAGCCGTTCAGAAGCAAAGAGTCGTTAAATCCAACCGGGATTTTTTAAAAAATGCTCGCTAGCTAGGGCGTAGAGCAAAAATAGCAGCTAATAAAAGGTGATCCTAGACCAGTTTTTTACGCTCTTTCAAATGGTATATGTTTCAAGAAAAAACCAGGATGCGCGCTTTTGCCGATCCCTTGTAAGTATCAATTCCTGGAAATTTTAGCTCGCGCTATGCATACGCCATCGAGATATGAACTATCTTTGCCGCTGAGAGAATATGCTAAACGCGGAAAGCGAGCAGAAAGAAAAACACTTTTTTTGGCCATAACTTTGCTAGTTTCGTGCGGAAAAAATTTATTTTTTTGTGGAAACATTACCCTGTATGGTAGAAATAAGCATGAAACTTTTTGTGCCCAAATTTGGCAAAAAGTATCAAATTTTCGCCGACTTTCGATCTAAAAATCTCGGTGGTTACTCTGCAAAGCGCGAGTTGGGATTCTCGCATTTATTTTCGAAAAAATTGTTCTAAGTTTGCACCAAGTTTCATCAAAATCTATGCGTTGCAGTTGAGGTACTTCCCTTGAAAGTTTATGAAGAACTCGGGATCAAAACCAAGTTCGATAGGCCAAAAATTAATTTTTTTGGTCAGAATGGCAAAATTCCATTGTTGTTCATTTATATGTACATACGTTTCAGAATATCGGTTTTTATTGAGCATCAAATTCAAACTCAAAATTTAACGTAAACTCCATCTTCGAGGCCAAAGGCGAACAAGCCTTCGGCCTTTTCGGCTGTCGTGTTTAACCGGCTAGTTTTGCTTAGAAGGTGTGGTGACAGTCCGATTAAAATTGAAATCCTTTTGGTAGGGGGTAATGGGGGAGCCCTCCGCGAAGACATAAGTTTTGGGAATATAATGCTTAACCTCCTGTTCCTTTCCTGGAATTCAGTTTAGAGTAGGATCAACGAAGCCTACCGTCGCAGCTGTGCTTCACAACCAGGTACGGAGTGATTTTCGTCCATTCCGTGTCGTAGCCATAGACTTCGTATCTTCCATTTTGGTCCGTGAATCTCGTTTGAAAACGGTTGTCTTCAACGACTGAAACACAGGAAAATAGAGGACCGCCGGATAAAATGGATGTCTCCGGGACTTGTAAATCTTTGTTCATAAAACGTGTCACTGGTATAAACAGCGGCCCACAGCATTCCGAACTTTTTTCGCCGCCGATCGGTGTCGAAAAAAAGTGAAAAATCGAGAGAGGGTATGCATTTCTTTGTGTTGCCGGCTAGCAAAGGCAGGTATTGCAAAATTAGAAAAAGTGTTTGATACTATGAAGATTACTCATTCTAATTATACAAAAATTGTCACCATGCACTTTGTAACCCCCGAGAAAATCACATTCGAAAAAATGAAAATTTCAAATTTAAATGCAATGAAAATGCACTTTCTAGCTGACTACTGAAGAAAAAAAAGATGCTACCGTGTAGAGAATTTTGAGTACTTCCTAATACATATATTTTTTGCGTTGTTTTCTAACAGTTTTAGAGTTACCGCGCAAAAACACCTTTTTTTGCACTTTTTCCGACTTATCTGCACTTTAAATGCAAAAATGCAAAATCTTCCGAGCAATTATCATTCTGGGATTTGCAAAAAACTTTTTTGTCAAGAAAATGGGTCAGATGACACCGGCTTGTGCCAGTGGTATAGACAGCGATTGTATATGGCTAGGACTACTAGAACGAGTAGAAGAATTTTGGGCACTGGAAAGCTTCTCGCCGTGGAAAAATCTTGAAAAATCCAGAGAATCCGTCATACAGCTGGCGCTTTGTAAAAGTTTTGAAGCGATGCTTTTTTTGTGGATACTTTTGCGAATACTACCAACCGTAAATTTTAAGTAAATTTTAACCTTAGAACCAAGTCTTGAGAGGCAAAAAACGGGGCTAAGGTAGTACAGCCCCCCATGACCCAGTACAAACCCCCCTCGTCCATTCTAAATCCAAAATTTATTTCAAAGAATTAATCCAAGTTGTATGGTCCAGCAACAGCCCCCTACGTTTTAGATGAAGCCCCCTACGGTTTAGATCAAGCCCCATACGTTTTAGATCAAACCCACACTTACATTTTTTGTATTATTCTAATTTGTTCATTATGTGGGGTGTGAAACGGGCAAAACAGTGGGGTTTGAACTACCTTTCGTGGGGGGCTCAACTACCGAAGCCCCCAAAAAACAAATTATGACAAAATGTCAACATTTATTGATTTTTTATGGCAAAACTCGACTCTCTTTACATTTTTTGAATGCAAAAGCACTTTGAATATACCCATAAATACCCGAAAATTCACGGCCTCTCGGGTACTTGGGTATATACCCGGGAATATACCCCAGGTATATACCCCGTCCGCACCCTATATACAGCCGCTGTTTGTACGACTGACACATTTTAAACGGGTGTCATCGTGACACAGTTTCTGGAGACACAAAAATTTGTCATAATAGGACTTACTGTCCTGCTCCCAGAGAACAACGGTCGCGTTGACCACCGGTTTCCCATCACAAGTCACTCGGCCCGCAGCTTTGACTTCATATTTTGTCCACCACTGTGCGCTTGCCACAGTAATCAAGCACGAAGCCACGAACAATTTATTCCACATTTTTGGATGTATATAGCGAATTTTCTGGCAGAAAAGAGGGCTATATAAAGGTGGTCATATAAGAGTTAAAATTTTTTTCCCCAAATAGCGATTTTTGGTGCCAAAAAAGTCGATGCCCAATCGAAAAATTGGCGTCGACTTAATTTTTTTCTCGGCACCCAATTCCGAAAGTTAAAAGTCGAGGTCCACGGCAACCCGAAATATGCAGAAGAAAAATGTTTCCCGCCCACCTTTGAGTTTCGTCCAAACGTAGTGCCAAAATTGACAAAAGAAATAAAATATTACCGAGAAAAATATTTTTCGGTCGGAAAACCCCACGAAAAATTGTTTTGTGACATTTCGTTTGATTTCAACCGAATACAAAATGGGCGAAGTGTCGAAAGGAGCCAGGAAACACTTCAGGTTGCCGTAGGGTCTTCAGTCGACGCCAATTTTTCGATTTGAGCGTCGACTTTTTTTGTGCACCGAAAATCGCTATTTGGGAAACAAATTTCTTAAAAGCGCTTATATTACCACCTTTATATAGCGGAGCTGAGTGATGATTTTAATCATTTTTTAGCGGCCTGATTTATCGTGAGAACGTTTGTAATAAAGACAAAAAGTAATCAAACAGCAGATCTTCTCTCTACAACAGAATATTAACAAGGGAACTACTCCAAGAGCGACGCCCAGATTTTCTTTAATTTTGCACACACGTCGGGCATGGACTAAATATCAATTTCTGAAAGTTTTAGCTCGCGCTTTGCCGGCGCCCCCGAGATATCGAACGATTTTTGCCGCCGAGGGAGCATGCTAAACGTGGAGAGCGGTCAGAGAGAAAACACCTTCTTGGCCATAACTGTGGCAGCTTCGTGCGGAAAAAAATCATTTTTTGTGGAAACATTACCCTTTCCGGCAGAAATAGGTGTGCAACTTTTCGTGCCGAAATTCGGCAAAAAGTCCTAAATTTTCGCCAACTTTCGATCTAAAAATCTCGGTTTTTTCTGCAAAGCGCGAGCTAGAATTCTCGCATATATCTTAGAAAAAATTATTCTAAATTTGCGCCAGGTTTCATCAAAATATGAGCGTCGTAGTTGGAGTACCCTGTAAGTACACAACTTTTCATGCCGCACAGCTCATAGTCCACCTTAACCATGTACAGTGTAGAATAAAGTTCATGGAATGGTCAGTCCAAGCGCACTGTGCTCATGGCTTGCCTTTTTATATGCGCCCTGCTTCACAGATATGTATTTATTGAGCGACAAACTCAAACTCAAAGTGTAAAGCAAAGTAGTACGCGTGCGAAGTGTTTTTGGGTTGATTCATTTTGTAGTAAACAGAATTCCGGCTTCTCGGAAGTTATGCTGAGCCCGTTCGGCCTAAAAGAAACAAAACTGCCGCAAAATTCGACAGTATTTATATCGCCCTAGACCAAATTTCGAAACATTTCCACAAAAGAAAAAAGTATTTCACATACGTCTCCGCACGACAAGCCCGATTTACGGAAGACGTGTTGTAGGTTGGGTTGTCCGATTGAAACTGAAATGCTTTACGAAAATCGGATGGCCCTCATGTTCCTGTGCGTAGACGAAATAGGATGGAATGTCATGTCTGACCCTCTCGTACTTGCCTGGAAAAATTCAGTCAGTGAGAGAAGACGATCAACACAACCTACCGTCGCAGTGATGCTCAACAACCAGATAGGGTCTGATCTGTGTGTACTCCGTTTCCTCGCCATGCAAGAAGTATCGTCCATGGTCGTCGGTGGTGGTTTGTTGAAGAAGGTCGTCTTGGAGGGCTGAAAACAGGAAACCGTCAAATTTAAATGGACATAGGGCCCGGGATTTGCAAAATTTTTTGTGTTCAGAAAATGTACCACGATGACACCGGCTTAGGATGTGCTAGTGGTTTACACAGCGGCTCTGTATGGCTGGGAGTACTTCCTAGAGCGTATCAAAAAAAATGGGCCCTACAAACCTTCTCGCCGCTGAAAAATCTTGAGAAATCCAGAAAAATCATCCAACTTGCGCTTTGCACAAGTTTTGAACCTTTTTTTGTGGGTAATTTAGAAAGTACTCCCAGCCATATATAGCCGTTGTTTATACATCTGGCACATTTTTAACCGGCATCATTGTGACATATTTCTTGGAAACATGTCATCGTTGGACCTACGGTCGATTTCCTTGAGAGAAACGGTCGCATTTGCCGGGCTTCCATCGCAAAGCACTCTGCCCTCAGCTCTGACTTCCCACTTTGTCCTGGCGCTTGCTACAGTAATCAAACACAAAAACACGAACAATTTCGTCCACATTTTTGACTGTTTACAATAAATTTCTGGGCAATGATACGAATGTTTACATTTATGTATGTATATATACAAATTTCTTAAGTTCAACATTATAATTCCTTTTTCCGTTGATTCACAGCTTTTGTATTGGAGGCACAATTTCATCATACGACTCGGATGAATAATGGCATACAGCACGAAATAAAAAAAAACAATAAAAAGTATTTTGCTGACCGTCCCACGGACATTCCGTGTGCAAAATTTTTGCGAATTGACGTGTTCCCTAGATGGCCGCACAAATCCCGAAACCCAAGTTTAAGTTCGAATCCAGGTCTGGAAACATCTCGAGAAGATTGCTCTTTAACAAGGGAAGTACCCCAAGTCCCGTCGCTCAGATTTTCTTTAAATTTTGCACACATGTCGGTCATGAACTAAGTACCAATTCATGAAAGTTTTACCTCGCGCTTTGCAAGCGCCGCCGAGATATTGAACGGCCTTTGCCGCCGAGAGAGTACACTAAACGCGGAGAGCGGTCCGAGAGAGAAACACTTTTTGGCCATAACTCTGCTAGTTGCTTGCGGGAAAAATTGATTTTTTGTGGAGACATTACCGTTTACGGTAGAATGATAAGAACGAAAAAAAAAATTAACTGTTCTGGTTAGAAAGGCAAAATCCCATTGTTGTACATCTACATAAGAACACGATTTTTTATTGAGCATCAAATTCAAACTCCAAATTTAAAGTAAACTCCATCTTCGGGCTCAAAACCGAGCAAAAGTTCTTTTCGGGTGGCGTATTTAACCGCTAGTTGAAGTCCGATTAAAATTGAAATCCTTTTGGTAGGGGGTAATGAGGGAGCCTTCCGCGAAGACGTAAGTTTTGGGAATAAAATGCTTAACCTCCTGTTCTTTTCCTGGAATTCAGTTTAGAGTAGGATCAACGAAGCCTACCGTCGCAGCTGTGCTTCACAACCAGATACGGAGTGAATTTCGTAAATTCCGTGTCGGAGCCATAGACTTCGTATCTTCCATTTTCGTCCGTGAATCTTGTTTGAAGGCGGTCGTCATCGAAGGCTGAAACACGGGAAAATTGATGGCCGCCGAATTAAATGGATGTCTCCGGGACTTGTAACTCTTTGTCCAGAAAATAAGTCACGATGACACCGGTTTAAGATTAAAACAAAAATTTTTGGGCATTGGAAAGCTTTCGTCAGCCATATACATCCGATGTATATACGACTGACACATTTTAAACGGGTGTCATCGTGACACATTTTCTGGACACACAAAAATTTGTCATCATAGGACTTACTGTCCTCATCCCAGAGAACAACGGTCGCGTTGACCACCGGGTTCCCATCGCAAGTCACTTGGCCCGCAGCTTTGACTTCCCACTTTGTAAACACAGCGGTTGCCACAGTAATCAAGCACGAAACCACGAACAATTTAGTCCACATTTTTGAATGTGTATAGCGGATGTTCTGGCCAATAACGGGGTTATATATGGTGAGATTTCTCATTAGCAATCTCAACATTTCATTTCTGAGTCAACGGCCGTTTGGCTTTGTTTTGATAGAGCCTCATGTTTAAGAAATTCCAATCTTGCATGAGATGATCAATCTTTTGCTGACGTAATTCACATTTTTTTGTATTGTAATCACAATCTCATCATGTCGAAAGGCCCGACAACCCAATAACGATGAAGAGACGCTCAAGAGTCAAGTGATTTATTCAGTGGAAAGGAGGCCCTTTTATAGGGACGCCCCACGTGGGAAAGTAAAATCAAATTTGAATAAATGTAGATCGTTCCTCGTGGGAAAATCCTCGAAGCTCGGTCGTTCCGCCTCACACATCATATAAAGGTGGTCATATAAGAATTCAGAATTTTTTCCCCAAATCGCGATTTTCGGTGCATAAAAAAGTCGACGCCCAAATCGAAAAATTGGCGTCGACCGAAATTTTTTCTCGGCACCAAATTCCGAAATCCGGTGCATTTTTTCTAAACCCAACGCCCGTTTTTTGAAATCGGTGCACAAAGTCTTAAGTCTGCACCGAAGCCCTAAGTCTGCACCGAATTTCGGAATTCGGTGCAGGGTTTCGGGGGAACAGTTGACCCACTTTATATTCCAGCTCGAGAAGATTTTTTTTTGTTTTTTGCCAATGTTCAACGTCACGAAGGACGGGAAGGTCCGCTGCGGAAAGGTCCGCCAAAAAAAAGAAAAGAAGAGGGCGGGGAGGAGGGGAGGTTTTCGATGGCGCTGATTTCGAATATCGTATCCATTTTTTCTGAATTTTACAATTTTGCTTAAGCAGTAGTGTTCATTAGTAATTAAAAAAAAATTTTTTTTGAGTGATGGATTTAGGGGTTTTCGGTGGTGCTGATTTTGAAAATTGTATCCATTTCTTCTGACTTTTTGCCTATCTTTCTCAATTCTTTAAAATAAATGTTTTAATTGGTAAAAACTTGGTCAAACTTGTATGATACTGTAAGAAAACATATGACACTTTTTTCGTCTTTACAGCGAAAATGACACTACTGCTTAAGCAAAATTGTAAAATTCAGAAGCAATTGATATGATTTTCGAAATCAGCGCCATCGAAAACCTCCCCCACCCCTCCCCCGCCCTCCTCTTTTCTTTTTTTTAGCGGACCTTTCCGCAGCGGACCTTTCCGTATTCAATCGTTCAACGTATATTTTCTGAATGAAGGCAAGATGGAAATTGTCCAAAAAGGGAATTTTTGCCAAGAGCAGACTGCCCCGTTCGATTTGATGTCTAGATTTCCCGTTTTCTGCTCGGATAAAGCACCAAATTTGGGAATGTTGTGATCTTTGTTGTACCATGGATAATGTAAGTCGATTTTCCAATTTTTTGTGCTGTTTGAAAACCAAATTATGGCTAAAGGTAGAATAGGCTTTCAGCTTTATTGTAATATAAATTTCGAACCAGAAACATCGAGCTTCACCAAATTTTTATGTTGTACTTGCTTCACGTATTTGGCCCCTCGGTCAAGCTGCTATTCCTTAAAATTAGTTCTATTTTCATGGTATAATTAACTAGTGTCCAGCCTAAACCTATTTATGTCCATTTTTGGCGAGTTTGCACAAAAAATAGGAAAATCAACTTGCATTATCCATGGTACAACAAACATCACAGCATTCCAAAATTTGGTGCTTATCCGAGCAGAATATTGTCTTCATTCATAACATCTGAGCGTCGCACTTGGTGTACTTCCCCTGTAAGTTTAAGAAGAATTCGGGTTCAAAATCAAGTTCGATAGGCCAAAAAAAGTAAGTTTTTTGGTTAGAAAGGCAAAATTCCATTGTTGTACAGGGTGTTCCAAGAATTATGGAAAAAACTATTCTTTAATAACTTTGTGCTCGGTGGCCCAATCCGAAAATTTTCTTTTGCATTTTGCAGAAAAACCTTGGAGTTTTTAGAATCAAAAAAAAATTTTTTGTTTTATCGGCGGAGACTTCCGTAATCCGCCTTGAATTCGACGGAGTGCTTTTTTCACAAACGAGGCTGTAAAAATTGGTTCATTTTTTTCTCCGCCGATTTCTCCGCCGAATTGCCTTTTTTTTCTTCTCCCAGTGTGCCGAAGACGTAATAAGTCGTATTTAGGCGCCATGCCACCAGGAATACCATACGTTTTGGTTTTAGCCAATTTTGACTCTCCAAAGTCGAAGAAAAATCGTCCGCCGAGGTTAAAAAATGTCTCCGCCGAATGACAAAAATTTGAAAAAAATGTCATATTGCATCTTCTGAATCCTTTCCCACCTATTTTCTTCACACATACAACAATTTACAGCCTCATTTGTGAAAAAAATACTCCGCCGAATTCAAGGAGGATTACCGAAGTCTCCGCCGCACGTCAAGAAAAAATAAAAGAAAAACGGGCGCCCAATGAAAAAGCCTAGAATTTTTTTTGGCATTCTGCCCGGTGCAAATCCGTTTTTGTCCAAATGGTTTGCAATATTTTGACATAAAGATTATTAGTAAATCACAAGATATTGATACCAATAGAAAGCTCGAGAGTTGCTTAAGCTAACAGAACCAAAATATACCCATAATCATAGTATTTTGACAGTCTTCCAAGGCGAAGAATACAACGTCTAAATAAAAGCTTGTATCGACGATACCGAGTCAGAGAGAACTGGAAGGGGGTATAGGCTCCAAGTCAAAAAAATCCTTAAACTATTCTTCGAGTATCTACATCGGTCTCGTCCCGCTTGATGGGACAGTTTTTTTGATATTCGGCCTTGAAATTTGCACTATTTTTAGCCTAGCTCGAACCGTGTTCAAAAAATGCGTCACGATGACACCCATTCAGAATGTGCCAGTGGTATAAAAAACAGTTGTATACGACTAGTAGTACTCCCTAGAGCTCCGATAAAAAAAACTAGGTTAAACATTGTTGTTATGCGCAATTTGGATGACAGATTTTATGAATTTTTTTTCGCTGTGAGAACCTTTGCAATGCCCGAAATTTCTTGACGTGCGCCGATCAAAGCAAAAAATTATTTTTGATTCTAAAAACTCAAGGGTTTTCCTGTAAAATGCAAAAAAAATTTTTCTAATTGGACCACCAAGCACAAAGTTATTAAAGAATATTTTTTTCCACAATTCTAGGAACACCCTGTACATTATAAGAACATGACTTTTTATTGAGAAACAAATTCAAACTCCAAATTTAAAGTATATTCCATTTTCGAGGCCAAAGGGTATTTTACCGCTAGTTTTGCGGTGCGGTGACGGTCCGATTAAAATTGAAATCCTTTTGGTAGGGGGTAATGAGGGAGCCTTCCACAAAGACATAAGTTTTGGGAATATAATGCTTAACCTCCTGTTCCTTTCCTGGAATTCAGTTTAGAGTAGGATCAACGAAGCCTACCGTTGCAGCTGTGCTTCACAACCAGATACGGAGTGATTTTCGTCCATTCCGTGTCGTAGCCATAGACTTCGTATCTTCCATTTTGGTCCGTGAATCTCGTTTGAAGACGGTCGTCATCGAGGGCTGAAACACAGGAAAATAGATGACCGCCGAATTAAATGGATGTCTCCGGGACTTGTAACTATTCGTCCAGAAAATGTGTCACGATGACACCGGTTAAAAATGTGTGGGTATAGACAGCGGCCGTATATGGCTGCCAGTACTCCCAAGGTACCCACAAAGAAGAATATAGATTCAAAACTTGTGCAAAGCGCGAGTTGGCAGACGGATTTTCTGGATTTTTTTAGCGACGAGAACCCTTGCAGTGCCCAAAATTTTTTTACACCCTCAAAGGAGCGCTGCTAAATGAATATAGGGCTCGGAAAATTCGGGTATATTCAACACTCGGGTATATACCCGGGTATATACCCGAAATCTCGGGTATATTCGGAAATTTATAAAATTAGGCTAAATTAGTCCACTATAGTACCAATAAGAAGTCGTTAATGAATAAGTGGCAACTTATTTATTAACCAAATTATGTTTGGAGTGATGTTCTTTATTTTCCCAACTACAACAAACAAAACTGGTACTTTAACAATGAGAAAGTTTAGCAATCCAATAGTTGGCAGTCAGATTTCGATTTTTTTCCCGTTCATTTGCCGACTCCGGCCAAGTAAATTTGAACCTTAGAACCACGTTTTGAGAAGCAAAAAATAAATTATGACAAAAATGTCAACATTTTTATGACAAAACTCGACTTTTTTTACATTTTTTGAATGCAAAAGTACTTTGAATATACCCATAAATACCCGAAAATTTCCGGCCTCTCGGGTATTTGGGTATATACCCGGGTATATACCCGGTCCGAACCCTAAATGAATATAGCCTGGGATTTGCAAAATTTTTTTGTGTCCAGAAAATGTGTCACGATGACACCGGCTTGCGATGTGCCAGTGGTATAGATGGCGACTGTATATGACTATGACTACGCTCTACAGCAAGTAGAAAAATTTTGGGCACTGGAAAGCTTCTCGCCGTTGAAAAATCCAGAAAATCCGTCATCCAACTGGAGCTTTGCAAAGGTTTTGAACCTATACTTTTTTGTGGGTACTTTTGCGAATACTCCCAGCCATATACATCCGATGTATATACGACTGACACATTTTAAACGGGTGTCATCGTGATACATTTTCTGGACACACAAAAATTTGTCATAATAGGACTTACTGTCCTGCTCCCAGAGAACAACGGTCGCTCTGGCCACCGGGTTGCCATCGCAAGTCACTTGGCCCGCAGCTTTGACTTCCCACTTTCTCCACCAGTGTGCGCTTGCCACAGTAATCAAGCACGAAGCCACGAACAATTTCGTCCACATTTTTGGATGTGTATAGCGAATGTTCTGGCCGCTACTGGAATTTTATATGGTGAGATTTCTCATTAGCAATCTCAAAATTTCATTTCTGAGTCAACGATCTTGGCTTTGTTTTTATTGTTGTCAGCAGGGCCTCATCTTTTGATAAATTCCAATCTTGCACGGGATGATCAATCTTTTGCTGACGTAATTCACATTTTTCTTGCATTGTAGTCACAATCTCATCATATGGATGAATAATGACATCCTGCAGAAGATCTGAGCCAGAGACTAGAAGGCCAACCTTGCAGGGGAAGTGCTACACTCAGATTTTGATGAAAGTTGGCCCCATTTTTTTAGTACATAGTGTACATTAACTTTACAGCTCTCTGCATGTTTCATACTCTCTTGGCCGCAAACAGCGGTCAATCATAGCTTCCGGAAAGCGCGAGCTAAAACTTTAGGAACTGATATGTGGCTATGCCTGTTTTTGAGGATGTCTTAACATAAACGTCTGTTGAAGGTGAGCTGTGACGATGCTGGGAAACGCGAACGACAACTAAAGCAGTTTCAAACGCAACATTATGAAATTGGTAATGAAAGTGTGCTAAATGTCAATTTTTCGTTTTTCAATACAAATTTTATGTCGATGTGTCCTCATCGTGTGAGTAATCGTATTTCGTACAGATAAGCAATAATTGGGGTTTGCTGAAAATGATGAGTCACTAAAAATTGAATGTCCGTATTTTGAACCGGATTCATCTTGCGATTTCAACAATTTTGATTAAAAAGGAGTTGCTTCAAGTGCGAAAAGAGGTTTATTTTATGTCGATTGTAAACCTTGGTCTTTGTAACCGACCAAGTCGGGAGCTGAGGAGTCAAGCGATTTATTCAAAGGAAATTCTTTTGTAGGGAAACCCCACGTACAGTGGCGGTCAAAAAAAACGGCCACCCCAAGATGATGCGCTCTAGCGCAGAAGAGAGTGGTCGTAGGAAGATAAATATGGTATCAGTGTAAAGCTTATGCAATACTAAGACGTGTGACTATAAACTTGTGGTTCTGTAGTGCTGGCCTAGCACGTACTGGGGCAATATGTTATTTTGGCCTGGTCAAAAAAAATGGCCACCCATAATTATTGTGCTTTAAACGCGGTTTATGTTATAAATTGCCGCCATATGCGACTGGACTAGGATAACTACATCAATACACATCAGTTCCAGTATTTCGTACTTTGTACATATGCCCTCAGGCATCATTCAGGGTTGATGACCTTGTTCATGGTTAAGGCCCGGCCAAATTTTTTTTGGATTTGTGTCGTTGTTTTGATAATCCTGAGCAATACTATAGATGGTATTGATCGTATTCATGTGTAAAACTCTCCACTTCTGCCAAAATTGCGCCCCTTCTGATAATAAAACTCAAAAAAGCAGATTTTTTGGCCGAAATTTTTTCAAAAATCCGTTTTGGAGGCCGCTAAACAATTAATGTAGAATCTTAAACAGGCTTTATTTGTACAAGAACATCATGGACATTTGTTTTAACACGGCACCGGTTAAAGGAAACGACCGCCCGAAACGACAGACACCGTTTTGTTACAGTTTTCGACTTCAGGAAGTAATCATGAATTTTGCCCGTTTCCGAAACATCGTTGAATAGAAATTAGAATCTAGTCTTGCATTTGTGGCATTGTTGAAATACCACTCAATCATTTAAAGATAAGTATGAGCCCCTAAAGTTAAAATTCGGGTTACAGACCTTGACAAAGTTTATGATTATTTCCTGAAGTCGAAAACTGTAACAAAACGGTATCTGTCGTTTCGGGCGGTAGTTTCCTCTAACCGGTGCCGTGTTAAAACAAATGTCCATGATGTTCTTGTACAAATAAAGCCTGTTTAAGATTCTACATTAATTGTTTAGCGGCCTCCAAAACGGATTTTTGGAGAAAATTAGGTCAAAAAATTCCATTTTTTGAGTTTTATTATCAGAAGGGGCGCAATCTTGGCAGAAGTGGAGAGTTTTACACATGAATACGATCAATACCATCTATAGTATTGCTCAGGATTATCAAAACAACGACACAAATCCAAAAAAAATTTGGCCGGGCCTTAACCATGAACAAGGTCATCAACCCTGAATGATGCCTGAGGGCATATGTACAAAGTACGAAATACTGGAACTGATGTGTATTGATGTAGTTATCCTAGTCCAGTCGCATATGGCGGCAATTTATAACATAAACCGCGTTTAAAGCACAATAATTATGGGTGGCCATTTTTTTTGACCAGGCCAAAATAACATATTGCCCCAGTACGTGCTAGGCCAGCACTACAGAACCACAAGTTTATAGTCACACGTCTTAGTATTGCATAAGCTTTACACTGATACCATATTTATCTTCCTACGACCACTCTCTTCTGCGCTAGGGCGCATCATCTTGGGGTGGCCGTTTTTTTTGACCGCCACTGTAGAAAAGGTACAATCAAATTTGAATAAGAGCACTTTCCCTGCCAATTACAGGGTCTTACAAGAAACGTGAAGGAAAGTGGAAGGCTATAACTTCCGGCGGAGTCGGCGCAGAGACTTCGTATTTGAAGTATGTTTTTTTAAAAGGCATAAGTTTTTGTCTACGAAATAACAAGCTTTTAAAGTGCAAACTGAGGTCGCTACGGCCTTCTGAAGTAGAGGCATCTCTACCCCGAAAACCAGGTTTTTTCGGTTGAAAATGATCGAGAAATTTCGGTCTTTTCGGTTGAAAATCACCAGGAAATGTCGGATTTTTTGGGGGGTTTCGATATGGGTGATGTTGGCAAATACATAGGAGGAAAGTGCCAACACTTGCAAATTATGCACGTTTTCTTAAAGACTATATCTAGAATTGCAATTGTGATTGTGTTTATTTTTAACTGACACCCGATGAAACAACATTAATTCAGATCAAATGTGGGCTTAAAAATCAGGTTCTCAACCCGAGTTCTGTCGTAAACGTAGCCTTGAGGGACCGCCTGTCGTATTCTGTGCTTCCGCCCTGAAATTAGTTGATTTAGATCGCCTAACAAAATTAAAAGCTTTTTTATAAGCTATTTTCTCTGTTTTAGCATTTTTTGCATGATCTTGTACTAACCTTTACATTCACCGACAAGTTCAATATATGGCTCAAATCTTCCAAACTCCTTTTCAAACGCCTGAAGCGTTACAAAGCCGGGTTTGGACACGTGCTTGAAAGCCAGAATGTCGTTGAAGAGTGCTGAAAACAAAAAGGTATAACCGGATTGAGACCGAAAAGTGTGGTGCTCAAAGAGGTGACATTTTATACGATGGATTTTTTAATTCAAGTTTTTAAAATGATGGATGAAACTTTATCCGATAAAATTTTGAATTTTTTCAAAATGTGAGGTGGCATGTTATACGATTAAAATTTTACACAATTTTTTTAGCTGACTAAATAAAATGCTTATACATTACTTTGAAAGTTTGAAGAAAATTTTTCATCGTATAAAATGTCACCTTTTTATTTTTCCCAATGTTCAAAATGAACAAAACTTACTATCCGAGTCTTGAATACTAATAGTAGTCGACAAATTTGCGTCACACTTTATAATTGGCCCTACTGTAACATAATATCGAAACGGCATAACTAAATCGACAACACTGCCGCTACAGAAGACAATTGGGACAAGACAGAGTCGCAGGAGCATTTTTCAGCAAACAGACTTTCTATTCACGCTCACCTTGTCGAATATACGTATGAATTCAACGGCAATAAAAATAAATTCCACTAGCATGACTAATAAAGTGCTTGTGGGAACAAGGATGATTAATAATTTTATTATAATTTCTCAAAAAATTGCAGCTTCAAAGACATCCTCAATTTTTGAAAAACAATTGTTTAAAAGCTATTAAGAAACATCAGTTTGTCGGAAAAATAATGAGCGCAATGTCGCTGCGCCCATTACGTCGCTAAAGGAAAAAAATTTGATTTTGCCGCGAAGACAATTCATTTTCTCGGCGGCAGTGCGATTTTTGATGCCACAGATTACACATTATTTTCTCGACAGACTGATAAATGAAAATTTATGCCTCCCATGAAGAAACATTTTTATAGGCATTGTGCGTTGAAAGTGAGATTTTTTGATCGTTTTTTCGCCGTAACTTATAGACATTTTCTTGAAACACCCTGTATAAAGAATCGAGGGACAAAAAATTCCTAGTGCTGTCGAAGTACGCAGGCTTATCTTGGCCAAAAATTGAGCTTTGGGACCTTCGAAATTGTTCGTTATATGAACGTTCCTACCAGTGTTTTTTCGGCTGAAGATGATCGAGAAATCTTGGATTTTTTCAATTGAAAATCACCGAGAAATATCGCATCCTTCACAGAACACATTTCGAAGAATCGGAAGTGATAAAGGCTGAGAAAAAATTAAAGGAGCTGCTCTATTATTATGCACAAATGCGAAGGCATTTTCAAATGAAACCTTCACTTCAAGAATGTCTTCCGGTCTCACCGTCATCTATGTCGTCTAAACTTTTGTTGTTCCGCTGAGCATTTTCCTCATTCAGTCATCAAGTATACAACCACGATTCCACCAAAGAGCACCGGAAGCCATTGGCGACAATGACGTAGCGTAGTTCATGAAGGATAATGTCAAAGTCCAATGAAGGTGCTATAAAAAGCATATCATGGATGGATGGAAAGGTATCCGTGGAACATGGGTTGGCTTGCAGTCTCTGTGGTCTCTGTTTTGCTTGTGTCGTGCACATCGTAAGTTGCAGTGTCAATACTTCTATACATATATGCTCATTCAAGCTTCTTCTTGCCGGAAACCAACTCACAAGATGACGGAGAACTGTGGGTCGTCATTGTGGTCGGTGGGAAAGGCATCGACAACTACAGTGAACATGCGAATGCATGTCACGCCTACCACATCCTGAGGGACCGTGGGATTAAGGACGAGCGGATTATATTGCTCATGCGCGATGACGTTGCGAATAGTAACGAGTAAGTGTTCATGATTGCAATGCAGTCGCACGAGAAATCCAATGAAACCTGTCCATTGCCAGAAACTGGGCCTAGAGCGAGATGAGTGAAGCCCCTATTCTACAGATGCACAAAAAGTTACTTACGTTTGCTGAAAAATCGTTAGGGGACATTCGAATTGTAACTCACCTCTCTTGCTCTATTTGGAAACAACCGGGACAGACCATAGCGAAAAACTTCCTTTTTCTGGCCCGGCGCTTCGCAGCTTGCGCCCTGTTTTCACTGCACACTGCCTAACCTGCCTAGAGGTGGCAATCGGGCCGGGCCGATTTTTGCGGCCCGGCCCGGCGGTCGAAGCGGCCAGGCCGGCCCGGGGCTTTTTCAAATCTGCACAGGCCCGATTGCCATCTTTAAACCTGCCCAAGCCTGAGGCTCAGCCTAAGCCTGATATTCCTTGCAGCCGGAATTGTTCGGGCGCAAACTGCAAAACCTTCTTTTCGCCGGGGCCAGAAAAAGGAAGTTTGACCGACAATAGTGTCTTTATTTCGCACACACATCAAAATTTATGCAAATTCCTAGGAAATCCTCACCGAAGGTTTCGTTATATGAAGCTAACTGTAGCCTCAAATCGACTCTATAGAGCTCTGCAATTTGTACGATAAGGACAGGTTTTGTTGCACTGAACTTTGTTGTACAGAGGCTTGACTGTATTTTTCCTTTCTTAACACAAGATGTTTTTAGCAATCCGTTCAAGGGAAAGCTGTTCAATCATCCAAGCCTGAGCCATGACGTCTACAAAGGCTGCACGATCGACTACAACGGCAGCAATGTGACACCCGAAACGTTTAAGAATGTGTTGATCGGGAACAACACTGGTGATGGGCCGGTCCTGGAGTCTACGGAGAAGGATCGGTTGTTCATCTACTTCACCGACCACGGCGGACCCGATGTCCTTTTGTTTCCCGACGCGTATGTGCTGCCCAAAGGGCAGTATTTTTCTTCTGCAGACTTGGACGAGTCCTTGCGAATAATGACAGAGAAAAAGATGTATAAGGAGATTCTCTTCTACATCGAAGCCTGCGAGTCCGGCAGTGTTACCGAAAACGTAATCCCTAAATATCCCAACGTTCTGGCGATTACCGCATCCTCCCCTACTGAAGATGCGGCGATGGCGTATTGCAGTTACTATTCCGGTAACCACATCTGCCTTGGTGGTGAGTTTTCGGTGGCATGGTTGGAGTATGACGACGCCAACAACACGAATACTCATACGCTTCAGGATCAGTTTGAGGTGATAAAAGCGGGCACCAAGCACAGTCACGCCAGCATTTACGGAGATCGCAAGCTGCTGAACAGAAAGATCAGCGACTTCCAAGGAGTGCAAAAGCAGATTCGCCCTCAAATTGTGAGTGTAGAATTATGCTCGGTTTGTTTCAGTCCGTCGGAAAAATAGTACTTTTTTCACACCTGTTAATTGCCCCGCGCTTTGCCACGCCATGTCGAAGATTTGGCGCGTGGCTGAGAGACATTTGCTGTGACAAATCCATATTATTTTCCCGACGAACTGTTACAGTGGAGCATTTGTGCAACAAGATCCCGAAACCTCTGTATAAGGAGCGATTTCAGAGGTCCAAGGAGAAATTTTTGGGCCAAGGTTATTCCGTATAAAAAACCCTTCTATAACAAACCTTTTTTTGTTACCTTGCGATTCGCTGCGCAGAGGTTCTACTGTACGGACCTGATCCAGTGGCAAAAACGTAGCATTTCGCATCCGGGAAGTACCAAAAATGTAGCAAAATGCCTCCCTCTCCAACTAAAAAACTCCGTTTTAAAGCGCTTCCTCACGAAAAGAGCAGGCGCGCCTTTGAAATCGGGGCTTTTGGCTTGAAGATGAAGGTATTTTGCTGCGTTGGCAATACTTGCCGGAGGCAAAATGGTACGTTTTTTGTCACTGTGTGCAGTCCCCACTGTATCTACCATGCTTTTTTGCGCTATTACTGCAACAAAATGTATCTCCGTATAACAAAACTCTTCTATAACAAACATATAATTTTTTTTGCTCCCTTGCGATTTGCTGCGCAGAGGTTCCACTGTATCTACCATACTCTTTTGTGCTACTAGTATATATTACTAGCTGTAAACATCAGCATTTCAGACGACAAAAAACTACGAATACGAGTCAATCCCAATAAGACAGGTGCCAATATGGCGCAGAGAGAAACAACTTCAGAGAGCTGTTGCCAATAGAAATGAAGAAGAGATTGCTCGTCTGCAGATGGAGTTGTTGGAATTGAAGGAGTCGCTCAAAAAGCCCGGTCATTCAACGGATTGATTTTTAAAGTTAAAACTTATGTTCAAAATCTCGAAATTGTCTTGATCTTTGATTATTAAAGTTGCTTTCAACATTTCATCAGCTTTGAATAACCAAAATCACAGCCTTTCTCACGCTGTATTACAAACATAAGAGTTTTTGTAGCTTAGTCATCGTGTGTAGACAATTTAGTATCTTTGAGAATTTCAAAAAGTTTATTTGATGCAGCATGCTTAATTATTTTCTATCTCTTACTTTTACTGGGCTTGTAGCCGCGGAGTATTTAGATTTTACTCCCCGGAATTATGACGTCAGAGCAACCGGCACGTTGTATTGTGAGGACACGTCGGAGACGCATAAGGCGTCCATTATCCTGGCTGATATTGATTGTGAGTTTGTTTTTCTGCATGTATTATAGCATATGAAAGCTCTGCAGAACAAACAGCAACTAACAAATCCTCTCTATAACGAACAATTTCAAAGGATATGGGCTTCAATTTTAGACAGAAATAAATAAGAATACAACAAAAACATATGTATTAAAACCTCTTTATATCGACGATCAATCTGTCGGGAAAATAATGAGCACTCTGTCGCATCAAAAATCGTATCGCCGCTAAAGAAGAGAATTGTCTTCGTGGCAAGATCAAATTGCTTTTCTCTACGCGATCGGCGCAGCGACATTGTGCTCATTATTTTCCCGACAGACTGATATTAAATCTTGGGTCCTCTCCAATTTGTTTTACAAAAGTTCACTTGTCTATCGGTCTGTCGGGAAAATAACGGCGGATCGTCGCGCCTCGGAGTCGCTCATCATCGCTTTGCGACTGCAAGCCGCGACTTGGGATTTGGTGCGCGATAGCGGCGGGGCGAGACATTTTGCTGCGACGATCCGCCGTTATTTTTCCGACAGACTGATATCAGTTTGTCTGGAAAATAATGGATTCATCCCTCGATTCATCCCACCCGTCGCCGCTTTGCGATGACTAGCCGCGGCTGGAGATTTGGTTTGCGACTGGGACAAGGCGAGAAATTTTGTTGCGCCAAATCCACATTATTTTCTAGACAGACTGATAATATGGGGAAAAGTTCCTTATTCTGGCCACAAAAAAGGTACTCTGTGAACTGCGCCCAAACTTGGGAACTAAAGTTAGGAAAAAATTCTTCGATCTAGCTGGCCCTGAATTACTACAATAGCTCTAGTATAGTTTAAAGGTACCTACGAAGGCTACGACGACTCATAGTTCAATACTGAGGGAATAAGTTTAATTTCGGACATGTTTCATCGTATAAAGTGTAAAATCGCAGGCTGCAGCCGGCTTTGAAGGGTAAGATGGTACGTAAAAAAGAAGGTACCTCACTAACTAAATTCAATGTCCTGGCATTGACAACGATGAATTGAGCCTGCACGCAAAATTTGGGCTAATTTCTACCAGTTTCCGAAGAGTTAAAAGTTGTGGCCAGAATAAGGAACTTTTACCATAATATGTAGCGTTATATGTATCCCTGCCTTCAGTTCTCTACGACGACATTTTGAACTGGACCGTCGCCGGAAAGGACGGCAAATTCGACATCTACGGAACGGAGTGGGGATTCACCAAGTTTGAGCCTGTTCTTTATATTGCGCATCATTGCGGAGGTAATAAAAATTGACAAGGGAAGTGCTCCAAGTGCGACGAATAGATTTTGGCCAAAAACCGGCTTTTCGCCATAGCATCGCTAGTTTAGCATGGAGAAATTTTTTTTTGTTGCCTATTTCCTATACGGTAGAAATAGGCGAAAGAAACTTTCCATGCCAAACTTTGCAAAAAATCGTTTCATTTTTTCCAATTTTCAATCTGAAAATCTCTGTAATTTTTGCAAAGCGTGAGTTAGGAGTCCCGCATATGTCACAGGAAATATTACTTTAAATTTGCGCCGAGTTTCTTCGAAATCTGAGCGTCGCATTTGGAGCACTTCCTCTGCGAATTTAATGTCCGTTTAGATTGGAAAAACATCCTGCAAAGCCGAGTTGTCCTCGATCAAAAATATGTGTTCTACAAGAGTGACGAGTTCAAGCTTGTGTTCAACGAATCCATAGATCTTTACAACAACAACATTGGGGATTACTATGAGGAGGATATATATCCACCGCTTGATAAGAAGAAGGGATATTTCTGATAACATCTGTTACATTATATTAGATCTGTGTGACAAAAATTTTTCATGCAAAAATAAACTTGATTAAAGGTGTTCAATTTTCTACATTCTCCATACACGTATGACTAAGCGATAAAAAAACCGAATGTTTGTATCATTTGGACCTCTGAACTTGTTCGTTATACAGAGGGTATGTCCTACGGGAGTTTGCTGTACGTATGTTTCACTGCATGCACCCAGAAAAATGCAGCTCTCACAATTTGAGGGCAAAATTGTTTTTGCACTCCTCGGACGTCGCTGGTCGTAATATTTGTCTTGGGATTGTTGTTGAAGCTCAAGAGGACCCTTTGGAGGTACTTGGAGGTGCTTTCTGTTGATGAGGGATACTAGGAACGTACCACAATCATGCCTTAACACCCTCTGCTTATGAGTTACAAAAGTGTGGAAAGAAAATTTTGTCATCCGGTTTTTGCCTTTTTCAAAAAAAGGGCATGTAAAGTGCATCAAATGATACGATTTTTTTGGGTATGGAGTTAGAATGTTCCACAGTGTTTCTGTGCCCAATTTCAAGGTTCTGGGCCTAGCAGTTCCCGAGATCCAGGTGGAAAGAAAATTTTGTCAACCATTATAGACTCAAGCTTGGATTTACCATTTTGCATCCGGGAAGCATCAGAAATGTAGCAAAATGCCTCCCTATCCAAGTGAAGAAACTTAGTTTTGAAGGGCGTGCCCTTTTCCTCACAAAAAGAGCGGGTGCGCTTTTGAAATCAGATTTTTTTAAACTTTTTTTTACCTGGAGAGGGAGGTATTTTGCTACATTTTTGATGCTTCCCGGATGCAAAATGGTACGTTTTTTGCCACTGAATCAGATCCCGCACTGTACTTGGGGAAGCTTATCATTTTTGGGAACGTTTGTGTTGTTAGCTTCATCAGTTTGGCCTCATCTTCTTCCGCGGAATCAAAATCGGCCGAAAACACCAAGAATGGTATTCTAGGCCAAAAGGTGGGCCAGTGACAGTATTTTATTGTACATATGCATAAATACCACTTGGTCTTGTTGCATATGGCTGATCTCTGCCTAAGATCGCGTTTTGATTATAAATTTTTTTATTGACTTGGTAATTCAGCGTTGATATATTTCTGTTCCCAGACGAGTGTGTCATGCTGTGTATTGATTCCCTTTTCATCTCAAAAACCAAGGCTTGGCTCTTTTTTCAATCTCCACACGGTTGCTGCTGAAATGCTGCTGTTGTGTCTTTTTGCATCGCTCTGCATTTCCTTACTGCATGGATTTATCTTCCCTGAACGAGAATTTGTTAGTGTAAACCTTACGATTGAATGCACTGCAAATTTATCGACCATTCTCAGCCTTCGTGATTTAGATGGTAAGTATGTATTACAGCGGGACTTTTAAAAATAACAGGGGCGAATCCCAAGTGTGACGTTCAGATTTTCTTTAAATTTTGCACACACTTCGGACATGGACTAAATCTCAATTCCTGAAAGTTTTAGCTCGCGCTTTGCAAGCGCCACCGAGATATTGGACGATCTTTGCCGCCGAGAGAGTACACAACGTTCTTAGAGCGTGAGACTTTTGGCCATATCTTTGCCAGTTTCATGCGGAAAACACTGATTTTTCGTTCAAACATTACCCTCCGTGGTAGAAATAGGCATGAAACTTTTCGTGCCCAAATTCAGCAAAAAAGACTCAAATTTTCACCGACTTTCGATCTATATAAAAATCTCGATTGTTTATGCAGAGCGCGAGCTAGGATTCTCGCATGTATTTCGGGAAAAACTATTCTAAATTTGGGCCAAGTTTCATCAAAATCTGAATTTTACTAATTGACTCTTTTCTCATAATTAGTGATCAAAGACGACGTCTTGGCAACGATTCACATTACGGAGCCTGGAACCTATCTTCTGGAAGGCACCGAAAAAGAATATGGCACATTTGAGCCTTACATTGAAGTTCTCGGCACATGCAACGGTATGTCAACGCGCTGAAAAATCGACAAAAATCTTCAGGAATACCGCATAACTTCAGGCACATGATCCAAGAGAACTTCATTTACAAGAAGAAGGCCGACCGTAAAGTCTACGGGCACACTGTTAGACTTGATTGAAATGAAAGTAATTGTCGCTGAATAAAGTTCTAAGATATAGTGGCTTTTCCCGTGCCGTAAAACGCTACGGCTAATTGAACTAGGACGATAAATGTACTTTCTTTGGCGTTTTAAGGCCGTGACCTATACCATTCAAAACAAGACAGAATAAAATTTCAAAACCTAAAGTTTCGCCTTTTTTTGGAGCCAAACTGCGCCCGTACCGAGCCGAACACTCTGATATTACACTAGGCACTATTAAAAAATAAAGTGAATTAGAGATGTCGGAGTGAATTGACGTGACCTATACCATTCGAAACAGCACAGAATACTATATTGTCTATACGCGATGACTCAGAGACAAAAACTTCCATGTTTGTAATGCAGCATAAGAAAGGATATGATTCTGGTTATTGAAAACTGATGTAATGTTTGAAAGCAACTTTAATAATCAAAGATCAAGACAATTTCGAGATTTTGAACATAAGTTTTAACTTTAAAAATCAATCCGTTGAGTGACCGGCGTTTTTGAGCGACTCTTTCAATTCCAACAACTCCATCTGCAGACGAGCAATCTCTTCTTCATTTCTATTGGCAACAGCTCTTTGAAGTTGTTTCTCTCTGCGCCATATTGGGACCTGTCTTATTGGGATTGACTCGTATTCATACTTATCCGTCGCCTGAAAATGTTGATGTTTATAGCGAGCAATATAAACTAGTAGCGCAAAAAAGCATGGAAGATACAGTGGAAACTTTGCGCAGCGAATCGCATGGAGCCAGAAAATAGAGTTATTATAGAGGAGTTTTGCTATACGGAGATACATTTTGTTCCAATAATAGCGCAAAAGAGCATGGTAAATGCAATGGAGGGCCTTATTCAGTGGCAGAAAATGTAGCATTTTGCCTCCGGGAAGTACTAAAAAAATGTGGCAAAACACCTCCCTCTCCAATTGAAAAACTCGCACGCCCGCTCTTTTTGTGAGCGAAAGGGCGCGCCTTTCAAAACGAGGTTTTTTGGTTGTAGAGGGAGGCAATTGCTACATTTTCGATACTTCCTGGATGCAAAATTGTACGTCTTTTGCCGCTTAATCAGGTCCGTCGCTGTACACTGTAGTGAAACCTCTGCGCAGCGAAAGGTACAAAAAACAGATTTTTACAGAAGGGTTTTGTTACACGGAGATAACTTTGGCCCAAAAATTTTACTTTGGACCTCTGAAATTGCTCCTTATACAGAGGGTTCAGGAGTTTGTTGCACAAATATTCTTACTGTAACAGTCCGTCGGAAAAATAATATGGATTTGTCGCAACAAAGTGTCACAGAGCCATGCGCCAGCTAGACCGGCGCACGTCAAACTGAGATAAGCTAAAACAGTCCGGTGAATGGATTGGCAGTTTGTCAAAAAAAAAGACGCGAAAAAACGTTTTGTCGGGGGAGAAATGGGGAATTTTTGGGGCGAGAGAGTACGTTTTTGCGTGTCTTTTTTCTCTATTTCTCTGCGAAATTAAGACGAAGTGTAAAAAACCGATAGCGAAGAGTCTATTCCGGTCACCGGACTCCTCAGTTTGACGTGCGGCGCTGTTGGGAAATTAACAGGCTCGAAAAAAGTATTATTTTTGCGACGGAGTGAAACAAACCGAGAATAAGTCTACACTCACAATTTGAGGGCGGATTTGCTTTTGCACTCCTTGGAAGTCGCTGATCTTTCTGTTCAGCAGCTTGCGATCTCCGTAAATGCTGGCGTGACTGTATTTGGTGCCTGCTTTTATCACCTCAAACTGATCCTGAAGCGTATGAGTATTTGTGTTGTTGGCGTCGTCATACTCCAGCCATGCCACCGAAAACTCGCAACCAAGGCAGATGTAGTTACCGGAATAGTCTTTGCAATACGTCATCGCCGCATTTTCAGTAGGAGAGGCTGCGGTAATCGCCAGAACGTTGGGATATTTTGGAATTACGTTTTCGGTAACACTGCCGGACTCGCAGGCTTCGACGTAGAAGAGAATCTCCTTATACATCTTTTTCTCTGTCATTATTCGCAAGGACTCGTCCAAGTCTGCAGAAGAAAACGTCTGCCCTTCGGGCTGCTCCCACGCGTCGGGAAACAAAAGGACATCGGGTCCGCCGTGGTCGGTGAAGTAGATGAACAACCGATCCTTCTCCGTAGACTCCAGGACCGGCCCATCACCAGTGTTGTTCCCGATCAACACATTCTTAAACGTTTCGGGTGTCACATTGCTGCTGTTGTAGTCAATCGTGCAGCCTTTGTAGACGTCATGGCTCAGACTTGGATGATTGAACAGCTTTCCCTTGAACGGGTTGCTAAAAAAATCATGTGTTAAGAAAGGCAAAATACAGTCAAGCCTCTGTACAACAAACTCCAGTGCAACAAAGCCTGTCGTTATCTTACAAATTGCAGAGCTCTAAAGAGTCGATTTGAGGCTCAGTTAGCCTCATATAACGGAACCTTCGGTGAGGATTTCCTAGGAATTTGCATAATCCAACTAATTTTGATGTGCGTGCAAATTAAGGATACTGTATTTTTCCGTCTACTATTGCCTAGCCCGGTTGTTTCCAAATGGAGCAGAAACCGTGAGTTACAGTTCGAATGTCGCCCTAACGATTTTTCAGCTAACGTAAGTAACTTTTTGCACACCTGTAGGATAGGGGCTTCCCTCATCTCGCTCTAGGCCCAGTTTCTGGCAATAGACAGGTTTCATTGGATTTGTCGTGCGACTGCATTGCAATCATGAGCGCTTACTCGTCACTATTCGCGACATCATCGCGCATGAGCAATATAATCCGGTCGTCCTTAATTCCGCGGTCCTTCAGGATGTGGTAGGCGTGACATGCATTTGCATGTTCACCGTAGTTGTTGATGCCTTTCCCACCGACCACAATGACTACCCACAGTTCTCCATCATCTTGTGAGTTGGTTTCCGGCAAGAAGAACCTTGAATGGGTGTAGGTGTAAGTGTTGACACTGCAACTTACGATGTGCACGACACAAGCAAGACAGAAACCACCGAGACTGCAAGCCAACCCATGTTTCACAGATACCTTACTGGTCAAAAAATATACGCTTCTTATAGCGCCTTCATTGGTACTTTGACATTATCTTCCATTGAACTGCGCATAGTAGCTACGTCACTGGGGTCAACGGCTTCCGGCGACCTTTGGTGGAATTGTCATTGTATACTTGATGACTGAGTGAGTCAAATGCTTAGCGGAAAAACAATTTTCAAGTGGCATTTGTACATGATAATAGCAGACCTTTATTTTTTTTTCAGCCTTTAACATTTCCGATTCTTCGAAATATCAAGCGACCTATAAGTTTAAATTACACCGACATTAGAACAGGATGTTCCCCAGCTCTATAAAATAAGGATATCGGCCTGGATCCGCTGTATTCAGCGAGAAAATGTGGTTGCCCACCATCTTCATGTCATCGTACTGCCTTCTGGGAGTGTCGTAAGTCCGTACGCCGTCGTCATCATCTCCTAGGTTCGTACTCCCAAATTCTCTCAGCCACGAGGACGGGGAAATTCACGCTGTCATTGCGGTCGGATCGGATGAAGATTACCGACATCAGGCGGACGCATGTCACGCCTACCATGTTCTGAGGGAGCATGGGGTAAAGGAGGAAAATATCATTCAGCTGAACTATGACAACATCGCCAACGACGCAAGGTAAGAAGTTGCGTGCTTCTCAGTAGCTGCTCAGTGTCTTCATTTGCGTTTTTCATAAATTGTTAACTGTGTTAAAGTTGAACCCAAATTTTTAGCGCCAGATTCCCGGGAACCTTGTATAATCATCCCAACCTCACGCGCAACTATTATGAAGGCTGTAAAATTGATTATCGCGCGGAGCAGGTAACAGTTGACAACTTTTTGAACGCCCTATCCGGAAAACCCAGCAGCTCGGGGCCGGTCTTGAACACCACCGCCAACGATCGAGTCTTCGTCTACTTCGTTGATCATGGAGGCCCTGGGTACGTCAATTTTCCGCGCGAAGAGCTGTCGGCGCACCAGCTCAACAAAACGATTGCCGAGATGACTGAGAACAAGAAGTACAAGGAGCTGGTTTTCTACGTGGAAGCCTGCTTCTCGGGCAGCGTGTTCGAAAACACAGCGCCCTATTACAAAGACCTGTATGTCATTACGGCCGCCAACGACCACGAACCGTCCAGCGCAACCTACTGGTCCGAAGAGGTGATGGAGTATTTGGGAGATGAATTCTCCGTGGCGTGGATGGAGTTCTCCGACGCCAACGACCTTCACATGACAACGCTGCAAGATGAGTATGAAAATGTGAAGCGAAGGACGACGACAAGTCACGCGCAACAGTTTGGGAGTAAAAAGATTGCGGAGGAGACGATTGACGAGTTTCAGGGCGGCGAAGGCGGCAACCTTCTGGATCGAGAGCCGGTATGTGTTTCGTCAGTCTGTCGGGAAAATAATGAGCACAATGTCGCATCGAAAATCGCATCGCCGCCGAGAAAATGAATTGTGCTACTGGAAAACAAATCCCAGTAGCACAAATCGACCCGAGCGACGCAGCAACATTGTTCTCATTATTTTTCGTTATCAAACGGGTTCGTTGTACAGAGGTTGAGTTCGGCTTAAGGTACTATCAGCCCGTCGGGCGCCGCGTCAAAATCGAATTTCTTTTTACTTGACGAGATCGGCTTAGCAACAATATGCTCATTATCGTCTCGATGACCTGATATATCATAGTAAAAAATCAAAATTTCTAGATCGAATTTGTTGCGGAACAAGGCACCACCGACCCTGCGCTTTCCCGAATGCAGCGACTGCTGGAGACTCATACATCCAATGGCAATGATCAAGAAGCAGCCAAGCTTCACAAGGAAATTGACAGTCTTTTGACCAATAGAAAGATTGCCGAGGTTGACATCAACGGTTTCATTAAGAAAGTCGTGACTACTAAAGAGCTCCGAGAGCTCACTTCCGAGCACAAGCCGATCAAAGACTATCAATGCCATCATGACGTGATTACTTACTTTAGCGAGCACTGCTACAAACTGTCAGACGTATGTAGCATTCTTTCAACGTGTAAATGCCACTGTTTTAGAACCCTTACATTGCCAAGTTCATGCACAAGATAATCAGCCTATGTTATGCGATGACTTCTGATGAGATCGTGGGGCTTTTGAAAAGCCATTGGCAGGAAAGGCGAAACGTTAAAGTTCTATAAACAGCCAAAGTTGAGATTTCTACAAATTGTCTAATAAACTGCATCCAAAAAACGTTGGCGAATTTATTTTGATAAAAAAAGGGATAACTGACTAGCAAGATGAATCATAAAGTACGGTATATGTGATTGTTTCAAAAGCATTTAATTTGTCGGGAAATTCAAAAAATATATCCATTATAATTGTGGCGCCAAAAGGGACTACCAAAAGGGACTTTATGTTATGGTATTTGCTTCGAAAATTTTATACAATCTTCCTGTATAAAAAGAACACCGATTGAGAAAAATTTCAAGTTTTTGCAAATGTTCCGAGCTGTGTTGTTGGTTAGTTTGGCGCGCTTGGTTTTGTCATCGTAAGTCCAAAAAAATTTGTCATCTATTCGGCCAATTGCAGACCGCTGGAGAAGACTCTGCCAAAGAACGATGAAGAAGGCGATATCCATGCTGTAATTGTCGTTGGCTCCGAAGGATTTGACAATTATCGGCATCAAGCGAACGGATGTCATGCCTACCATGTTTTGAGGGAGCACGGCGTCAAAGAGGAAAATATCATCACGATGATGTATGATAACATCGTCAACGATACACTGTAGGATCTGACATTGAAGTGTTTACTTGTTGCGCGACCTAGCGAGTCATGTCCTACGAGACTTAGGCCGGCCCAGGCGGCCAGTATAAAATAATTAAGCGACTGGCGCATGCAGCGGCGGACCTGATCCAGTGTCCAAAAACGTCTCCATTTTGCATCCGGGAAGCATCAAAAACGCAGCAAAATACCTCCCTGTCCAAGTGAAATTACTCCAAATACGCCCGCCATTTTTGTGAGAGAAAGGAGTTTTTTAGTTACAAAGGGAGGTGTTTTGCTGCATTTTTATAAAACAGGAAAAGATGAGCCTACTTCTACCGTACAGAATAATGTTTTCACAAAAAATGAATTTTTCCGCACGAAAAAGGCAAAGATATGGCAAAAAAAGTGTTTTTTCTCTTCCCGCTCTTTGCGACTTGCGTACTCTCTCGGCCGAAAAAATCATTGAATATATTCCGTTACGACCTTGGCCTAATTTTTTGGACAACCGCAACAACATGATTTTCAGGAACCCACACCGCGGAAAACTGTTCCACGACCCCAGCTTCAAAAGAGACGTCTACGACGGTTGCCAAATTGATTACAAAGGGAAGAATGTAACAGTTGAGAACTTTATTCACGTCCTCACCGGGAACAAGACCAACGAAGTTCAGAGGGTGCTGAACAGTACCGAAAACGACCGCGTTTTCGTGTATTACACTGATCATGGCGGGAAAAGACTACTTCAATTTCCCGATAATTTACTGACAGACAAGCAGCTTCTCGACGTGTTGAAGACCATGCAGACCAAGCGAATGTTCAAGGAAATGCTCCTTTTTGTGGACGCTTGCTTCTCCGGCAGCATGGTGGAGGAGACCTTGAACGGCTTTGACAACATTCTGGCCCTCACCTCGGCCAACAACAACGAGAGCTCCTACGAAACGTACTGCTACAATATCTCGGGTTCGTTGATGGAGTGGTGCTTGGCCTCGCAGTTCGGCGCGGCGTGGATGGAGTACGCGGAAGCGAATGATTTGAACGAAAAAACCATCAAAGAGCAGTACGACTATGTTAGAGTGCGCACGAACGAAAGTCATGCCGGGATGTACGGAAATAAAGAGATGGGAAAGAAGAGGATCAGCGAGTTCTTGGGAACAAAGCTTCCGAAAGTCAACAGAACCCTCGACTTGACGGTGAGCTTTGTTTGTCAGCAATGGAAAGATGGTTTTATTATTTTAGAAGGCTCGTCCATACACTACAACATCAGAATGCCCTGCTCATGGAAAGAGGTGCCAGAACTGCAAGGGAGAATGAGATTAGTGATCAAAAACTAGCCATAAAAACATACATATGTGCCCAGCAGATATAACCGCCAAGCATTCCAAAATTTCTCTTCATCAGCCACTGAGAATTCAGAGCCGAAACATGAGCTAACCTCAAACTTGGGTTAATAAACCGAAGAAATTCCCCTCCGTTGAAGCCTTATCTATTTCCCTCCTTGCTCTTCGAATAGGAAACCAACCTCTTTGGGAGGTGATTCGCTTCTCTAGCGGCCTACGCTTTCTCACATTGAGAACGCAGTGTCTCGCCGCGCTCTCTGTTTCTTCGACTCTCGCTATCCGAATGCGATGTTTCGTTTCTGTGTAGCAGCCAGAGGCTATTGATGGCGGAAATACGTGCTAAACGAAGAAGTCGGTTTATAATCTACCATACACTGATCTTGTTCTTATTTGTATGTGTTCGGCAGATGTAATCGCCAAGCGTTCCATCATTTTGCTTTATCAGCCACTGAGAATTCAGAGCCGAAACATGAGCTAACCTCAAACTTGGGTTAATAAACCGAAGAAATTCCCCTCCGTTGAAGCCTTATCTATTTCCCTCCTTGCTCTTCGAATAGGAAACCAACCTCTTTGGGAGGTGATTCGCTTCTCTAGCGGCCTACGCTTTCTCACATTGAGAACGCAGTGTCTCGCCGCGCTCTCTGTTTCTTCGACTCTCGCTATCCGAATGCGATGTTTCGTTTCTGTGTAGCAGCCAGAGGCTATTGATGGCGGAAATACGTGCTAAACGAAGAAGTCGGTTTATAATCTACCATACACTGATCTTGTTCTTATTTGTATGTGTTCGGCAGATGTAATCGCCAAGCGTTCCATCATTTTGCTTTATCAGCCACTGAGAATTCAGAGCCGAGACATGAGCTATCCTCAAACTTGGGTTAATAAACCGAAGAAATCCCTTTCTCAGCAAGGCTAAGTTATCAGACGTCAAACTTTGATATGAGAAACCGCAATAATACAGGGTTAATTGTCAGCTATAATGCTCTTTGAAGTGTCTGAATGATTTCTGTCTATTCATCTCCCTTCCTCTCTATAAGCTTTAGACGTGATCTCTGCTTACCTCTCCGCGAAATAACGCAATGCGAGAGAGAGCGCTTGAGATAGAGAATGTCGAAAAAAGAGCGAAATGATATGGAGACGTCAGAGAGACGAATTAACTCCAAAAAACGGCTGTTCCCCGTTTGAAAAACGAGCTGTTTCCTAGTGAAGTTTAACGCGAAAGGAATAGTCTTCGGTTTATTAACCCAAGTTTGAGGTTAGCTCATGTTTCGGCTCTGAATTCTCAGTGGCTGATAAAGAGAAATTTTAGAACGCTTGGCAGTTGCATCTGCTGAGCACATAAATTCTTCTAAAATGGGGGCCGTTGGGCCTAGAACCTCCAATTCGGCATAGAAACATTATGGGACAATCTAACATCACACCCAAAAAATCATAGCAGTTGATGCACTTTCGGTGCACTTTTTATGCAAACGGCAAAAACGTGATGACAAAATTTTCTTTCCATCGCTTGTAAATCATAAGCCAGAGGGCGCTAAGGCATGATTTTTGTGTCGTTATGATCGCGAAGAAGTCCTCTTTCGATCCGTGTCACAATATATTTTAGTAAGCCCTATCTGTTGTGAAGCCTCATTTATTAACGGAGGATTTCTTGAGCTGGACCGCTACTTCCCAAGCGCTAGTAAGTTTAGATAGGAGAGTTGAAAGGCGTCTTCGGTACGGAATTTCTTATAAAAAGAGACTGTCAACAGCGCAAAGCCATGGTTTTAGTGAACGAATTTTTCAGGTAGTAGTCTTTCAATCAGAACCAAATCCAACGCAACGCCTTGTTTGGCGAGATAAGCCTTCTTTTCGGTGGCTGGCAGAGAAATATAGAGCGACGAATGATTATCCGTTTTATTAGAGAAAAACAGGAGAGCGCTAGAGAAATCAATTGTCTCCCAAAAGACGGCTTTCCCCATTAGAAAAAAGGGGAGGGAAACAATGAAAGCTTCAACGAAAGGGGATATCTTCGGTTTATTAACCCAAGTTTGAGGTTAGCTTATGTTTCGGCTCTGAATTCTCAGTGGCTGACAAAGAGGAATTTTGGAACGCTTGGCGATTACATCTGCCGAGCACATTGGCACGCCAACTTGTTTTCGTCAAAAAAGTGGTTCGCGAGGTTTTCCGAGTTGCGCCCGAGGTAATTGGAATTGCGCACGGATAGTTATACGAATATGGGTTTTACCGTTTATTATGGAATATTTAACATAAATACACATACATACACTTTTAAATATATAAAGTTATGCCATACAACTCGGTCTGGAACAATTCGGTCAGTTTTTGGACGTCTTCTGAGCAGAATCTTGCTTTAGTCGGCTAGTGCAAAGTAGGGGGCGATAAGAAAGTCCTCTTAGCTACAACTAGTCAAAAAGCTTTGGAACGAATCATAGATTCTATTTTCTATCAACAGTTTAAACAAGGAGCTAGAAAATTAAGTTAAGACAGGAAATTATACTATTTTAGGTATCAAGTGTAATATAACGGCAAAACCAAGACAATTTTGAGGTAAATCATAAAGCTCTTGCTGTTATATATAACTAGAACGACCGATTAATCCAATAGAGTCAAGCCCCTAATCATAAATCCACTTTTACTTGCTTCCGCATGATTATTACCTAAAATAGGAAAAACGTAAAACAACTTAACTCTTCTATCCGAAATTGAAGTCGTAGTAAACACCTTACGTCTTTCCAACGTTCTGCGACGTTTTGCACGACCTTTCGGTGCCTTACTGCTTCTTTATCCTTGATTCTTCTGAAAAAAACCAAGTGTAACATCACGTAACTGACAGAATTTTTTTAATTTGATAGTAACTTTTCCCGATTTTTTTCCCAAAACATGCTCATATGTCTACTGAAGAATCCTACGCAGAAATGTCCAGCTCCATCATTATTTACAGAAGATAACATACTTTTACTGGGACCTCCTCGTTATCATTTGATGTCGTGCGTGAACATTCAGGCTCCATATTGCCTAAAATTTACCCTAAATCAAACAGTAATGCTTAAAAATAATTTTAGAAGCTAAAACATCATGAAAAACAACATGGCGCACTAAAGAATACAAAATTTTTCACTTGCACTATCTATAACAATACAATGTTTGAGAAGAATAAGCTGAACCAAATGTTAGGTCATAAAAATGCTGAAACGAAAAAAATCTACATTGAATTCCCTACAACTTCATAGGAAGAAATTAAAACATATACTTAGAAAATGAAAAGATACGACCCCATCAAACTCACCATGTACAAACCATACAAAACTTAAAATCGTCAGAACTGACTCCAAAATTGTCTCCAAGCTCCTGACAGGATATGATTACGATCTCTATCGAAATCAGCTCCTTTTATGCAACCTTTGTGTTGAATCGGTACTTTACTTTTTACATACGGTATGTTTTTTTACTCGGGGAAACAGTTGACCAGACGGGCTAGAGCAACACTTGGCCCGACCCTTTTTTTTGACTTTTTTTGTGTGTAAACAAATTGGCGTGCATTGGAAATAAGAACAGGATCAGTGTGTGGCAGATTCTACACCGGTTTCTTCGTTTAGCATGTATATTTCAATATTTTCAAGTGACTACAGACGTTACGCAGAAACGAGATATCGCATTCGGAGAGAGAGGGGCGCAGATGAAGAGAGCGCGGCAAGAGATTGCGTTCTCAATGCGAGAAATCGCAGAGCGCTAGAGAAGCGAATCACCTCCCAAAAAGGGGTGGTATCCCATTCGAAAAGCAAAGAGGGAAATAGATAAAGCTTGAAGGAAGGAGAATTTCTTCGGTTTATTAACCCAAGTTTGAGGTTAGCTCATGTTTCGGCTCTGAATTCTCAGTGGCTGATAAAGAGAAATTTTGGAAAGCTTGGCGATTATGTCTGCCGAGCACATATATATATAAGAAAATATCAGTTTTTTGTCATAAACGGGTTTATTCGACAAGAAGTTTGAAAAGGTTCTTTACCATGAACATTTACGCATAAATTACAGTCGAATTTCTCAATTCAAATACGGCCTCTACTATCATTTTCTTCTCATCGTTCGACACGAACACATACTTTTTGTCGATGGGAAATTCGCTTCTCACTGGATTGAATTCATCTAAATTTTTGATTACCAAATCATAGACACTTTGAGCTCACCTCCACAATGATGGAGTACATAAAGAATGGGATCGAATTTGGTCCAGCCTTTCTCATATCCCTCGATTTCGAAGGCGCCATCCATGACGTTGGCAGTTTTTGTGAAGTTTAGGAGATCGTCCCAGAAAACTAAAAAAAAGTGCTCATTATTTTTCCGACAGACTGGCATTGACTCAAAACTGTCGTCGATCTCGAAAACCCGGGGTTTATCCAGACTTTTGGCAAGCTTCATTAAAATCTGAACTTTGCAAATCGAGCGCTTTTATATATACATATAAAAGCATATGTTATGTAAATATATTTCCACATAACTGAAAAGAAACCCACAGTCCTCATCGGCCAGGACGATGCTTCCACTAGCGGGTTCTCCATCACACACCAACTTTCCCTTTATCTTGACGGTAAATTCTTTTCTATGCGGAATTCCGTCGGCTTTGACCGTAGTTAACAGTATCGCAGAGGAGAGGAAATATTTTAGCATAGCTTACACCTTCACGAAAATAGTTAATCGAAAGCGAGTCTTGGGAACACACCAGATTCAGGTGTGATTCAGGCTCTCAAGAATGATTAATTTTTCAATTTTTATATTGCTTGCGGTATCTTAAGACTGTTTTAAAGACCTTTATATCGGTCTGTCGGGAAAATAATGTGAACAATGTCGCGGTAGTCTTTTTGTACGGTATGTCCGACAAGCCTAGCTCGCGGTTTGGAGAAACGGTCGATTTTTTTAGCTTGAAAGAAAACGTCGCACCTTTTTGCGGATTTTGGATCGAAATTTTCCGTAATAGATAACGTTGTAAAACGTGTATATGTCCTCCTCGTCTCCGCCGGGCCTTCGCCGAGTGTCCGCCGACCATCCTACGGCTTTCCCAGCCCTCGTAGGCATTTTCTACAACTGGTTTTTGAGTATCCACCGGACTTACGCCCATTGAGGCCCTCAATTCCACGGAAGCGTTAGCTAAATAAACTTTATTAACATTTCTGATTAGTCTACAATAAGAAAATGTAAAATTATGCTTGTTAAAAAACAATTTGAATACTCTAAACGCGTTTTCTCATCTGGCCATGTGCAAAGTTTGGAATCATTTTGAATAAAAGTTTGAGTGAAAAATAAAAAAAAAGTACAATTTAAACTTCAAAAAAAACATTGTATTAGAATACGGCGGCTTGTCGAACTTGGGTCCCCGACTCTATGAGAACACTATTCCTCTCGTAATCCGCCGGTGGTGTGATCGGACGGGTCCTGCGATTCGCCTGCGGCGTGAACTCCTTATTGCGGCGTTGGCCAATCGGCGTGGCCGAGTCGGTGCTCTGTTGAACTCCGTGCACTCGTGAGGGCGCTGGAGACTTGTCAACGCCTGTTCGACGAGTCAGCGTCTCACTCTTCGGCGCCGGCTTCTTGTATGCGCCCGCCTCATACGCCTCCCAGAACTGGGAATCGTCCACGCTTGTGTCCGAGTCGCTCTCCTTCTTTTGCCGGCTCTTGTAGGTGTCGTAATAGCCCTCGTAATACTGCTGGCTGGGCGACGCCGCCCTTCCACGATACACGTTCTGACCGGGTACCGCTCCATTCGGAGGGCCGTAGATCGGTTCTTCGAAGTGACGCCGCGGATACGTGTCGTAGATTGCCTCCGTGATAATAGGGCCATCGCCCGCGACCGGCGACCGCGGCCGCTGCCCGTAGAAGTGCGGCGGCGGCGGTGGGAAGAAGCCGGGGAACATGGGCGGCGGCGGCGGCGCGAACCCGAACCTCAAGTGCGGCGGAGGCATGCTGGTGGGGCGATGCGGCGGAGGCATCATGAAGTGCGGAGGCGGCGGAGGGAAGGGGAACATGTGCGGCGGGAGATGATGCGGTTTCATGAAGTGCGGCGGAGGGAATGGCGGCGGATAGGCGGCCATTCGCGGGCCTCGGCGTGCGGACGACGGTGTTGGATGGGCGGGTGGAGGAGGTTGGCCACCTGGCGGCGGTGGGACAAACGTTGCGCCGGGAGGACCGCCGGAAAAGGTGTAGTAGGTCTCTTCTTGTTGGACGCCATTGACGCGCACATCGGTTTGGGAGCCGGCGCGGCGTTGCTGGGTGGTGAATGGGACCACTGCGGTTTCTGAAGGAGATTTCTTGGATTACTATCCATTATTGCGTAGAAAAAATGAGAATTTGTCCTAAAAAGGCCCCCGCTTACCATGTTCGTACACCTCGCTTTGAGTGTCCAACTTTTTGCTCTTCTTCGGCGTTCGCTTCACATACAACGACGACACCATGCTGCTGGTGTCGTATTCTCCGCCCTTCTGCTGTCTCCACTGCCATGTTTTCCGGTCAATTGCGCGATCTTGCCATTCTTGATCGTCCTTTGGCTGCTCATCCCCTAAGGGCTCCATTTCGCTGGCCTGCTGCTCACTCTCCAACGGAGACTCACTGCGGCTTCGGTCCTTGGCGCGACGATCATTCAACCGCATGTAAGTGGTGTCAGCGTACGAATGGAAGCAGCTGCGGACCAGAGCGTTCGCCGCTCGCTCACTGGTGCAGATAAAGCCGTGACATTCAAGAACCTATATACATATGTATATGTAAATATAAGGAATTTGTGTAATAATTGAGAGGATTGAAACCTACCTTGACACCAGTCTGTCGACGGAAAATGGCAGCGAAAATCGGCGGATGCGATGGATTATTGGGATTGGCGTGGGGTTGGGCCATTGGCGCGTCCAATGGCAGAAAACGACCTTCGGCTCCGAGCGTGAAGGCATTCACCTGTAAATGATGACATAAGAAAGTACAAAACGGTCGAAGAAAAGAGGATAAATCTATAAAAAGCACTCAAAATGTATGTGAAACGGACAAGGGAAGTACTCCAAGTGCGATGGTCAGATTTTCATGAAATTTGAGACAAATTTAGAATATTTCCTTCCATGATACATGTGAGAATCCTAGAGCGCATTTTATTGAAACGACCGAGATTTTAAGCTCGAAAGACGGCAAAAATATGACACTTTTTTTGCGAATTTTGACATGAAAAGTTGCCTGCCTTTTCTAACGTAGAGGGTAATGTTTTCACAAAAGACAATTTTTTTATTCCGCGCAAAACTACCAAGCATATGGACAAAAAGTGTGTTTCTCTCTAACCGCTCTCTTCATTTCGCGCACTCTCTCGGCTGCAATTATCGTTGAATATCTCGACTGCGACTGGAAAGGGCGAGTTAAAATTTTCAGGAACTTGTGTGTCGACTGTGCCCAAAGTGTGCGCAAAATTTAAAGAAAAGAAAATTCTGAGCGTCGCACTTGGGGGTACTTTTCTTGTTAGTATCTGATTGAGAAAAATAAATTTTTTGAAACATCAGTTTGTCGGGAAAATAATGAGCACTCTGTCGCATTGAAAATCGCATCGCCGCCGAGAAAATGAATTGTGTCGCGGCAAAATCAAATTTCTTTTCCCTTCAGCAAGGCGAACGGCGAAGCGCCATTCTGCTCATTATTTTCCCGACAGACTGAAAATACCTCATTGAAAATTGAAATTTTCTTGTACTAGTCAACTAACCTGAACATATCTGACTGCAGCGCAATAATGAAGGCTCTGAATGGGATGAAACGCATGTTCAACCGTCTTGCTGCCATCAATGTACTCCAAGAGAATTCCATTGGACCAAACCGAGAGCCACGCGTCGATTCCTTTGAGTTCGGCGCCATTCTCGCCAATGTACTTCTCTTTCAGAGGCTGCTGAATCCCCTGAAGCCCATCCTTGGTGATTGTTGGGACCGCGCTTCCAATGTAGAGCACTCTACAACGACACAATGGCACCGACATGGGAGTGTCGTTCGGTTTATTTTGGATGGATCGGCTGAAAGGGAAGGACGGCTAATGTAATGAGAAAGAAAATCGAAAAATTTGAGGAAACGCGATGGGTAAGGGATACTATATTATATAATATATGTATAGAGATTGTAAAATACGGTATGTTCAGATGTGTAATAGGACTTCCGATTCTACTATATACAGTGAGGGCCCTGATCCATTGGCAAAAAACGTATAATGTTGCATCCGGGAAGTATCAAAAATGTGGCAAAATGCCTCCCTCTCCAACTAAAAACTAAAAAAATACTCCGTTTTGAACAGCTCACACTGAAATAAAAACTCCGCTTGAAATAAGCGCCTTTTCCCTCTTTTTGATTTTTTGTCATAAATACTCGGTTTAGAGGTTTTCAATGGTGCTACTTTCAAATCAGAAAAAATGAACATGATTTTCGAAATCAGCACCTTCGAAACCCCTTAAATGGAGTATTTATCAAAAAAATTCAAAAATTACTACTTTACAGTACTATTTATGGAAGGCAAAGCTAAAAAAGAATGTTATTTTCGAAATAAGCACCCTCGATTATCCTAATTTCACACTTGCATCGGAGAAAAATAATACTTTTCGGTTTCCCCAATTGTCCCAGTTCCGCTGTACCGACTGTCGGGAAAATAATGGGCACCTTGTTGCATCGAAAATCGCATCGTCGAAATGAATCGTGTCGCGACAAAATCGACCTGTTTTTCACTTAAGTTAAACGATCAGCGACACTGTGCTCATTATTTTCCCGACAGACTGATAACTGGGCCATTACTTTTGTCAAATTTTTAATTTTACCGAAACCAAATTCCACTCCAAAAGCCCTCTTTTTTTACAGCAACAGCCCTTTTTTTGGCGACCGCCACCGAAAAAATAACCGTCAGCGGATCTTCGCTCTATCAACCATCTAATCTGAATAATATTCCCCCATTTTTTTACAACTCCCCGCATCAGATAAAGCCGCGAGGGTCAGGCGGATTGGGAGCCTATTTTTCTGGGTGCGCGTAAATAAAAATCAAGGTAATTTGCAGAGGGGGGAAAGCGGAGCGTGGACGGGACGGGCGATGGAACGGAAGAGCGTGTGCGAAAAATTGGCTAGCATAGAGCGGACGGAAGGAAGGGAGATGATGAACGAAGAAGAGCGTTGTAAACATTCGCTGGTGAACGGCGGGAAATCGATTAACAAAAAATAGTTGGACGTGCGAATTGTTAAAGACTTGGAAGGTGGTCATCGTTGGAAGTGGGGATCACAAAATGTATTCAGTATAAAAATTACGAGTCTAATGACAAGAAGTGTCTAACGATTTTATGGGATAAATACTTAGTATTTTGATGCCGAGCAATATCTGTCTGTTGGGAAAATAAAGTTCATTCGGGCCTTAGAATTCATCATTTTTGCTAGCTGGAGATTTGGTGCGCGACTGCGACCAGACATTTTGCTGCGAGAACTCCATTAGTTTCCCGACAGACTGAGAGACCAACGAAAATACCATAAAACCAGATTTAGCCAAGGGACGGTCTCAAGTGCGACGCTCAAATTTTATTTGAATCTTGCATAGGTCACATATCAATGCCTGAAAATTTTAGCTCCCGCTTTGCAGGCGAAGTTGAGATATTCAGCGAACTTTGTGGGAGTACACGAAACGCGGAGAGGGGCTAGAGAGAAAAACATTGTTTCTTTATATCTTTGCCAGCCTGGTGCGGAAAAAATCGATTTTTTTTTTGTGGAAAAATTTCCCTCTACCGTGGAAATAAACATAAAGCTTTCCTCGACAAAATTATGAAAAAGGTGTCACTCTTTTGGCATATTTTTGGCCTAAAAATCCCGGTTGTTACCACAAAGCGCGAACTAAAACTTTCAGGAATTGATATTTAGTCCATACCCGACGTGTGTGCAAAATTTAAAGAAAATCTGAGCGTCGCACTTGGAGTGCTTCCCCTGTAAGTTTGTTTTCATCAAAATCTATGAATTGCACTTTGAACAGTTCCCTATAAGAATGTTTTTGATGACTCAAAAACACGTGAAACGAGATCGTCCTTCAGCTCACACTCTTGTTGAAATTACCTCAATCAAACTTTAAAAACAGGTAAAAAAGAATTTCGAACAAAGTTTAAAAATTTATAACATTAAGGAAAGTTGCTTTACGGCTGAAGTCGCACCGTTAGAGACCATTTTCGGCCAAGTGAGTAGGCGAAAAGAGGAGAGCGGTCAGAGAAAAAAGACTTCTGGCCATATCTTTGCCAGTGTCCAAAAAATTATTTTTTTATGGAAAAGTTGCAACAATACTGCAGAAATAGGCGTGAAACCTTCATTGACAAAATTCGCAAAAAGAAATGCTAAAATTTGGCCCACTTTCGACCTAAAAATCTCGGTCATTTTTGCAAAGCGCGAGCTAGAGATCACGCTTATCACTTAAAAAATCATTCTAAATTTGTGCCAAGTTTCATCAAAATCTGAGCGTCACACTTAGAGTACTTGCCTGTAACAGCTTGGAAGACTTGGTTTTGGAAGACAAAATGTCAAAATTTCGTTCTCCCACGCTTCGAAAACAAAGGAGAAATAACTTTAAAACATGTAGTTTACTATCTATTTGACTATTTTAAGGTTATGCCAATTCCTTTTTACGACAATACACGGCAAAAATTTCGTAACATTTCGTCTTCCAAGCCGTAAAAACGAGATCCAAATTTAGCTGTTTTGGTTGTTCAAGCAAACCTTTCCCTACAAAATCGCAATTAATCCAGCAAAAGGCCCGTAAATCGCTCAAAACTCCACCGAAAGATGCAATAGTGTTTGAGCGGACCGAAAAAAGTCATAAAATGTCACAGAGATGACGCACCCTCCCCCCCCCCCCCAATCCTTTTACCATCCACTCAATTGAAAAGGGAAACATGAAAACATAACGTGTCAACACCCCTTCCTCAAGGCGCTGATCAGTGTGCGAGTGTGCGGGGGGAATCAGCGCAGAAAGAAAAGCGAAACAACAAGACGCAAGTCGAGAAGACGACGATGACCTTGGAGCCACAAATAAATTTTTTCAGCCGAGAGTTTCGCGAAGAAGTCAACGCCACCACCTCCCCCAATTGCTGCGGTTTCTCCTTCTCGTTTTTTTTTTTGATTGTAGGGAGAATAATTTTATTATGCAATGAATGCGTAATTCGAGGGGCGATCGGAGACGATGGCGGCGATGGATTTGGTCATCGGCAAATTTGATACGCAAGAGACGCGGGAAACGGGTTGAAAGGGGGCGCAAAATTAGTATAACAAGGTGGAGTAGGGGGAAATTTGTAATGAAAAAGTTTGAAAAATTAAATTTGAAATTTTGGAGAAAAGGAAATTGAAGTTTTTTTTGAGATCTCAGTTTGTCGGGAAAATAATGAGCACTCTGTCGCATCGAAAATCGCATTGCCGCCGGGTAAAATGAATTGTCTTCGCGACAAAATCAAATTTCTTTTCACTTCAGCGACGCGATTGGTACAGCGACATTATGCTCACTATTTTCCCTACAGACTGATATTCATTTCTTAATAGCCTAGATACAATGGAAAATGAGGAGAGAAGGCAGAGAAAAACGCGTTGTTTGGCAAAAATTTTTTGGGACCTTCAAGCTTCGAAGATTTTCAAGTCAAAGTCATAAGTCTCAGTTTTCGATCTGAGAATCCTATTGCATCGTTGACGAACACTAGACAGCCTACAAGACTTATTATTAGAAAATTCGTCTCATCAAAATTCCGGCCTATAAAGCGTTGATATGAAATTCGCTATGTGATGGCCCAGAGGTGGATTTTACTCCTGGGAGGGTTTATTCCTAGGCAGATCATACATATACACTTTGTAACCCTCCTTGGTCATCAAAACGGCCGGCCAAAGCGTTTCATTGGCCCAAAAATTTAAACGGATCTGGATGATTTGATTACTAGCCCTTCCGGAAGGTCACCGAACTGATTTTTGGCGTTTGCACGGTTCGAAAAAAGTCAGGGTGCTAGCGACCGCCCAAAAAAGCTTAACGCACGGTAAAAAAGCAACAAATTGAACAGTGCAAAGTAATCTTCTGTTTTCTCACATTTAGCGTGGCCGAAATCACAGACTTTGCAAACGGACTAGTGCCAATTAGACATGGCTCCCAAGCCCGGCCGGCCGCAAATTTGAAACCGGCTGGGCCAACGGAAAATTTGAAATAGGCCGGGCCGGCCGACAGGCCATGTCTAGTACCAATGCAGCCATTTAGCTAGTCGTTTGTAAGCTCCAGGTATTTTTAGCGCTTTAGCTAGCTATTTGGTAGATAACGGGCTGTATATCACCTAGAAATCAACTTTTCTAAAAGTGAAATATAAAAACAACATGATGACACCATCTCCTTGACATCTTTTCAAAAAAAGATGACAAAAAGTGAAGTTCGCAAACCCCTTCAACTAGCCCTTATTCATCATTCCACTCTCGTAAACACCTCGGCGGACATGATTACCCCGTGAAGACATCACCAACATCTCTCACAAAATTTATTTGCAAAATAAAAAGTTCGTTGTTTCCCGCCCCATAAACCGCCGGTGTGCGTGAGCAGAAAAAAAGTCATAAAAATAGCGAACGGACTCGCCTTGCCGTTCATTGTAACGGAAGTGGAATGGGGGAAAAAAAGAGTGTTTGTGGAATGAAAAATAACATTATAGTAGAGCGGGTTTAAGGCGTAGGTTGGTGATAGATCAGGGAAAGAGCGATCCGGATTCAGGCGAAGGGGAAATTTAGTCAGCCCGATTTGTTTCGGGTTGAGTAACCGTTGCCCGCGTTCTTGGGTCCAATTGAAATTTGCAGACGAAAGGGGGCGAAGGGTAAAGAGCAAAATTGGCGAGAATTTGGGAAAGATCAACGTGTCAGTCCGTCGGAAAAATAGTGAAAACAATGCCGCTGCGCCGATGCGTCGCTCAAGTGAAAAGTAATTTGATTTTCCACAATTCATTTTCTCAGCGGCCATGAAACTTTCGGCGCGACAGGGAGCTCGTTATTTTGAACGAATTGCAAGGGCGAAACAAATATCAGTCTGTCGGGAAAATAACGGCGGATCGTCGGGCCTTGGAATCGCCCATCATCGCTCTGCGACTGAAAGCCACGGCTGGGGATTTGGTGCGCGACAGCGGCAAGACGAGACATCTTGCTGCGACGATCCGCCGTTATTTTCCCGACAGACTGATATTTATTGCAGAAGGATTCCGTTTTACAGAGGCTCATTGTAACCTCAAATTGAGGCCTGGGACATTTGTAATTGTTCGTCATAGACAGGGGTTGTTGTACTGGAGTTTGCCGTACCGAGATTCCACTGTATTTGAAAATGACTACCGGTCCGTCGAGAAAATAATGCGAACAATGTCGCTGCGTATTTCACGTCGCTGCAGTGAAAAGCAGTTTGATTTTGCCGCGAAGACAATTCATTTTTTCGGCGGCGGTGCGATTTTCACTGGGACAGAATGCTGATTATTTTCCCGGCGTATTAATACAGTGGAAAACGTGGTATATATTATATACAATCCGGCACACAAAGAGCCCTAGGAATTTGCCCTGTGCGGTTTTCGCGCTTCGCTGCAAAAATCGTGAAAAAAGTGCTGTGCACATTTCAACCCTGTCGCGGCCAGCGACGCTGATGACGTAAGTCGGAGGCGGAGTTACCGCGCATGTCTAAACCCAAGTCCTAGCGCCTCGATCGAAGATCGAGGAGAGAGGGAAAAGCGATGAAGATGGCCGGTTGTGTTTGGAATAATAAGTGTAATTGTTAACCGGTATGGATATTTGAGTATTGTCTAGTAAACGGATACGCCGCTCGGGTACGTGGAAGGCGGTGAGATACCTGGCCCCGAAGGCTAGGTCAATCCATCGGTCAGCCCCGATCCCCTAAGGGAGGGGTCTGTTACAACCCAAAAACAGTATTTTGCAAAAATTCGTGGCCGCGGTAACCGTTACGCAGTGCAAACGGCATTTTTGAGGTTTGCATAGTGCAAAAAGAAAAATTCACTGTGCGTTAGCGAGAAGGAAGGGAAAAAGTGCAGAATGCACCGTGCAAAAGCAAAAAATGTCCATGCACTTTATGAAAATAGTATCAGACTGTTGGGAAAATAATGAACACAATCGCGTCGCTGAAGTGAAAAGCAATTTGATTTTGTCGCGACACAATTCACTTTCATGGCGATTTTCGCTGCGACAGAGCACCCACTGTTTTCCCGACAGACTGATAATACCTTTTTATACCTCTGCGCAACAAACCTCCGTCTATAACAAACAATTTCAGAGGTCTCAAAATGTCATTTTTAGGTCAAAATGAACCTCTTTTTTAACGGGATCCTTCAATAATAATCCCCAAGACTTCGAACCAAACTAAAATCGATAAATCAAATATCCTCGAAGGTAACTTATACCCCATCGGCACAACCGCCACCTTCCAATTTCGGCGAACGGATCGCCCGATTATGAAAAGTCATTAATCAAGGAAAATAAAATCCGAAAATCGAACGGATCCGTGGAAATAAAAGTGCGCAGCAAAAGTAATGAGAGTGTTCCTTTGTTCCACTTGTCATTGCAACATTATAAGACAAAATTATGACATCATAAAGAGAGAGGAGGGAAATAAAATCGGAATTAGCAGCCTATTATTGCGAATATAATGGGTATGATACATGTATTGAGTGTAGAAAACGGAAGAGCAGGTTCAGTTTTTTGGCTAGCTGTAAATGACAGTCGTTGAAACTGGAGGGTCAATAGACCGCCCGGAAAGTCGTTGGAATGTTTTTTTGGAGTTTCCACAGTGCAAAAAAGTCAGAGTGCGAGCGACAGCCCAACAAAACCTATTGCACAGTGCAAAAAGCAATAAATTGCACAGTGCAAAGTAAACTATTTTTTATTTTTTTTTTTGTTTTGTTTTCTCATAGTGCAAATATTACCACAAGAACTTCGGACCATTATCACTATGTCGGGAAAATAGTGAGCACAATGTCGTATCGAAAATGGCCCTTCGCGGAGAAAATGGATATTTTCGGGGGAAAAGCGACATTGGACTCATTATTTTCCCGACAGACTGATATCTTCTTGAATATTGTAATCAACCTATCCGCAGGCAAAATTTGTAGGAAACAACCAGAAAAATTTTTTTGCGATCGGTCAATTTTTCCGCCTGCGCAATTTTTTGTTACAGTGAATCTGAACAACAAACTCAAAAGTCGCAGGAGTTCATTTTAGGCAAAAATCCCTGTAATGGACTCCAGCGACTTCGTAAAGGCGCTGGGGTGATTTCGGCACCATGCACTTTGTGAAAACGAAAGTTCTCTTTGCACTGTGCAATGGCTTGCTTTTTTTCTGCACAAAAAATGATTAGCGACTTTACGAACGAACTACCAGCCTGTCGGGAAAATAATGAGCACAATGTCGCTGGGCCGATCGCGTCGCTGAAGTGAAAAGCAATTTGATTTTCCCGCAACACGGTTCATTTTCTCGGCGGCAGTGCGACTTTCAAGGCTACAGAGTGCTCATTATTTTCCCGACAGACTGATATGTAGTACAGAGCTTCGATTATACTAAAAATTCCAATATCTCCAAAAACTCCAAAGGTCGTTCTCAGGAAATTAAAAAGAATCTCGTCCCTCTAACCTTGACTAATTTCCTGAACAGCCACGTTTTTCATCCTTGACAATACTCCCTCCAATTGGATGATAAAACAAACTTTTAATTGGAGAAAGAAGGTTGCAAAACGGTTCGAGTCCGTTCTGCAAGGCGTTATCAATCGGATAAATCATCGCCGGGTAAGAAGACCCGATAAAAATGGAGGTCATCGAACATACGACTCTCGTCGTAAACTCCATTCCCGCGGGATTACAAAAATGTTTCTGGCGAATGGAGCGGGAATTGGAATGGAAAGAGAGAGGGTTGAAAAATCAGAAAATTGAACAAGTACAGTGCGTACCATTTTGCATCCAGGAAGTATCAAAAAATGTGGCAAAATACCTCCCTCTCAAAGTGAAAAAACTCAGATTTCAAAAGCCCGCCCGAACTTTTTGTGAGGAAAAGGGCACGCCCTTCAAAACGAAGTTTTTTCACTTGGAGAGGGAAGCATTTTGCCACACTTTTGATGCTTCCCGGATGCAAAATGATACGTTTTTTGCCACTGGATCAGGTCCCCCACTGTAGATGAGATACAGTGGATGTTTTGCAAAACCATCGCCTATAGCCGACACCTGTCTACAGTGATGGACTTGATCCAGTGGAAAAAAACGTATCATTTTGTATCCGGGAAGTATCAAAAAAAGCCGCAAAATACCTTACAAAAAAACTTGATTTTTCCATTTTTTTTCCAAAATTTCACCAACAACCAAAACTTCATTTCCATTTCAGAAACCAGCTGGTGGGAGATTGGCCGAACATCAAAACGCCAAAAAGAAGATGTCAACAAGTGAGGAGGCCAGTTCGACGGCTGCATCCACTTCCGAATCCAGCACTGTGGATTCGAGAAGAAGCCAGAGGGCTGCGCCAGCCAAGCCTAGTCGAGTCAAGACCCAGCCAGAGGTTCTGAAAGCCGAGGCGAAGAGAAGCGAGGCCAGGGCGAAGCGAAAGAAAGAGAGGAGAGAGCGGGAGGAGAGAAGATCGGAGAGAAAAGAGGAGAAGGAGCGGGAGGAGAGAAGATTGGAGAGAAGAAGCAGAAAAGAGCGGGAGAAGAGAAGAGATGAGGAGAAGGAAAAGAGTCGAAAGAGTGAGTTACTGTATCAGATATATGTAGTACTATCAGTCTGTCGGGAAAATAATGAGCACTTTGCGCAGCGTAAATCTCATCGCTGCCGGGAAAATGAATTGTCGCGGCAAAAAAAAGTCGCTTTCCGATTCAGCGACGCGACCGGCGCAGCGAAATTTTTTCATTATTTTCCCGACAGGCTGATATTAGTATTTTCATAAAGTGCATGGGCATTTTTTCGCTTTCGCACAGTGAATTTTAAGCCTTTTCTCACGCTTGTCGCTAACGCACAGTGCATTTTCTCTTTTCGCAAGGTGCAAGCCCAAAAAACACTCCATTTTTTGCAAAAGGCTATTTTTTGGGCTTGCACTGTGCGAAAAGAGAAAACGCACTGTGAGTTACAGTGGCGGACCTGATCCAGTGGCAAAAAACGTACCATTTTGCATCCGGGAGGTATCAAAAATGTGGCAAAATGCCTCCCTCTCCAACTAAAAACTAAAAAAATACTCCGTTTTGAACAGCGCGCCCTCTCCCTCACAAAAAGAGCAGGCGCGCTTTTGAAATCGGAGTTTTTTCACTTGGAGAGAGAAGCATTTTGTCACATTTTTAATACTTCCCGGATGCAAAATGGTACGTTTTCTGCCACTGGATCGGGTCCCTCACCGTAGCGAAATGCGGGGGGGAAAAAGTCAAAAATGCATTTTGCGAAAGCGAAAAAATGTCCATGCACTTTATGATTCAATTTTTTTTCTCATTTTTTCAACTCTTTTTTTTTATTTTGAATGACCAATCTTGTATTTTTCAGGGTCCTCTACACCGATCCGATCCAAAAAGTCCAACGATCCCAACCGTTGCCGACCCACCGACACCTCCAAACGTTGCCTGCGGCAATACTATGCGGGTGTGAGAACGTCGGAGGAAATGAACCGCAAGGTGCGTCGGTCTCAGTTCCGGCTCTACTACAAGATTGATCCGGATGTGGATATGACCAGAGAGATGCAGTTCAGCATCCCGTTGTTCGTTGCTTACAAGGACTCGGAGAGAAATGTAAGCAGAATTTATTGGGAAACTTTGTCAGTTTTAGCGCGGCACTCTTTTTGAAATTTTGCGTAAATTTTGTTAACAAGCCATATATTAAATACTGAAAATGTTGGCTTGCGATTTGCAAGGAGAGCTGAGATATTCAACTAGCCTTTTTTGGAGTGAATACGTAAAATTAGGAGAGTCGGTCAGAGAAAAATTGACTTTTTGAATTTTTACGGGGAAAAATTAGTTTTTGGTAGGCGTTTACCATCCAAAAAGCCAAAAATTTCGATCTAATTTTTTTTTTTTTTAATTTTGCATAATTAAAAACTCCTTTTTATATTTTTGTTTAATTTTTGCTTTTTAAAATTTCCCTCAAAAATCACAACCGAATTTTTGACCAATACCCTTTCAGATGTACCATTTCCCAGTGATTGCCACTGAACACGAACGCTATGGTCGTAAATGGTCGATTGGCTTGCCCGGCGAGGACAGAAGAGCCTCTTTTTCGAATTTGCCAAAGCTTTTGGACTATTACGAGGTCTACAACTTTGTCCATCCCGATAATGGTTCGATTGAAGTTTTCCCGGTCTGGCTAGTTCATGAATCCCAGAAAGACTAAAATAATTCTTTTAAAGATCAAATTTGTGGTCTATTCGGACTAACTCAAGAATAAAAACATCTTTTTCGAAAATCAAAAAAAATTTTTTTTTTTTTGAAAATAACTTTTTACTTATTATTAGTCAAAAATGCAGGGAATTCTACATTGAGATCCTCTCCTTTCCGTTGCTTTCGGAATGTGATGCTGTAATCTTTGTTGAAAACGATCTTCCTCTTGTGAGTTTTGGAATATTCATCCAATTGAGTCATTTTCAGCGCAATATCCAGCAGTGTTGTGCTGGCTTTTGCTTTTTGAATGTCTTCTTCGGTGAATTCTCGAGGTGGTTGAAGTTTGACTAAAAGTTTGAAAAATTAAAATCAGATTTTTTACAAAGAGATGTAACTCTCAAATTTTTTTCAAATTTTGCGTAGATACTGTAAACAGATCACAAATCAACACCTCAAAGTTCTAGCTCACACTTTGCAGGGGCCGCTGAGATATTCAACAATCTTTTTTCGAGAGAGTACGTAAAATGAGGAGAGTCGATCAAAAAAAAGCACTTTTCGGCTGTAACAATTAGAATTGCCATTGGAAAAACGTGATTTTCTGTACAAACATTTCTAACTATAGTACTAAAAAAGCCCGAGTTTTAAAGACAAAAATCTCTAAATATTCCAGATTTTTTTTGCCAAAACTTTTTGAGGAAAACTGTCAGAAATTCAGAAAACTATGCGATTTTCGGCTTGAAAAATTCAGACTCTACCAATACTATAGTTGAAAATGTTTCTACAAAAAATCACTTTTTTCCAAGAGGAATTCAAAAATTTATAGACGAAAAATATTTTTTGTCTGATCGACTCTCCTCATTTTACGTACTCTCTCAAAAAAAGATTGTTGAATATATCGACGGGCCTTGCAAAGTGAGAGCTAGAGCTTTGAGGTGTTGATTTGTGGTCTGTTGAAAGTATGTAGGCAAAATTTGATAAAAATATTCAAAAAAAATTTTGTCACAAAAACGAACCTCTAGGTCCGGAGATCACAGTAACTTTTCCTCTATTATTCGACGTCGATGGGATTCCAACGTCGTCATCAATAAAGTCATCTTCCTCAAAAACATCGTCTCCATTACCGCCAAATTGGCCCTCAATTATCACTTCTTCTTCAGGAATTTCCGGCTTTACGTTGTTTTCAAAGTTGTAGATCAGATGCTGACTTGAGCTTTCCGCTCCACTGTCACCATTTTCTCCGCCCACAATAATATGTGTGTCGGATGTGATGTCCTTCAGAGTGGCTAATGGAATTCCTCGGTTTGTCAGCTCGTCAGGTTTGAGGACGGTCAACGCGGCGATGTCGACCTGGCAATGACGTCATTTACAGAATCGGGATTTTTCAGTCTGATTTTCATTGAAATTCTCAAAGTGCAAGGAAAAGAATTTCTTCAAATTTTTGAACATGCTCTTTCTGGTCAAGAATTCCTGAAAATTTTAGCTCATACTTTCAAGCGGTAGCCGAGATATTCAACCATCTTTGAAAGCGAGGGTCTTCGGAAATGAGGAGAGCCGGTGAGAAAAAAAAGTTTTTGGCAAAATACCTTTGTAAATTCCAAGCGAACAAGGCTTAATATATGCAGAAACATTATTTCTGCACTCCAAATAAAACGCTATTTTTAGATCAAAGAATCTCGAATTTGAATTTTTCGGCAATTTCGAGATTTTTAGATTGAAAAAATAGCATCTTATTTGGAATGCAGAAATAATGTTTCTGCATAAATTAAGCCTTGTTCGCCCGGAATTTATAAAGGTATTTTGCTAAAAAAAGATTTTTTTCTCTAACCGACTCTCCTCATTTCCGAAGACCCTCGCTTTCAAAGATCGTTGAATATATCGGCTACCGCTTGAAAGTATGAGCTAAAATTTTCAGGAATTCTCATGTGGACCAGAAAGAGCATGTCCAAAAATTTGAAGAAATTCTTTTCCTTGCACTTCGAGAATTTCAATGAAAATCAGACTGAAAAATCCAGCTTCTGTAAATGACGTCATTTTCAGATCGACATCTGAATATCTCCATTTCAAAAAAAAAAACTTTTCCCGAAAATCTCACCTGTGTTAGTCCGTCTTCTTTATCCAAATCTCTCAACGCCTTTGCCCTAATATTCCACCATTTAATTTTCAACGACGCTGCCGGCACTTTGAATACTCTGGGATGGAATCTCACCATGATTCCACGAATATCCTCCCAGATCAAATTCTTCATCAGATTCGTGCCGGTTAGCCACTCTCCTTTGAAGACAACCTGTTGTTCTGGAGTGGCTGTGAGCAGCCGAAAGAATTGAGAGACACAAGCGACCAATGTGAGATGCTCTTCTGTGGTGAATCGAATTTTTTCGGTGTCTACTTTGGTGCCGTCCAACTCGAGCGGAGTGATTCCTCGGGCTTTTAGGTCTTGTGGTCGGGTAATGCTCAGAATGGTGCGTTCAGACTGAAATTTTTGAGGTGTATAAGACACAAGATCTTCCACAAAATTTGGGCCTAAGTTAGCGAATTTTCTAACAAGAAAAATACTTCTATGTAGTATGGAGTTACAAGTTGAGACATAATCAAAAAAAATCACAAAATTTTTCTGATTCATAATATGTAAAAATTAGCTGCCCAATTTTGGTTTGTAAGGGCGAAAACCCCCCTCAGAACTTTTCTCGCAACACCTCGCAAATGCCTTTTTGACCAAGTTTTGGCCAACTCAAAAGCTTTGTTTTGATCTAAAGTAAACCCTGGCATCTTGACAAGCCTTAAAATATCAAATTTCATTAAGAATACACCTTAATTAATAGTTACAATGTAAAAAAGGAGCATTTGCGTGGTGTTGCAAAAAAAGTTTCGATTTTTTCCAACTTTCGACTCCTTTTTTTACATTGGAACTACTAATTAAGGTGAAGTATTAATCAAATTTGACATTTTAAGGCTTGTCAAGATGCCAGGGTTTACTTTAGCTCAAAACAAAACTTTTGAATTGGTAAAAACTTGCTTAAAAAGGCACTGGCGTCGTGTTGTGAAAAAAGTTCTGAGGATTTTTTCACCCTTACAAACCAAAATTAGGCAGCTAATTTTTACACATTCTGAATCAGAAAAAATTTGTGATTTTTTGATGTATGTCTCGACCTGTAACTCCATACCACATAGAAGTAATTTCCTTGTAAGAAATATGCCCCATTTCCAACTCAAATCTGGCGTAAATTCTCCAACATACTCACCGTAGTAATCGGTGAGCCCTCATCCAACATGTTCGCAGCCAATCTCTTATACCTCGCCCACAAAACCTTCATCTGACTGATACTCAAGTCCATCAATCGAGGGTACCTTCCAATGAAATCCATCCGAATCTTGTCCCAGTAGCATCGTTTCAGCTCCAGACTCACTCTCTGCGGCGTTCCCTCGATGTCGATCGTTTCACCGGCTGGCCTGGCCAAGATGTATTCGAACGGAGCGATCGTCAAAATCAGAGCGTGCTTCTCGCTCTCCGACAAATGGATTTTAGGCGGAGGAGGCGATGGCGAAGGCATTTTTGCCTTCTGAAAACTTTTAGGTAACAAAATTTTTAAAGAATCGCAAAAGCCAAAGATTTTTGAATCGAAAATCAAAAATAATGTCGAAACAGCGGATAGAAAAGGAAAACAAATAACTAAAAGGTCCGTTTCTTCCGCCGTCGACCTCTCTCTCCACTTTCCACACGTTTTTTCTCCTTTTTCCTTCGAAAGAAAAAAGAGAGGAGGAATGGGACGCTGTTGGAGAAAAAAGTCGATTTTTCGCAAAATTTAAGTTCAAAAAATTTGTTTAGATAGTAAAAATATATCACATTCTACACGATTAGACCGTACAGAACCTGTACAAAAGAATTTCCGGATAAAAAATAATTTTTTGGCCCATTTCGGAGTGTTCGATAATTTTTGTGACACTTCGTCACAACACGTGGCATTACGTTTCAATTGGAAATAAAACATTTTTCCACGCGTAAAACTTGTCAATTTTTGTTGGAATAGCAACTAACTTGTGTTTTGGTTACCTACAAACGCGTTCTTATGATATTTGAGACGATTTTACTTTCTTTATAGTATAATTGACCATCTGAAACAATAAAAATTTAATTTTGATAGGTCTTTCGCTTCAAATCGTGGATCTTTCGGGTGTTTCAAGATGAGTAATGATCGTATTTCCTTTTTCAGTTCAAAATGTCGGGTCCCCCGGCCTCACCGAGCCAGGTCAGCATCAATATTGATTTAGATGCAGCAGCAGCAATTCAGCAGCGGATTCTACAGGCAAAACCAACATTATCCCAGCCCCCCGCTGGCTATGCACCTCAACCACATCCTTCTCAGCCTACAGCACCGGCTAAGCTGACTTCAGCGCCGACAGAAATTCCGACGTCTGGTAATGTTCAAGTTGATGTAGCCCCTTCAAGTCGGCAACCTGAAACAGGAGCTGTACCTGCCCAAGCGGGCGTTGTTGCTGCTCCTGTGGGTGCGGAGAAGGCTCCATTGCCTGGACTTCAGCAACATTCACCAGTAGCTTCAGATCAACGAAGAGATTCGGGTGCGTCGAATACCGGGAGGAAAGGTCGAGGGTATAAAGCAAAAAGAGTTTTCAAGGTGAGTGTTTTTTAATTTTGTCTTGTTTTGCTTTTAGGTAGAAGGTAAAAGAATTTATAAAGCTATACAGGCTGTTTTTGGGTCTGAATCTGCATGATGCTTTGAAAAATTTTTTATGTTTCCTCAAGCCATCTAAAGTCATAAAATCATATCGAAATTCGTTGGAATTTATTTTGTCTTGAACTTTTTTCATATTTTAATGGCATAATATTTGTAGGTGATCATAATTGGAGACGCCGGAGTTGGCAAGACCTGTCTTTCTTTCCGTTTTTGCAATAACCGCTTCCCTCAACAAACAGAAGCCACAATTGGAGTCGATTTTCGAGAACGCACGCTGCCACTCGAAGGGGAATTGATAAGAGTTCAGGTCAGTTTTTCCTTTCTTTTCTGATATTTAGAATCACAAATTGACCAAAGCCTGGGATCACATCAAGTTTATATTATTTTAGCTGTGGGACACAGCTGGTCAAGAACGATATCGTCAGTCGATTGTAGCCCATTACTATCGAAATGTGAATGCTGTGGTTTTTGTTTACGATGTGAACAGTCCAAAATCGTTCAAATCTCTGCCTTTGTGGATCAACGAGTGCAAGAAACACGGGGTTACATCTGATGAGGTTCCGCATATCCTAATTGGGAACAAAGTGGATTTAAGTGCTCCAAATCGGGTTCGGACTGATGAAGCGCAGGTGTGTTTGGGGTGTAAATGAGTTTAAATTATATTTTAACTTGTTTTGTGGTGTTATTTAGAAAATGTTATATTTTTTAGGTATGAATTTTGAGAATTTTGAAAAAAAGATGAGATTTTCACGCGGTTTTTGATGGTTGATGCTATTTTTAAGTGGCATTGAGGTGTTTAGGGACTAGTGGTGACATGAAAAGGGAATAGACATTCTTTAGACATTGTTATATTACACTTTCCGTCAATTTTATATTATCTATGATGATTTTTTAAATTTTGTTGTAGAGTTTCTCAAAAAGGCGAAAGGAATAGATCTAGCCCCTTAAACGACTTTTTAAACTTTGTAAATATCATTTTTCAGGTCTTCGCTGACCAAAACGACATGGCTTTGTTCGAAACCTCAGCGCTCTCCCAGTCCGAAGCCGACCATGTTGAAGCCATTTTTATGACCTTGGTCCACAAACTCCAACAATGCAAACCGATGCATGTCCAAACGGAGACCGAAAGGCATCAAAGAGAAGAGAAACTCCTCCTCAAAGCATCGGATTTGAAACCAACACCAGACGCTGAGGGATGGTGTTGTTGATACCGAAATAACTGTCGTAAATAACTTCCCTTGCAAGGGAAATATCGAAAAAATGTGATATGGATTAACTAGCCAAGCTTCGCATAGCCTAGCCGTAGTTTTCCGGTAATTTTGGGTTTAATTTATTTGTAAATATTATATTGTACATGTTTAAATATAAGCCAAATAAATTACGGTTATTTTAGTGCAATAGCGAGTTTTAATATTTCAATAAACGGATTTTTTGTTGAATTATAGGCTGATTATGAAATTGGAGGAGGAAATTGGGAGATTTGGAGACCAAAAGAGATTAAAAATTTGATTTGTTGTACCAGTCATAGATAACATCGAAGAACAAACATTGATGCCGCTCACACGAATGTTGACACATTGCCGGCACGGCTATTGACCTTGACTGTCCTTCTCGCCTCTTTTAACGGAACATCTAATCAATTGAATCGGAATTGGTTCCCTCTGCTGTCAGATGTATCGAGGGATATTGGAGTCGAAAAAAACTGTTCGAGTTTGGCTTCAGACAAGACTATTTGGTAGAAAATGGTGTTGATATTGCCTAATAGAGGTGTATAAAACCCTGAGGTTGTTTTCGATTCAAATTCGTGGAGATTTGCTAAATTCCAATAATTTCTGTGACACTTCGTCAAATCCTGAGTTTCTGGAGGAAAAACTAAATTTCAGATTCCAAATTGATGTTTCTCGCTGCGCGGAGGTGCAAACAGTTGATTCATAGTTGCATTCCCCTCCAATCATCTCAATTTGTTGTTATATTTTTGGTTTTTAGGCTGCCTTCTAGTTTTTGCATAGATAATATAATTTCTCCTTTGTTTTCCCAAAGAAACTTGATTTGAATCAGTTTATTACCTCAGCCCATAATCAACATCCCTTACAGATGCCAGTTTTTCTGTCAAACCCCTAATCAGCGAGCAAATTCGAAACAATTCCCATTATCCAGTGCAGTATCCCAAGATCCTTTTCTCTTGCGCAACCTTATCGTTTATTCAAAGGCCCGCGGTCATTTCGCATAGGAAATGGTCTGCCGTATGAGGTCAGCAGTTTATTGTTGAGAACCAAAACAATGTGAGGGAGTTTTGCGCAAGGATTTCCGAGTGCCCAAGATTAGATAGGATTGGGAGAAAATGAGGCAGAAATTAGAGAAGGGTTGTATAAATAGGTTGCCAAAAAGTTGGAGGACCCTTATTGGGATTTAGTGAGATGTTTTGAGGATGGTTTCAGCTTGTTTTGGATTGTTTTTTTGGTAATGAACATCATCTGATATTATCCATGATAAAATGGGTATTTTCTAGCTATTTTTGGCCGATTATTAGGTTGAATTTGGTTCATAATTAAAGACTGTTTCTTATTTTGTGTGTTTGTTTTAGTTTTACGCTATTTAGATGCAAAAATTATATTATCCATGGCATCCTTAACATCGACTTCGAGTTTTGTCGATTTTCTCCGCGAATTTATTGTTATTTTTACCGTTTCAGATAAAATGCTGAGTCTCCTTATTCTTCTACCCATTTTCATGGTCCAAGCCGGCGAGTACTTGCCGAAAATGCAAGTTGTTGTTGAAGTCGGCGAGTTCAATCTCAAGACGGGCTGTTTGGATGAAACGCTGTGCACAGTCAAAACTTTGGACCTGTCAACGCATGGAGAAGTCACGAAGATGAGGTTCAGTCGGGATTTCGCGAAGATTCAGACGCCAGAAGTTTTTATCTTCACCTTATACAAGGAGGACTTGAAAAGTACTGATCTGTTGGTGGAATTGGCTGGAATTGATCCTCAGTTTGGCTTTGACAGAGTGTGCGACGAGATGGACAAGCCTTTTGCCATCAATTTGAATGAGGTATGTAGTTTCCGATTTTTTTTGCTGTTTTAGGGGCTTCCAGAAAATCCGTCATGATGACGTGGATCAAATTACGGTTGTGATTTTATCCAAATTTTTCAGATGAATACGCCTCAAACTGTCCAACTAGAAGGGATGTGCTTCACACTGACTGCCAAAATTACTATAGTAAAACTATTTGCATCCTCCCCATTGAAATACGATTTTCTGGTCAAAAAAGAGATGGAAACGAACCTACAGATCATCCTCATCGTCCTTCTCTCATTGCTGCTTATTTTACTCGTCATTCCTTCTGCATTTTTGGCCAAAAGATTCTGCACTCATCGGGAAAAACCGCTGAAAATGAATGCTCCAATTCAAAAGGAAACCCTGATGCAAGCCGCCTGAAACGTACGATTTTGAAGTTATTTTGTAGCACAATAGTCATAGATTGTCAGTCCTCAAAGATTGTTGCAGTAGTCTCTCAGGTTTTCAATGATTTTCCCAAACTTTCCATCAAAAATCAGTGATTTTTCGCTTTATTCCGGTTTTTCGTATTGAAATTTGTCTCGTTTTCATAGCAGCTCAGTTTTCTCAGCGAATTCTTATACCTCAGTTTGTTGATAATAATTTATTTCGTAGTTAATAGCGATTTTCGGCAGGATAAAGATAATTTTTTCTAAAGGAGAAGGTAATTTTGATCTTTTTTTATGAATTTTCTTGCTAAAAATAGTTCTCACGGTCTTTAAAGGCAATGAGGAAGAAATTTATTGAGCGTAACGCGAAATGTTGCTTTTTAAAATACGAGGGAAGAACGTTTTTCTTTTTAAATTTTGAAATTGTATTAAAGACATTAACTGCAGTCACAATTTTAAAAGTATTGGTTCAGATGTCGTATTTTACCTTAATGACTTTGATTGACTGAATATATTAGGTTTTTTTTTGACAAAAATTGATCGGCTTACCTAGTATAATATAAAAAAAACATTGTAAAAATGGTTGGAATCAAGTGAAACCCCGGATTTTGAAATTTCATGCCCAAGATTTAACAAGGAAAGGACTTCTACGGGGTGAGGAGTTACATCATTTTCGGACCTTTCAAAGGGCGAGCCGTTGTATCCAGACGCGTGTCCAGCGATCCTCCAGACGATAAGCGAGCTGAGGGAGGAGAGCCGGCGAATTAATTTAAGGCAAAATTACAATACGCCATGGAGTTTGCGTATTCTAATTTTACAAGGAAAGCACTTCTATGGAGTAAGGAGTTACAAGTCGAGACATGTATCAAAAAAATCGTAATTTTATCAGATTACGAATATGTGAAAATTAGCTGCCCAATTTTGGTTTGTAAGGGCGAAAAAACCTTCAGAACTTTCCTCGCAACACATAATTGGCGTTTGCATGGTGTTGCAAGAAAAGTTCTGAGAGTTTTTTTTCGCCCTTACAAACCAGAATTGGACAGCTAATTTTTACATATTCTGAATCAGAAAAATTGCGATTTTTGTTGATGTATGTCTCGACCTGTAACTCCATACCCCGTAGAAGTACTTTCGTTGTAAAATTAGAATACGCAAACTCCATGGCGTATTGTAATTTTGCCTTAATTTAATTTCCCCGCCACCCTCCCTCAGCTCGCTTATCGTCTGGAGGATCGCTGGACACGCGTCTGGATACAACGGCTCGCCCTTTGAAAGGTCCGAAAATGAAATGAGCGAAAAGGTTTTGGGACTGTCAATCAAACTCCCGCCTAAATTCCCAAAATGAGCGCGGAAAGGGGGGAAAGTTTTCCATAAATGCGCGACTTCTCGCGGATTTCCCCAGCCCTCTGACAGTTTGCTGGGACATTCGGAGATTAGCCGGAGGGGATGAATGACATGCGGTTTGTAAAAATGGCCACAGGCTACTGTGTGGCGCATTTTTGGGGAAGTTTTTGGAAATGTTGGGAGCTGAAGGCTAACATTGGCTGAAAAGATAGGAGATGTGGGGCTGAGATGTAGAGCAAATTGCAAGCGAACTGAGGTTAATGAAATCTGAGGAAAGGATATTAGCCTTGGGAGACTGTATAAGTCATCCAAAAATGGGCATACAAGTTTAGAATTCTGTGAGCTTGCAGAGTACCACAAGTGTAACATCCCGGTTTTTCAAATTTTGCACACATCCCCTAAATAGTCCACATTGCAACTCCTCAAAATTTTAGCTTTCGCTTTGCAAGCCCAGCTGAGGTATTCAATGATTCTTTTTTGCCGGAAAATGTAAAATGAAGAGAGCCGATCAGAAAAAGACGTTTTTTAACCAGATATTTCGCCAACTTGTCGGAAAAAGTTTGTTTTTTTAGAAATATTGTGCTCTTCACTTATGAAAAATCATGATTTTTGGGCATGAAAAAGCCATGGTTTGTCGAGAAGTGAGGACTACAATGTTTCTATAAAAACCAATCCATTCCTGACAAGGTGGCGGAGTTTTGGTTGAAAAATGTTTTTTCTTATCGGCTCTTCTCGTTTTACATGTTCCGGCGAAAAAAAGAATCGTTGAATATCTCGGCTGCACTTGCAATACGTGAGCCAAAATTTTGAGGGATTGCAATATAGACCATTTCAGGGATGTGTGCAAAATTTTGAAAAAACGATATGTTACACTTGCGGTACTCTGCCAATCACGGAATATCAACTTGTACAGCCTTTTTTGGATGACTTACATAGTCTCCAAGGCTAATATCCTCTCCTCAGATTTCATTAACCTCAGTTCGGTTGCAATTTTCTACATCTTGCAGCCTTACTTCCCCTAAGGCTATGGCTTCAAAAAGAGTAAAAACTCTTAAAATTAGATTTGTGACTCCCCCATTCCCTCTTCTTCTCCTTGGCTACTTGTTCGAAGCGGAAATCAACAAAGCCCTCGCCGAAAATCTGATATGAGTTTTATGCAAATTTATGGCCATTGGCCATGCGATTGCGTTTCTTTTTATTTCCCTCTTTTTATTGCCGAAAATTGCGCGACTTGGGGGCTTTAAAAGTATAATTTATTTCCGGCCGTTCGCCCCATTTCGGTGATGGTTATCAGACCAGTTTTGGTCATGTTTTATCCGGCCATATGTCGGATTTTGTGGGCTGGGCGAGTCGGAAATTTTTTTGGTGGATTAGTTAGGGTAGAGGCTGTGTTTGTAAAGACGCAAAATATTTTTTCCGAGGATTACGGTAAATGAAACTTTCGGAGATTTTTTTAATTTGTATTAGAAAAATGGAGTTGTAACTTGCTGGTAGCCTGGTTCTTTTGTTTATTTTATTCCAATATAGGGTTTGAAGGCCTTGATTTGCCTATCTGGAAATATTTAGCTAGAAATTTTTGATATTTTTATATTATCCTTGACATCTCATACATATTGATGAAATTTGATGAATTTTTTGCTGTATCCCTAATACAGGGCGTCTAAAATACGCCGAATTTAGTTGAGACAAACGATGACCTAGTATTGAATTTTCTTCCACCATTTTCGATTACTTTTTACATTCCTTTTGGCTACCGTACCCTTCTTTTGCCACTTTTTGATATTCCCTCAATATTCCTCGATTTTCTTTGTTTGTCGCTGTCATTTATTTATTTGTCATACACATTCTCCCCAAGGGATGACTATGGACGGGAAATGAAGGGAAATGAAACATATTTCGAGGGCAGATGTCCGTCAATCCGGGACGGAAACTTTTTTTGGGAACTTTATTTCGAATGCACTGTAACTTTTTTTATTTTCTTGTTGTAGTTCGTTTGCTGTCGAGATTGACTTCTGTATAGACTTGGATTTGAAAGTGAAAAAAATGTTTTTCACGATGGAACTCGGAAAATCGGAGGTTTTCGTGGTGGGACAAATTTTTTACGATAATCTTTTGAGTCGGGCATTTTTTCCCCAGCTTTTTGTTTGACTAAGGCCTTGTACATTGACTTACGGGTTGAATATCGGTTACTGTCTCTGTATGGAGGCTTTTTGCGACCAATAAGTGCCATCTTGGCAGGGTTTATCATATTTTTTGGGTCGAAATGAATTCCTAAACCAAAAATTTTTGTCTATGATAACACTGGCTTGATTTGACGGCATTGAGCCTAACGTAGGGCTCATGTTCTTCCATTACATTCCCGGCATTCAGAGGAGCTCAAAAATTCCGAATACAAACCCAAAAAATACGAGACTATCAGTCTGTCGGGAAAATAATATGGATTCGTCGTGCCTTGAAGTCACCCATCAATGATTGGACGGCTAGCCGCGGCTGGAGATTTGGTCCACGACTACGACAAGGCGAGACATTTTGCTGCGGCAAATTCACGTTATTTTCCCGACAGACTGATATTTCAAATATTTCAAAATCCGTAAAGATTCCAAATTATTATACAATAATACTTTATTCCGCTCAAAACACATTCATTCTCAACGAGCACTACTTCCCTTTCCACCCTCACCCCCCTCGGGCTCTCTCTTGTCGACTTTTTGGACCGTGACGGCCAACGCGGTGCACACAACAAGCAGAACAACTCCACTGCCGATCATGATGAAGAGCGAGAAGCTGTGAATGTTGAAGAAGGACTGGGAACTGTCGTCTTCCAAGCCTCCTTTCAGATTGTCCGTGATGTGTTTAAAGTCTGGAAAAGGAAATATTTTTTTGATGTTCAAAAAAGAGAATTTTTTATCATCAAAAAACCCACCTTCAACACTCATAGAGTAGAAGACGGCCACCGAGATGATATTGAGAGCTCCGGCCAGGCCAGTAAGACCTCCAATGGGCGCAAAAAGATTGGAACAACAACAATAGCAGAAGCTGACAAAGGCCCAGGCAATGGCGAGCAATTGCAGTAGGATGGACACGGCCACAAGACCAACTATGATCTTCACATAGATACCCGAAGTCTGAAATACAAAAAAATGAATTTTTGCGATATGGAAATGGAAGGCTTGGAAAAAGTTCCACAGATTGGTGAACAGTTCAAAAAATGCGCCCGGGGAATAGAAGCTAAATCATTGCAAGCGCTAACCTAGGCTTGTGCTAAGCCTAAGCGACAGTGTTTTTTGCCACCTGATCCAGTGGCAAGAAGCGTACCGTTTTGTATCCAGGAAGCATCAAAAAATGTGGCAAAGTTCCTCCGCCTCCAAACGAAAAAAACTCAAAATTTCAAAAGCGCGCCCGCTTGTGAGGAAACAGGCCCTTCAAAACGAAGTTTTTTCACTCGGAGAGGGAAGCATTTTGCCACATTTTTGACATTTACCGGAGGCAAGATGATACGTTTTCTGCTACTGGATCAGGTCCCCCACTGTATACCGTATAGCCTAAACAGGCCTAAGCCAACGTTTACTCCGCAAGTAGCGCCCTTTTATTTTCCTCACATACTTTTTGCGAACTGCAAGGGGAAAAAAAAGAAAAAAACAAATCTCAAAAAAAAGTAATTAAAAAAATCAAAAAAAATGGAGGCCCCTTTCAACTCACCTCAAAAGCCGACTGGCACAGATCCGCCGTGTTTCTGGCGGCGTCATAAGCCGAGTGCGCCGAATTGCTGGCCGCATCCGCGACCGAATGCGCCGAATTGCTGGCTGCATTGGCGACCGAACCCGCCGAGCCTGAAGCATTGTGGACGTCAACGGACGCGCCGGTGTCAAATTCCGGTTTGAAGAGGTCGGGTCGTTGAATGCAGTCCTGCAGCAGTCCTCGGGTCTGTATGGTCCCATTCACCGAGACCGCTTCCCAATTGGGCAGATACAACGAGACTACAGTCGCACCAAGACAGGCGAACGCGAATACCAGGAAGATGATCTTCAAGAGGAAAGGCAACGCCATGGTTTCGGCTGAAAAATAGAGAGTAGAGGGGTGGGAGTTGTGAAGAAATTAACTATCAGTTTGTCGGGAAAATAATAAGCACAATGTCGCTGCGCCGACTGCGTCGCTAAAGTGAAAAGCAATTTTGATTTTTCCGCGAAGACCATTCATTTTCTCGCCTGCGATGCGATTTCCGATGCGACAGAGTGCTCTTCATTTTCCCTACAGACTGATAAGGGTACCCAGATGCGACGCTTTCGTTTTCTTCAAGTTTTGCGAACTTATCCTATATTGGCCCCATATCAAACCTAGAAAGTCTTAACTCGCGCTTTGCAAGCACAGTCAAGAATTGTAACGGTCTTTCTACAAGAAAGAGCGGAAAATAAGCTGATGGTCGTAGAAAAAACGTTTTTTCATGCTAAATCATTGAATTCCGTTCAAAAAACTTAAATTTCTTCGATGAAACTTTGGCATACCAGCATGCCGGGAAAATAATATGGATTTCTCGCGGCTTGAAATCGCCCGTCATCGCTTTTTAATGGCTAGCCGCGGCTGGAGACTCAATTTGCGGCTCCGACGAGGCGAGACATGCTGCGACAAATCCACATTATTTTTCCGACAGATCAAGATCGAAAACTTGGGCCAAACTTTATCAACATTAAAAGTTCGAACTTGGGGGTGTATGCCCAGTAAAATACAGGGTATACCACATATTTACAGTTCTTCCTATACATAGAGCCCCAATTAAACCTCGTAACAATGATAACCCAAGAGTAATCTCTCATTTCCCAAAATCGATCAGACTTACCTTGCGTCTATTGGCACTGCTTGCTTCTAATAGCAGCTTCTCGACCAAATAACACGACCAGCCGAATCGTAGGGTTCCACCAACAATAAATGAACGTTTTTCGCATGGAATGGTCGGATATTGATGTTGACCGAAATTTGCATAATCGTGGGAAAGTGAGGACGAAATTTCGAGAATTTGGAAATTTCTTAAAATTTTGAACTTTTTATTTGAAATTTTTGATGACGAATTTTTTATTCTTGCCGATTTTCGAAACATTTTTATATTTTTTTGATTTCAAATTGTAAGAAAATTTTTATTGAAAGTCCCATTGCCGTCGAGAAAATGAATTGTCTCGCGACAAAAGCAAATTGCTTTTCACTTCAGCGATGCCGGTAAAAGTTCCTTATTTTGGCCACAACTTATAACTTTGCGGAAACTGGTCGGAATTAGCCCAAATTTAGCGTGCACGCTCAATTCATCGTCGTCAAAGCCTGGACAGTGGATTTAGTTAGTGAGGTACCTTCTTTTTTACGTACCACCTTACCCTTCAAAAACGGCTGCAGCCTGTCATTTTACACTTTATGCGATGAAACATATCCAGAACTAAACTTATTGCCTCCGTATGGAACTAAATGAGTCGTCACAGCCTTCGTAGGTACCCTTAAAACTATAGAGCTATTATAGTAATTCAGTTCCAGCTAGGTCGAAGCGTTTTTTCCTAACTTTAGTGCCAAGCTTGGGCGCAGTTCGCGGAGTACCTTTGTTGTGGCCAAAATAGGGAACTTTTTCCGCGATGCCATTGGCGCAACGACATTGTGCTCACTGTTTTTCCGACAGACTGACACATTGGAATCTCTTACAAGGAGCTCGTCAACAAAGACCAGTCTCTAACGAACAATTCCATAGGTCCCAGGAATCAATTTTGGGCCGAAAGGAACCTCCATAGAACAAAACCCTTATATAACGAATTAATTTTTCTGTTCCCTGTGCAATTTGTTGTTCTGAGACTTGACTGTACATATTTTTTGAAGAAGCCTTCTTGATAATAGTACATATAGAAAACGTCTTCATCTCCGAATATCCCCTGCTTCACAATCCGTTCCCAAGTCAATAATCTCTCTTTATTACGAGCTCATAAAAAGTTTTGTTTTTATAACGAACCGTAAATGCTGATTTTATAGGCGGTTTATATTCCCTTCGCTTCTTCTTCATCTCTCAGCCATATCCGATTTTATTTATACTATATTTTATTAACTGACCTCTCAATTCACTTATTTTTTGATGACTTAAATTTGTTTTGATGAAATGATGTTGCAATGCTGAATTTCGTGTTTTACAAACCCCCGATTTCTCGAAATTTTGAGATGAGAAAAATAATTTGAAGAGGACTGAACAAATTTATGATCAATGTTGTTTTTTACGGTTATAGCGGACTTTATGGTGGTCAACGTAATTTACGATTTTTGCGGTCAGAAAGTAATTTATGTTCTTCGGGGAATTTGCATAACAGGTGTGCGACAAACAACGTTTTTCGGGTAGATCGGCGATTCTCTTGGGCTGTAAGTGAGTAACATGCAGTCTTTTTTAGGCATCTGTACATTGGCGGACCGATCCAGTGGCAAAAGACGTGCCACTTTGCATCCGGGAAGTCAGAGAAAATGTGGCAAAATGCCTCCTTCTTCAAGTGAAAAAACTCCGATTTCAAGAACGCGCCCGCGCTTTTTGTGAGGGAAAGGGCGACGATTTCAAAACGGAGTTTCTTTTATTGCAGTAGGAGGTATTTTGCCACATTTTTGGTACCTCCCGGAAGCAAAATTATACGTTTTTTGCAAATGAATCAGGTCCTTCAGTGTACAGGGTGACCCAAAATAACGGAGACAAAAGATTTCCCGTTTTTTCTGCGACTTATGAAGATTTATGAATGATTCCTTATTTATACTACAGTACCACGTTATTGTAGTTTTATATACCGGAAGTTTTGTTGTACGACGCTCTTGTGCCTTGAACCACATCAATATATCCTGTTGACTCGGAGCTTTCTGCCCGTGGGGTCTTTTTGCAAGAAAGCTGCCTTACTCAAAAAAGAAAATTCGGAATAGTTTGAGATTTGCTGTGCTTAATTATCATAATATGGCCTTTAAAACGGGCCATCGTACTAAGCTCAACTATCGATGGTTCAAAAGTTACAGCCGAGTATTTTCAGGCAGTTGAAGTGCAAAAATCGGCCTTTTTTGAAAATGTAGGCGTAAAAAGGAGTTTAAACGTTAGATAAGGCAAAATGTAATATGAGTTACTAGAACATGATTAAAGGAACACCATAGAACCAAAAGAGAAACATTTTGTAACTGCTACGGAATGCTATTTGGTAATCACTAGGATTCTGCCTTATTTTTGCCGTAGGCGGAATACCAGTCGAGCCGGTGACACATAAAGACCGAAAGTGCCCTAGGCTGATTCTCAAGAGTCGTATTCATAAGTGTACAGGAGCAGAATGCGCCGTTTTTATCTATCTTGTCATTTTGTTATCGATAACCCATCTTTCTCAAAGCCGCGTGCCATGGGGTAGTTCTGGGCGAGAAACTTGTTAACGAAAATCTGTTGCAATCAGCAAGCAATCACAGCGTTTTCCAGAATTATTGTATTTATGAATAGAATACGTTCTAGCGGTTTTAGCTTTATTCTAAAAAAAACTGAATTTTTTATGGAAAAAATTTGGAAAAAATTGCGATCTTCAATGTTGAGATCGGTACCACCGTAGAAATAAAAACCGTAGCCCAGAAACCTACATAACTGCTTGCTTAGAGACGTAGTAGTCTAGCAAAACAAATGAACTTGCCATTTCTGCGGCTGTAGTACAGCCATGCTCTACACAACACAAAGGAACCAAAATTGAGGGCCAAAAAAACGGCGCAAGGCATTTTTGTTAAGCTGTAACTTTTTACTGTGACATGATGCCAAATTTTCGTGAATTATAGAGAAAGTCTTATAGAATATTACCCACTGTCGCTTGTGTTTTTATAACGCCCGGGTTTCGCGGTGGGGCCCTTCAAAAATTTGTCTCCGTTATTTTGGGTCACCCTGTATAACAAACAATTTATTTCTTGATCTCCTGAATCATCCCTCTCCTCTTTTTCCTTATGCTCTCCAAATTTCTCTTCTCTCTCTCTTTTTCCCTCTCACCGCCTCAGCTCGAAAAAAACTAATGAGTTTAATTTATGGACTGAGTTTATGACCCGAAAGTGACCACTGCGCAACTGTTTATTATACGGGTGATGACCCGGAGTGCAGTGGGATTTGCGCTAATTAATTATGCAAGCTGAGTGAGATGGAATGCTAAATTGAGCGATGAGGGGAGCAATGGACATCAACTTATGTTTTAGCAGTAATTTTTGGATTTTTCGAAATTTCGGAAGGGATAAAAATGGGATTTTTTGGAATTTCACCAAAGATTAATATCCTTTTTTTGTAAAATTTGAGCTTAAAGTTTACTGTATTAGATTCAGTGTTTTTGAAGTGTTTACATGGCCACTTGTTGCCTTATGTCGCGCGTTTATTGCCCCATTTATTTGCCATTCTCACCATTACAAACCGTTCCTTTTATTGCGGATAATTATGGATGTTCCAAGGTCAGCGCGCGAGTTGGTGAGGACAACAATCTTTTAATTATCCCTCTGTTATTCGCTTCCGGAGAAGTGCGCAGTAGAATACAAATCTCCCTATAACAAAACCTTTCTATAACGAACATTTTTTTGGTCTCGGTTCGTTATACAGAGGTTTTACTGCCAAATGGACTGAAAAAAGTCTTCAGGCTCTATAAATTTGTTCGTTATAAAAGAGTTTCGTTGTACAGAGGTTTATTTTTGCCTAGGATTGTCTCTAGAGACCAATCAAAATTGTTTGTTATAGAGAGGTTTTGTTGTAAAAAAAAGTTGTTTTAGAGAGGTCTTACTGTAATTTTTATGACCTTCTATACAGCGTTAGCTTTATATTTTATGTTATACTTGCTAAATCTTTTTGCCACAAATCCCCTCCAAAATTCTCGTAAAAGCGGTGATAATTAGCTGTCCTTTACACGGATTTACGCTTTCGTTTTCTTTCCTTTTTCTGCTCGCGAATTTGAATATTTCTTTAATGTGCCATAAACGGAACATAAGATTTATTTTTTCGTTCTCCGCCAAAAGAAAGTTCGGGTTAACGCGCTGAGCCTGACTTCCGCTTGATATTTACATGTTTATTTAGACTCTATTTTATTTATTTACAATTATTTACCTTTCGCAAGTCATATTTTACAAATTAGAAAATTGAGTCATAGTCTTTCAATATTATGGGGGTTTTTGAAGCTTTTGAATTTCTAATTCAACAAAGAGAGGTGTGAATAAGCTGCTCTTAAAGCTTGAAAACTTTGATAGTCTTGGGAGAAAATTAGTCATCAAAAAAAGGGGCTATCAGGAAAAAATTTGGAAGTTTTAGGTCGTGGGTCATCAATTGGCGCAATCTGAAATTGAACTTTTATAAAGCTATTGCCAATCTTAGGCCGAAGTGAACCTTTTGAGAATAAAACCTTCCTACAACGAATAATTTTTGGCCTAATTTAGGGAAAAGGCAACGTTACGATTTATCGAACGTCCTGAAGTTTTCCTGAGGCACTCTGTCTGGTCCCCTTACCATATTATTTTTGGGTAATCTAAAAACAATCGTTCTGAAAAAACTAAAAAACTCCACATTGGTCCTGTCTTACCATACCGTTTTCTTCTCTAGGTTCCGTCTTTGCCCTGGTTCCCTCTTCGGACTAAATTTTATTCTTTTTTATAGGTCCTGTTCACTACAACAAGAGAACCGAAAATTTTGCCTTTTTCCAAAAATTTCTCAAAATTTTGAATACCAGTCTGTCGGAAAAATAGTGTGGATTTTTTTTTATAAGTCGACTATCATCCCAATGCAAGGGCCAGCTGGAAATTTGTTTCTTGACTGCGACGAGCCAAGATTTTGCTGCGACGAGTCCACATAATTTTCCCGACAAACTGATAAACAATAAAGTAGCAAACCTACTCAATAATACTATCCAAAAAAAGTTCCTCGTCCTTATTTCTCGCCCTCCTTCTCTACGAAATTTATGGAAAATTAAATTTCCGGTTTATCCGACCAAACAGTGGCCCGAAGCCCTCGCAGCTCAACGCCATATTTGATTTGTTTACACTTTTGTAATCCGAGAGCGAAACTCTTTTCCTCGGGATTCATTGCATCCGTTTTCGGGGGTGCCAACTTCATTCGGGTCCCTTTCTCACATCCCTGTAATTAGAATACGTGAACGCCGCCCGCCCAAGATTAAATCGAGTAATTTGGAGGGAGTCTCAATGCCAACTTTTGAAGTGTCATTGATCCTGAAAAGAATGGGGGAGAGGGCGGAAGTTGGGTCATTATATCTTGGGGGTTCAACGAAAGGGTTTTATTTTTGGGGGGTGTCGGTTTTGAGGAGCGATTTATAGTCACGAAAAAGGTTGTTGCACAAAAGTTCAAAGAATTTAGTAGCTGGATTTGGGCTTTTTTTTGTTATGTCTTCATATAACAGCCATAGAGGACGTTTGTTAAAAAATTTTTTTTTAAATCTCGTTTTTTGGCTGATGAACTTGATATAAATTTTCGGCGATATCTTCGCGAAATTTCGCAGAGTAATGACCGATTTTTTTTCTGCAAAAATTACTGCTCACAGGGGAAGTACTCCAAGTGCGACGCTCAGATTTTCTTTAAATTTTGCACAGACGTCGGGTATGGACTAAATATCAAGTCCTGAAAGTTTTAG